CTATGTTTCTTATTTTTCTGAAAAAGCCAACTTCCTGTTGATCTCAAATAACCTACTTTAGTAAATAATTAGGGAAATAAGTAAATAAGTATGAGTAACATTCTAAGAGACAGGATTGAATTCATCAGTCATCTGAAGTTCATGTTTTAAATACTAGACATATATTTTTTTAAATAGATAATGACGTAGAAGAGAGAAACAAAAATAGGTCCTTGATTTCTTAACTAAGACAGCATCCGTGTCATTAAGTCACTGTTAAAAATTCACCGACAAGAGTTACGCCGAGAAGTGATGATGTTCATTCTCATTTCCCCAGCTGTTTTGTAAAGTGTAACGGGAACAATATAAAGAGAACTCCATCTGTATTGTTTTTGCTCATTTCGTCCCCCCGCCGGCCCCCACTTGCCTGAGAGCAGATTTGAATCGGAGCCTCGGTCCGGATCCGGGCTTCCTGAATGGCCGAGCTCATTCCCTCCCCAGTGATGGGAGTGATTGTGGGAAGTGAGCCTGAAGATTGCTGAAGTAATTAACGTTCCTGCCGGCTGGCAGATCCAATCGTCTCGTCTCGAATCTGCAAACACACACACACACACACACACACAAACGCACACTCAGAAACGGATTCTAAAATGCAAAGTTAAATTGCGTACTGTGGCAAAATAAAAAAGTGTCCTCACACGCACAGACAGCTGTCACACTCTGAGTGCTGTAACGCTTTGATGATTTAGTTAATGTGATGGTGGAAGGCACAACGAGCAGAGCCGCGGCCCTTTTTTGCAGGTTCCTGCGTGTACGTCGGTGAAATAGTAATGATGTTTGTCTGGCTTGTGTATCTCCCTTCAATAAGGACATCATTGTAAATAAATCTCCCATTTTCCAGGCAGGAAATGAAGACGTGCTGCATCTCACGGGAGTTTCTTCCCCCGATGTTCTCCTGGTTTCCCTCATCCAACTGAACTATTTTAATAAACCCCTGCTCACTTCCTGCCGGGTCTCATATCAGCTGACCTAATATCTTCCCTTTATTCTGCCTTCTTTCCATCTGCTCCCCTGCTCCACCTGGCCTTATTCTCTCCATCTCCTCTCAAAGCCACATCATTTGCTCCCCTCCTCACTCGTAACGTATTCCATCCCTCCGCCTCTGATAATTCTCAGACACCACTTCTAGTTTCCTCCTCCTTCGCCCTAATTGTGCCAAATATTTCTCAGCCTCGCTTGATTTCTTCCCACATTTGTGGCTCCTTCTTATCTCCCCTCTTCTCCCTCTCACCGGTGAGGGGAAGGGCAGGCGAGCTTTTTGTCTCAAGGTGACTCGGAGCATCTGGAGCCGTTGCCGCGATACGTGAAGCAATCTATTGTGAGGCGGGAAGGTGTGAGGAGGCCGGACCTCGGCCCTCTGGGGACGTCAAACCACATCAAGCGTGCTGTTTGTTGCTTAGATACGCGTAAACAGCGTGTGTGCGCTTAAAATCCTCCGGACCACCGGGTTCGGTCTCGGCTTTTTGAGAATAATCTCGTTTAAAAAGAGCAGATAAAAGAGTGGCATATCTCTGGTGGCGAATTATGGGGGGGACGCGTGCCGGTTTGTGCGCTTAAGTGAATAAATGAATAATGCTTTTGCTTCGAGGGGGGGACTCGCAGACTCCCGTGTCACCCTGGCATGAATATTAAATGCCGGTTGGGCACCTAATTGTCCTTCATCTCTTCCTTTGCTTCCCATCCTTCATTTATGTCTGAGTTTGAGATGCTGTATTTGAGGCAAAATCATGTTATGTCTGTGTGCTGCTGCTAATGTATCACGGTGTGTAGTTGTGTTTGTGCGTCTGTGTGCAGCTCGTCCCAGGTGCGTCAATGATGTTTTCATATTTTCAACTTAAATCTTTCATCTTTTGGCACGTCATCAATTCAGACACACACACGTACATATATTTATTTAGCATAATCTAGTATGTGAGGGATGTTTATTTTGGAATGTATATTTTTGCTTAATTGAAGAAAGTTCATGGATCGCAACTCATTAAAAGGAGGATATTCTTATCTGTATCAAATAACCGTGAATATCAGCCTCATGGTATCGCGGCAGTAAAAATTAAGGGACCCTTATTATTTAAGCTTCTTCTTCTGCGGATCATAACTATTAAACGGCAATATATTCCAAACATTTGTTAAGGTATTCTAGTGTAGATCAATGTGATGGCTGCTGCCACTATAAAAAAACACAAGCTGACAGTTGTAACTAAACACTTAATATGAGAAATGTGCACGGTTTTAAAACTGGCAGTTGCACAGACGTAAATCAGTTAAATGTGACACTCGGACATCGAGACCCAGATGGCCTCATATTGAAGAGTGTTTACTGTCTAATGGCTGTTGAAATTAATGATTTCCTCTTGTCCCTTGGAGGAGCGTGGATGTGCTCCACTTCATCAGTATAACAATGAAACATTTATGCAAGTACAAGGTCTCCAACATCCGCAGCCAACGTTTTCTAATGACAGTTAGTATACAAGTACAAGGTCTCCAACCTCCGCAGCCAACGTTTTCTAATGACAGTTAGTATACAAGTACAAGGTCTCCAACCTCTGCAGCCAACGTTTTCTAATGACAGTTAGTACAAACAGGGTTCCAAAACTTAATACGTAACATAAAAGATGCTATTGGGGAACTATATGACTGTAGGTGCTTTCTAAATTAACCAGCAGTTTGAATGGTTGCAATGAATATATCATTTCAGAGCAAAAGAGGCAAATCTTAGTTTAACAACAACAACTTTATGACAATAAACAATGGATCTTAAAAAACATTGTGCTAATAACTAATTCACAAAACCGTCAATTGCAATCTCTTAGAAATAAGGTAATCAATAAAAAAGTACACGCATAATGTTATTTAAATATCTTTAACAGTAACCCTGCAGCTATCCAAAAACATTTATGTAAAAACAATAATCATTATATTATTATAACAATACATTTTAGGGCCAAGCAAAGCTGTGTCTGAGCTGCCCTTCCCTCCACTGCACGTCTACACACCTGTTCTTAATCAGCCTCGTTAGCCTTTCCCTGCTCTCAGTTTCCCCCCCAGCCAATCAGCGCCCTGCTTGTTCCCCTGTCTAATGACCTCATTCCCCTCACCTGGGCTTCCTGGCCCATCTCTCCTCCTGCACGGCATCGGCCTCCTCAGATTAGTTTATAGTAGCTATGTCGGATCTTTGTTTAGTTTTTTTCCGTCTCTACAAAAACCTACCGTGAAAAAAGGGATTTATTCGCCCGCGTGAACCCGTAAATGCTGAATCAGCTTCACGCATGCATGTGTGTGATACATTAATTTCTCTTTTACTCGTGTGACTCAGTTCAGGACCGTGATCCTGGCAACATTTACAAGATAACAGTCAAACACAGTAAACAGATATTAGCAATGAATCTAAGCACTAAGTCTTGCTTTGAGAATGTAGGATAAAGAAGCACGTCTTAGTTACAGAGGCACGCTGAGCCCCTTTCTGCTCTTCAGGGACGAAGAAAAGTCCAATTACCTTGAACCAAAAGAATATGGGATCAGTAGCAGCGCAGAGGATTAAATCAATATTATGGTCGAATCTGAGGCAATGCTCGAGTAACAAAGTGAGAGAGTAATGGAAAAATCAAAGCGCTTAATGTTTGGACTCTCCATCATTACTCACCTGGCCTCCTGAATAGTCTTATCTCGTCATGACGACAGCGTGGAGAGAGAGAGAGTAATTGCCAGTGCAACAGGTCACCTTGAAATAGAATAGCTTATCTTTACCTGAACTTTGTTTTAAGCGAGCGCCGACACAAGTTTAAAGGTCAGTCATGACGGCTTCTCCCTCAGTTTCAGCAGAAACAGATGGAGGGACAGAAACCTTGTTAAATCTTCAGAATAGATGAGCTGCTGTGTATTTATGTCAGTGACCGAAACCCCAGAAGAATATTTATCCAGTATGCTGTAACAGAGGACTGACCTCCAAATTAAAAACAGAAAGGACTCCTGATGAGTCCGTGATAGCCTGGTTTCAAGTTGGGATTTCCACCACATACCTGTAAACCACTGAAATGTCCCAGTTTCAACATCCATGATGAACCAGAACTAGAATTTTAAAAAAGCAAAATTTCAATGCTTGCTTTGAAATTGATCCTGTTTTACCTCACGGATTATAAACTAAAACAAAATAAAAAAGGTTAGTTGCCTAATAGAAAACTGTTGTTTTTCTAAAAATATATACTTTTGTGACCGTCAGATAGCAATAGTTTGCAGAGAACGTATCGGACACTTTAGACGACAGCCTGCACACTGACAAATACATTGTTTTAGTTATGTTAGGTAGTTGACAACCAATCAATTCATTGGATTTTAATAATTTGGTGTTTTTTGGGAAACAAAATTCTCTCTCGGTTGAGGTGTTATGCCGGGGAGATAAGTCATGACAAATTATTGTCTGACCTCATGATGAAGTAGAGCATGTATTATATACATGTGCAGTGCATGATCGTAGAGTAGGCTACACTTAAAAGTCCTGTGTTCAGGTTTTTTTTTTAAAATATGATCGATAATATAATAGAGAAAGTTTCAGCTATCCAATAACATTTACCCTTCTTAAATTTGTGCAAAATGTGGAACATTAAGCCATGTCAAAATGCAACAAAACGCACCAGCACTTCAAAGGTAACACCTCATTTCTTTTTGAATAATCTTTGAAATAACATAGACCAAAAAATAACCCCACCTTTAATCACCCTAAAATCATCGGGAATTCATTTTTACTCCTCAGTTGTTGCATATGGATTAAACGTGATAAAAAAAAAGACTAGCTTCACAATTAGCACACAGGGATGACATTGGTACCCATTTGCTCATAAGTCATTTGATGGAATTCAGAAAAACGTTGATCTGTTCCTCGTAACATTTCTCCATTGAAATACAATTTATTCCAAAAAGTATAGCACTGACCAAAAAATAAAGGCTCTTAAAAGAAGAGGCACACGTGCACGTTAATCCAAAAGGCTCTTTAATTGGTCTAAGTGATTAAATACAGGGTAAGGGAGCCAGGTAATATAGATACTGGAATATCTTTCATTACCTCATTTAACCATTGAAGGGGATGTGGAAAACAGGGATAATGAGTGGATATAAAAGAGTTGAAAATAGATAGTGATGGAAATCTTAATATAGGCCGACTGATAAAGTTATAACAAATATTTAAGTAAATTGGCAAAAGCTTTACAAAAAATAATGTGCCAAAATGGTGATTACAAAATGCGAAGAGTGACAATAAATTTATATTATATGTAGAATACATGAACGTGACACTAACCATCCTCAAATAACACATTTTCTTTATATCAATATAGTTATAAGATGCTGAATTTATTTATTGTGAGGCCCTGTGTGATGTCGTGCTGTACTGCAGCCTCATACTGACACCCAGTAAGGAAGAAAAATCCATGTTTAAGACAACTAGTGCTGGTCAGTGCTGTCCAAATACTTTTATCAATTAGCAGATTGTGTTCATATGGACTGCTTTTACGAAGTCTGCTTCCTCTATCTAATCCCTAAATCGCGACTTGAAGGATTTCTCTCCAAAAGATAATGAATATTTAAATATACCTTATCTTATATATATTAACAAATGTCTTAAATGATTATTTCATTCATGAAAACTGCTGCTCTTCTGTGTCTGGAGTTTCTTAATATTGAATGTCTTCTTTTGGAACTAAACTCTTCATATGTACGTTTTCCAAAATCTTGCTACAGTGGCTGCTTGTATTTGGTGGCTGTTTTATCTTATTACGTCACTATTTATCAAAGTAGCTGTTAAAAAGTTCCTTTTATTTCAAAGACTCCCGAGACTGAATCCCAACCATTCAGAATAAAATATACATCAACACACAGCATGAAAACTGGTTATAGTTTAACCATGCGCCAACAATGTGAACTGTTGTAAATCTTAAAGCACAGAAAACACATAAGCATTGTGGGAAAGAAGCAAGTGGGTAAAACTCAGCTTCTTGCGGATAAAATGGTAACAGTGGAGTCTTCATATCTTACTCTAGAATACATCAAAAAAGTCCTAAACATATGTAAAATATGCAGATTCAAACTTCTATTTTTACCATACAAGGGCACATAGAAAACCAACACTTAATTCAAGTTATACCATCCCTCCCGCTTATGAATCTAACCACTGTCTTCTCTTCACAAGAGTCTTTCCCTCTGTTAATCCACAGTGTCTATCTTGTGGGTCCTTTGAGACTCCCATCAGACCTCAGACTCCAGACTGGACACCCTTCGCCATGGGCGAAGTACACAGGGACTCCCTGCAGGCTGAGCCCTTGCTGCCTGACCTGCCAAGGCCTCCGATCCAGTCTGGGAACCCTGATAGACCCCATAAGCCCCATACACACTGTCCTGGTAGAGCAGAGCCCGCTGGCTTCCACATCTTCCGCCACCACAAGCCAGCAGCTGACACACCGGGCTGGCACCGGGGTGGTTGCTGGAAGCCTGGCTGTGGTGCTGTAGGTCTAGGGGGCCATGGTAGATGGGTAGTCCAGGGTACGAGTTCAGGTAGTGGGCGTACTGTCTGCTGAGCAAGCTGGTGGCTCTCCGTACCATCCCCCGCCCTAACCCTGTCCCGTGTCGTACTGCTTCGCCATACGTGGGTAGGTGGGTGGAATGGGAGTGGCGCAGCTTCTGGACCTTGCGCCCATTGGCCCTCCTCTGGTCCTCCCTTATGTGGAGGTAGGCCTGGTTCCTAGGGAGGCACAGGCTGTTTCGAAGTTGGGCGGGGTTGTAGGGCTTTGCAGGTGTGGTTGGTGTAAGAATGCATGGGAACAGGTCTGGCAGGGTGGAAGGGGATTGGCTGGACAGGGATGACTGGGATTCGTCCAGCTGCCGCACCTGCTCGCTGCCCCAAGTCGCTTTGAGGAAGGAGGGACGGCGGTGCCTGCGTCTTCCTCTCAGCATCAGATCCTCCGGGGGCCAGGAGCTGTAGTTCTCTACCCGAGGACACCTCCTCTCCCCTGAGTACATGCTGTTAACATTGGGGGCGGAGATGTGGTTCTCTTGGAGGTGGTTGGCTTTGAGTTCACTCAGATAGACCGGACTTATGCCTTTCTTTTCCTGGTCTCTGTGTTTTCTCCTCTCTAAATCCCCATCCTCACACTGGAAACTCTTGGACCTCCTCTTCCGTTGGGAGAAGCCCGCTTGGCCATGCTGGTTTTGAGGCAGGGAGACCGGATGAGAGGCGTAGATGTCAGGGAGTTGGAGATCTGTGTAGGGGATGTAGGGCAACTGAGAATGGGGGTCTATGTACAGTCTTCCTGTCGTCTGGTACTGGTGCAGGTGCTGATGAGGTGGCTGCTCACCCATGGCCAGGTGGGGGCTGCTGAGGCTGGACACAGGAAGTGGCCGGTCATACAGACATGGAGTAGAGCGAGTCGGGAGCGTGTAGCGCAGTGGCGTGGGCCTGGCGACTCCCCTCTGCTGTTTCAGGGAGGAAACAGCGGTCAGAGGTGGGGTTAGGGGGCAATGATTCTCCGTAATATAAGCAAATCCTCCTGGCACAGCCTCCATTGCCACCTGTGGAATACGAACGGGCAAGCTGCCGCCATGACGACTTAACTGCTGTATGGTCTTGGTGGCGTTGTCCAGAGAGGTCTCAACATTGGCAGTGGAGACTAGGTCCTTGGCAGTGCGAAGCATCTTTAGCATGTTTGCTTGAGCGTAGTTGGAGGTCAGGTCTGGTTTTGCAAAACCAGACGAATGCCCAGGATCCTCCATTCCCTTGTAACAACTGTAAATACCCTGAGGGATGATTCAGAATGACAAAGAATGAGGAAGATAAAGAAAGAATGAGGAGAGAAGCAGAAGAAGAAGTGGGAAAAGAAAAGTAGGGTATAAATTACGGAATCATTGGTAGTTCAATCAATAGTTAGCCACAAACTGTTTAACCTTAAATCAACCCGATGGACCCAAAGGAACCATTTCACTGAGGATATTTTAAACGATTTGTGCAGCTCAAGGTAATGTTCCACCCCTAACTAATAGAAACCGCACTGGGCATTAACTAAAAAAATGATCCTATTTTATTACTGAGGCAAGACTTAGTCACAAATTCATTATGCATTCTTCCGGGACTCAAGGAAAAACTTTAAGCTGTTGTTGTTTAAGCTGAGAGGATTGTCCCAGTAACGGACACAACCCACACACACACACACACACACACACACACACACACACACACACACACACACACACACACACACACACACACATGTGTCCACAACAAGTCCCCTACAGAACAAACCGTCTCTAACTGCTTGGACAAACACAGAGCCAAATCCCATGACTGCTCTCTGCTTACAGTTGGTTGGGAGACACTGAAAGAGCCAAATTTAATTTGGCCCTTGGGGCCGCCCCGTGCGGATTAATGATCAGATCATCAGTCATTTAGTCGCTAATCTGATAAAACCTTGATCCAGCCACAATAGTGTAATTACACGGCAGAGGAGGCTGGTGTCCGTGGACATTTCCCAGGCTGCAACTTCAACCAGAGCTTCCTGCCTCAGTAACTGTGGTCCCAAATAATGACCTCAACACAACGGGTCCTGATTTAAGCTAATTGCTTGTCCACATAAAAGCATTCAAAATTAAATGCTGAGTAAACACCACATACATCGCTGCTTTTAGTTCCTTTTATCTCTCCCCTCTCACTCTAAATAACAATGCAGTGCCAGTTTAGCTAATATCTTAACAAGGCCCTCTAATGATCCTAGGTATATGCATGCAAATATACAAATCCATTTGAGCTTATTTATCATCACATAAAAGCCACTGTGTGTAAAACAGCATGTAGCACAAAAAAGCAAGCAACCACTTAGAGTCCAAATAATCAAGCAGCCAATCTTTGAATTACTCATGGGAGCTGTTACTCAACTCCTCAAATCCCAACCAGCCAATCAGCCTGTTTAATAAATAAAAAGTGAAAAAGTAATTTACCAACCCCGAGTCCCATAAACCCAAAAAAGCTAATCAATCAAATGACTCCTTTGCGAATCTCACCCTGCTGATGGCCAACAGGAAGTCGAGTTTGTGAGACTTGCGGAGGGAGTGTCGTAGCTTCCAGTAAAGCAGGTGTTCCCAGGCAAAGACCAGCAGGCTGAGGCCCATTGCCACCAGCAGCATGTAGAAGACGCCCGCCATGTTGTCAATGTCCAGCTTGCTGCTCATCACTTCGTTCTTCTCGTTCTGGCAGATGCCCGACAACCACACGGTCTCTAAGCGCTGAGTGTCTCCTGGAGGTTTATGGGAGGTTAACGGAAAGAAAGAGATAGTAGGAGATTACTTGAGTAGAGAAGAGAGTGAATTAATAGCTTACAATAACCTGAATCTCTGCATAATTATCTTTATTCTTTTAGATAAACAGTGCATAATTACACCTTGTTTATGTGTGTGCTCTGAAATCCACTTTATTGGATCTGAAATAAAACTAATGCGAAAAAACAAAGCATGATTGATGCTTCCTCTCAAGTCAATGCATGTAAATTAATAATTTTAAACATATAGTGTTGATTCGTCACACTTGCAAAATTCTTCTTTTCACTAGCTTGCATGCCACATGATGCTAGAGATCTTTTCAATTATTGGACTTCAGGCGGATTCTCATATCCTCTTTTTTCGCTGTTAAAATTACGTACGGGATTACGTATAAAATAGGCCACACGGTTTTCACTGCAAATAACCACAGCGGGCCATCACCACTTAAACCTCCATGGTCCACTGATCCCAGACCTTTCAGAAATACCCAATATGCTGACATTTGGGGAAAAATGCAGAAAATATGGCAAAAACGTATATCCACATTTCCATGAGATCAATTGGCGGGACAGTAAAAACAAAGGGGTCTTTCATATCTACACTATATGTACACAAACCCAGCAGCCGAGTAGGACAATTTAGTGTTTTTCAACTTAATTTCTGCACCTATTGAATGAGAATTTACTGTGCCTGAACTCTCCATTAGCTCCTATTTTTGCCACAAAAGCTACTTCTCCAGGCCTCAGAACAGGTGGCCACCTATTGAGCTGTGTTCCCCCAAGTGGCCTCCAGGGAACACTTGACATTTTATCCCTCACTTAGCTTATGCTGACCATAAACACAGCATTTCTTATTAAATCATGAAAAGCTCAGTGAGTGTGTGGGGTTCACTTAAGCCCTCGGAGGAGAGAGGATATTTATTCCAGCTGTCATGGTGAGTATGTCTGTGTGTGAGTACAGGTAGGACGGATATGTGTGTGCGTGTACGTGTGATGGAAATAATCATATCCCTGACACTCCCCACTGTTCTGATATTAACTCTTCCCCGTAAGCCCACTTCCCTGCTGACACGGCACGCACTCAACTGACTGATGCCAGTTCCAATGGATCTCATACAGAGGGTCAGTCGGACAGGATTAAACACAGGTAGTGGACAGTATGAGTGTGTTCACGCAGGCGCGGGTTGTGTATTATGTCCTGTAACGTTTGGGTCACCGTCTCCAAGGAACTGCAGCAGCGCCAGGTCAATAAGACGCTTCCAGCGGGAGTCCTTCTGCAGAGCAATGCCGTATCCCGTGGTGGCAAACACTTTCCCGCTGCCGATGGTTACCAGCTTGCAGCCCTCGTCCTTCCCAGCCATGTAGTTCAAAACCGCAGCGTCGTAAATGAAGGCGTCCAGCTTCCTGCAAGTAAATGGATATTCTTTGTTTGACAGAAGGTCAAGCTTCTACAAAGTTCTTACATACATGTCTTAAAGGATCCTGCAGTAACATTTTGAACCGCTTGTCGCGATCTGGGGACCGTGAATGGTTGTACCAAAGTGTAAACCAATGGGCATCACCCAAATCACCGGTGATCATGATATCAGTACCAAATCTTAATCCAATCCATCTAGATGTTGTTGAGATGTTTCAGTCTGGACTATCTGGCTGACATTCTAAGGGAGAAACTTAAGGGCTCACACTGATTATCTATTCATGTTTCAAATGCACATTTTTATTCCACACTGCACTGCATTCCACTGTACACAGCTTGCACTCATCGGGTTCAAAATGTGCAAATAGCTTCAAATGCTTGTTCTTAGTGAAGATCATGCAGCACTTCTTTATACAAAGTACACTTCACCAGACACGCTTCTTTTCATCTAAGAATACACCTATCAAATTGGCCCAAATCACTAGTAGTAGCTACATCACAGAGAGCATCAAATCTCTGCTGTATCCTCAAACATGTGATTGCTATTACTGTACCGTCTCGTGTCTTCACTGGCAGGAGGATCAGTTAAATACAACTTCTCATCTAACTGTGTAATAAAGTTAAATGCTTGTGAAACTGTACCCGGTTTTGAGGCTTTCCAGAGCTTCTTCAACCCCCTTCTGGTTGTACTTTGTCATGTGCATGTGCATGTCGGGGTAGTTGCTGCGGATGTTCCTCTCTGTGCTCCCGTTTGGAACCGTCCCGAAGCGAAAAGGAGGGTAATGCTCATGCGGTTTTTGGAACTGTAAGGAGACACAAGATGAAAGGAAAAAGAAGGAGGGAGAAGGTATGAGGAGAGGGAGACGAGAGAATGGGAGAGGGGGAGAAGAGAAGAAATTTGGTAAGAAGAAGTGAGTAAGGATAAAATTGAAGGAGAGGAGAGAAACTGAAAGGGGGAGTGGCAGAATAGGGGAGGATGGTTTGGGAGGAGGAGACAGCACACATAAGGCACCACAGTGAAAGGATGAAAGAGAGAGAGTGAGAGAGAAGGGAAAGGGAAGGGAAGAGTAGAAGGAAGTAAAGATATAACCGGGAGAAAAGGGAGGAGTGGATAAGACCGAAAAGGGGAAGAAAAGAAAGGATAGGGAGCAGGCAAGTCAAGAGAGAATAAAGCGTACCAAAAAAATGATGAGAAGAAAGGAAAGATGAGAGGGGAAAGGAAATGGAGGAAAGGAAGGAAGTTAGAGAGAAGAGGAGAAAAACGGAAGGAAAGGAAAGAGGAGTTAAGAAGAGATGACAGGACAAAGCAAAAGGTATGGGAGGAAGAAAATCAAAAAGACGAGCAAAAAGTGAACCAGGGTGAGTAAACGCGGTGGAGAGAAGTAAAGAGGACGGAGGACCCCTTAGTTAAATTAAATCCATTTTAGAGTTGAATTCCCATTTTTTCCTGAGGGTGAGTTAATCAGCAGCCAAACTGAATGTCGTTGGAATGGAGCGGAAAAACAGCTCACCGCCATCTGAGCAAATCCGACTTCAGTCGGGAAACACATCTGTTTGAATCGCGTCGCTCCACGCAGATGATCCTAATTCACTCCAATTTGTACCCGATCGAAGCTCACGTTCTGCGAGCTGACTTGTTAATGCAGGACGAAACAGAAAAACGTCTGTTAGAGCTCAACTAGACCTTAAACGGGGAGAAATCCATTCATCTTGGTTACAGCATTGACCTTTTGAGCCGAGAGCAAATGAATGGGCCAATCCCAATGTGAGTGTATGTGTTTTGATGTAATCACTCTTCAGCTGAGACTGCATTGGATTCAATTGAGACACCTCCTTGTTTTCAGACATCAGCCACCAAGGGAAGATTAGAATTTGCTTCTCATTTTTTCATGTCGGGTTTAATGTCATTTTTCTATAGTTGCTGAACGAACTGAACTCGTTCTTCCTACTGGCAGAAAATAAAACCGATCTTCAATTCAATTGATGTAGAACTAAAGACACTAAGGGGTCCTTTTAACTGGAAGTTAGTCAGAGTTAAGTAACACTTCTTTATTGAAACTCTTCCCATTGATTTGTGCCTGTTAATCTATATCTAAAATCTGTTAATCTCTGTGAAGCAATTAGTCCCATATAAAATAGTTCCTTCCATACAGTTTGGCAATCTAAAGGGTACGAGCCAGCGCAAAAAAATTAATCACGCTTGTCAGGTTTGGTTTTTCCACAGTTTGCCTGTGGAACAGGACTGTGTATTGAGAGGGGGATCAACCCATTGATGTTCATCCTTTTATTGCATTTATTAACAACAAGAAAAAAAAAACAAATCACAAATGCCTTATCCTTTAAACCTGCGAGACACAAACCCAGTCAGCCCACGAGCTGAACACGCCTACTCCTTTGTCGTGCAAGATCTCCGAAGTGAAGTGGCGGCTGAGGTTGTGTTGTGCACGGCCATTTATATCAGTCCCTTCTGCTGTGGGACCCAATGCATCTGCATAAAGTTAACATAGTCAGCTAATACAACCATAGATCACTGGGGCGGCACTGCCGAGTTGTTTTTGCTATGAAGAAGGATACGCTTTCTTGTGAAGCTCCTCTGAGGCCCTGTTTCCAGGTTTAGTGTGTGTGTGTGTGTGTGTGTGTGTGTGCGTGTGTGCGTGTGTGCGCGCACATTTAAGTGGTAGAAAAAGTCTGTGGGTGTTGTTTTTCCTCTGTGGCTTGACTGTTTTTAATCGCTTGACATTTGGCAAACCTTCTTTTAACAATGTGAGCTGGAAGCGAGACGGAGACGGCACAGGGGGAATATTGATAGACCGAAATACTGACAAGTCCACTCTGGGACAAGTGGAGACTCGCACAACATCTGAATTGACAGAAGGCAGTAATTGATTAGCCATTCATGCCACTGGACTCCCCACTGATTTGAAAAAGGACAGAGACACAAGAAAGTCATTTTAGTTGACTTCATCTTGAAGGCCCTCGGCGAGTCTTTTGTGCCTCTCCGGTTCATGCTCTGTTAGTCGATGCAGAGGGATGGACGGAGGAAAGGAGAGATGACGGAGCTGGATCTAAACACAAAGACGTCGTTCGCTGCGTATCTCACAGCCCCACAAAGACATCCTGCCTCCCGAATGCCTGCGTGAGCACTCAATAACTGCCACGGCCCATAGCCGCCCCGGTGTCGTTTATTCAGTCGCTTACCTTCTTGTCGGAGAGCCCGGACACTGTGTCGATGTATTGCTCCTGGATCATGAAGGCAGCCAGGTTGGCAGTGTATGAGGCCAGGAAGATCACAGCGAAGAAGGCCCAGACCAGGACCATGATCTTACTGGTTGTTCCCTTCGGGTTTTCGATGGGGACCGAGTTGTTGAAGACGATGCCCCACAGCAGCCACACTGACTTCCCGATGGTGAATGTTGGGCCACCAGGTGCTGAGGAAACAGGGGAAGGAGGTTGGGGTAACATGGGGTTATATCGTGTAGGAAGAAAAGCGTGTTCTCGTTTTACACAGCAATGGTTTAGGTTGAGTTGTCAAGCCAGCTTGGTTAAAGTTAGAGAATAATCACTGTCAAGGTGCAAAGAAAACTGGTGAAACTGGATGTTTTTTGTTGAGCCATCAAACCACCTGGACCTGGATCAACATGTGTTGCTGCTTTGGTCAACAGTCCTGTTTGAATTTGGGACAATCTTTCCACAAAGTACTAAAATGTAGCCGAAATAACTCTAAAAAGCACCTCGAAAGGTGAGTGAAAAGCAATTTTTGCCATTCAAGCTCTCAAGCTTCTGTAAACTTTCAAACCATGGAACAATTTAACAGCCCCGGGCCGTTTCCATTGCTCTCTGCCACCGTCATGTGCAGCGACTGAGGGTGCCCCCGCCATCAATCACACTTCGATTAGCGTCGCGGCAAATGCTAATTAAAACGGGAAAATGACCTTTCGGACCGCGGGACGAGGCATGCTATGTCACTGCTGCATTGTGGGATTGATTAGCCCTTTCCCCAAATTCCTGTTGAGGAACTCTTCTCGTTTCGAGGTTGCGCAGCATGCGGGCTTTGAAAAATTTTAATTAAAAAATCCACGATAAACACAGGAAACTGCTGGACGGTCTTTGGTTTTACTCTGTAGAAATGTAGAAAAGACATTAGAACTGAAACAAAGAGGTTTAAAACTCACTTTTGGCGCTCACCAGGCTTCGGTTGTAACCAACTGGACTGAGGTATTCGAACACAAAAACTGTCACCGCCACCACGGTCAGGCACATCACGAACATCATAACCCAAACTGCTGGGCTGTAGGGCTCTGGAAGAGGAGGAGGACGAGGAGGAGGAGGAGGAGAAGTGAAGGAGCAAACATGAAAGATTAAAGTAAGTCCCTTTTTTTACTTAACCTCAGCCTGTGATGGAGGTCGCCATATGTGGCGGGGGGATGGCAAGATGAGAATATGAGAAAACAGGAGTACACTGTTCCGGATTTTGTGCTAAATTGTGTTGTTTCAGGTTTGGAAAGGGGATTTAGGTGTGTGTGCGGTACGTAAGGGGATTTAGTTGTAGGCTCCAGCTATCGGCGGGATAAAAGCTTAATGGGAAGTTTCCTGACGCGTGTGCCGAGACAGAACTAGTTTAAGTAGGCCATCCTGGGAGAAAGGGGAGAAGGAGATGGCAGCAACGTTGGCTGACACGTCCTGCACATCGAACTCCGGGACAACGTGTGTTATGAGCGCTTTGAACTGACAAATCGATCCGGGAGAATCGATTTTTGTTTCTTTCTTACCGAGGAAGGCAGACGGGGAAACCGTCCCGTTGCTGCGGGCCACCATGACGCTGATGCCCGTCTCGACAAACGGCACGGAGAAGTCGATGATTTCCGAGCGCTCCTCGTTGATGGTGAGAGAGCCGATGGCCATGTCGGCTCGTCTGTACACAACCTGGGAGAAGCAGGACGGAGGCGCACTGTCAAATGCCGCGGAGGAACAGTTGTCTCCTCGCGGTGGTCTTTCCTGCGTTTGTGAACCATTTTGTTTTGTAAGAAAAGACCAAATGAGTGTTTTATCGCCGCGTCCCAAACGACAGCCTGCAACAGCTCTGAATTTCATGAGCAAACACTGAGGCCACAAGGCACGATGTGACAAACACTTCGTGTGGCTCTAATGACTGCCGCTGCAGGGATACAATAAATATTTGTCCCAAGGCCAGGCCAGGTTTATTTGTATGGCAACTTTCGACAACAAGGCAAGGCAAAGTGCTTTGAAAACAAAACCATTTAAAGCATCAAATTATAAGGCAAAAGAAAAGGAAATATTAAATGCAGAAATGAGTGGCATTGATCAACATCCTTGAATCTGGAACCTTGAAGGCAGCAGCAAACAGAAGTCTTCCATCTAAAATTGTTCTGAATCGGCTGCAGTCGTCTGATTGACTTTACACATAAACCTGTGAGCACAGCAGCCCAGTCCGCTGCAGACGACTGCATGGACACTTTGTTGAGAAATACTGTAAGTACTCTAATTATTGCTATATTCTTCAGGCGATAGAAGGCTGGTTTTCTAATTGTCTTTTAATGGCTGTTCAGATTCATGTCTGAATCCTAGATTTCTAGCTTGGTTTGTAGTTTTTAACAACAGCCAGACTGAAGCAGATGTTAAAAACGTTGGTTCTTGGCCCTAGAAACAATTACTGTTATTATTAGTTCAATGCATTTACCCAACCCTTGTCCCAACAACCATGTAATCAGAGACACCAATCTCAGGCGTGCTCATGTCTGAAATTGTTTTTTTTAAAAGAGAGAAAAATATTCTTTTTTCAGAGAGAAATGTTTTTGTAAATGAGGCACGCGCACACACACACACACACACACACAGATTCAGAGCCAGAGAAAAAGTGCCGGAGGCACAGAAACGCAGGCAAGAAGGCTCTCCTGAGGAACACTTGTGTAGGTCGGTTCACTTTCAGATCCCGCCGCGTTTGATGTGTCTTGGTGTGTGGGAGAAAAGAGTGTGTTCGCTCCATATATGCACCAATGGCCTCACGCCACTGACCTAAATAAAAACCCATCAAAGGAAATCTCCAGGCCGTGCAATGCAAGTGCCACTGAACACACTGTGCTTCATAAGGGACATTCTCAAAACGACTGTGCCTTTAGGTCTGCTGGCATATTTGCCTATATGAAGTGATAATATGTCAGCATTGTCTTGGTTTCATATCAATTATTTCAGCCTTAAAATTTAAAGTCACTTTATTTATGAATGATTTTGACCACATATGATTGGCTACATCAGGTATATTCTTAAAAGAATCTTCCTTGTTCTTTAACTGTACATTTTTATCATAGTGTTCTTAAAACTATCGGTAAGCATTTACTGATATTTTTGCTGCCTTCTTCAACAAACACCTCTAACGTAATTAGAGCAAATCCTCGCCCAAAGCCGTGCTTATCTTAGTTAGATCCATGGAAGAACATTTTAAAGCACTCTGCCCTGATAATTGTCCATAGAACAAATCCAGCTACACCTGTTGTTGCATTCAGGGGCTTATCCTCCTTTAAACGCCTCTGCCCTCAGTCTCACCTCTCCGATCATGCCGTTCCACGTCCCGCGAACCAGCTTGCCGTGTTTCCCGTTGGTGACGAGGTAGAGGTCATAGGAGAACTTGATGGTGCGGGACAGTTTCTTCAGGATGTCTATGCAGAAGCCCTTGCAGCACAGTTTGGTGTAGGACTCTGCGTGGCCCATAACGCTGACATGGAGATGGGAAAACACAGTCACACATACAGTTCTTGAACATCTGGGGATTTAAAAACCTCTCTATGGCAGTGGGGACTATATTTAGCTGGTGGGCTCTCATGCCGACAGCGATCGTTGTCTACGGCGGGGGCTTGAAGGGCAGGCGATGGCCGGTTCGTTAAGTAAAATCAATGTCTGTTAACAAGGTGTCGATGGAGACGGAGGAGACGACAAAACACGCACATTGTGACGGAGCCCTCAGCGGACGGTTGAGTGACTGTGGTGGCCTATGATCAAAGGTCATTAAGGTGTGTAGTGTGTGAGAGGTACTCACTTCCACTCTGTGGCCTCGCCACTTAATGGGGTGGAGAGGAAAAAGAACAGAAGGAGGGGAAATGGTGGAAAAAAAACAACAAAAACAAAATAAACGTTAATAGAGACAGTAAACAACGGACACAAGTGAAAAGCCGACACAGTGAAACTTCCTGAAAACGAGCTCCTAATGTGGAGGCCTAACATCTGTAATTAAATGTGACTCAGCATGAGAGGATGTGAGCGAATGAACGAGCGAGACATCAAATTGAATGGAGTCAAGTGAGCGATTAGCATTCAGGTTGATTATTTTCAACAGCGTAAGAGTTCATTTCAGACGCATTTGAAGGGTTTTTGAAATGCTCACTTCTTTCACGGGAGCCGATAGCTCCGATAAATGTGTGTTAATTAATTGCTGCAGGAGCTGGCCACCTGTCGCCATTGTACACACTCCACTAACAACCCACACACACACAAACATACCTAAATTGGTCTTACACACACACACACACACACACACACAGGAGCATGTGCACACATGTAGCTCGGTATCCGTGGAGGATTAGCAGCAGTTGGGCTCTGTTCTTCATAAAAATCAGAAACTGGTGCAGCGCGGAGCGAAGCGCCGTGAGGGATTCTCAGGTGAACGGTAGACGGGAAACACACAGCGGACGAGCAGACAGGGCGTGGACTTCAGTTAGCAGAGAGAGGAGGGCAAGAGCAAAAGGAGGACAGATGGACGAGGAGGATAATTGAAATGCACTACTGTGGTCTGGTAAGACCGACGTGGTAAAAAGTCAACGTGACCGGAAATACGGTCGTGCTGAAATCCTTTCGTCACGTGGATATTGTCCAAAAAAAGAACAAAAGCACATACAGATTCGAAAAGCTCTCTGCAATGAACACTAATCATTTGTTTTGGTTTTAGTACCTTATTCTAAAAATGCGGTACCAGACATTTCCTTTTTCTTATAGTTTTCCTCTCAGCTTTCTGGCAAAGGAGGCCGTCGTCTGTCCAAAGAAAGGACCCTTTTTGTTTTTTCTTTTTTTAATGAGACAAAAAAAAAATCCTAATCACCCTAAACATCTGCTCTGCGGGGAAGCTGCTCAAACCAGACAGCAAGATTAACTGTTTTTTTATGGTCGCGGTCCTCTCTCCCGCTCTCTTTCCGTCGCCCTGTTTGTTGGTCATCGTCCAAATGGGACGTGCCAGCCTGAGAGAACGGGTGAAAGACACACAGAATGAGGGTAGCACAGGATAACATTGTCTCGCGCTATGACGGATGACCCATGTTGGACAGATAAATCTTCTTTACTGGCAATCAATGTGTCATCGCGCCCAGCAAAAGCCCCTACATATCTCTCCCTATAATGAATGCACCAGCCATGGTCAGCTATGCAATCTGCACAACCCATACTGACACACACACACACACACAAACACGTACACAGAAACATGTGGAATCACTGAGGCGAACATGAACATGACATTTACAGGAGGAATTGTTTGTTTTCGGTTGTTTGGGTGATTAGAGGTGATCAATCTGTGCATATAACACATTGAATCTCTAATGATTCAGCACCAGTTTCGGCGGTAGGCTACATGTGCGGCATGCTGGGTAAACGCCCTGACACAGCAGGCCGAGCGTCTGTCGCCCTGGTTTTTTCAGCGGTGTGACCCTCATCACTGGCAGTATTTTGCAGGTGTTGACGGGGAGATACACGAGAAAGAAGACGGCACACACACAGAAGGATGGTCTCATTCTTCATCTTTCTCTCATCTGATCATTCCAGTCCACCAATGTGTTCACAACAACACAGCTGTTTGTGAAGAAACGAAGCTAATGTGGTGGAGCGAGATGGTCTGAAGGTAGTGAGCAAATACATGTTCATGTACAGTATGTAACGTATGGCACACGTACGTACAGAATATGCATTCGCAGTCCCATTTCTGCATTTCCAGCAGCTGAGTCTTTGCAGTGTGTTCAAGTGCAACTTTTTGACCAGACAAATGTGGCAAAGCCCCAGTCGGCCTTCGTCCTAACCGGTGCTTTTATGTTGGTTCGGTGTGTCTGGTTCTTTCCACCATAAAAAACATATCAGCCGAGAGCAACATGATCGATTAAAAAATGTAGCATTAAAGCCGGAGGACCGGCAGCAAATTTGACGTTTTATCCGTTATCGTGTGATCTCGCTGGGTTTGCAGAACAATGTGTGTGTCCTCTGCTCGTTGCAAGGATCTATTTATCATGCATGAATGTGAGCACTTTTTTGTACAACCACATTACAGGGGTGGCTGAGACATGACTTGAACAAGCCCCCGAAATAGCTCGAGATGTCATCGCATTCATTTCATTTTTTTTTCTGGGACATAATTCAAACTGCTGTGTATGGAGATCAGTTTCTCAGTGGAAAAATTGAAAGCTTTATAAACCATAATATGTTTTTAATAGATAGATCCTGAATAGATATTCTATTATTGGCCCATCCAAGATGAAACAACTATAATATGTCGCCACATTTCTCCCCTCTGAATAAGGAAGAGCAGGTTTTATGCATCACACTTTGTCTCAAACGCAATTTGACAACTTTCAAATGCAAATGAGATACAGCAAACAGATCTTGAGGCGGTATTGGGCATTTACTTCCCATTAATCCTCGAGAAAAAAAATCTGTTATAATATTCAATAAAAAAAAAGAGAAGAAAGCCCTCTGGATAGATGCGTTAAGACTCAGAAGCTAACATCACATCGATTGAAGGTTAATCAAGAAGACAATTCAATTCTGACACCAAAAAACAGGGATCTCTGAAAAAAATCCCGATGAACAGACATTGAGTGTTTGTCATTCTCTGCGCTCACATCTCAAAGGACAATGGCTATTTGTTTCAGCAGGACACCAGAAAGACCCGCTAGGAGTTGTAAATATATATAATTTGTTCCGTTCCTGTGTTCACCGCAGAAACAATGAAGCCAAAGTGTTTGTTTGACAGAGTGCAATCAAAGTCGCGTCAGGCTGGTGCTTCTGTTAGCATGTGTTTGAATAATGAAGGCCTCGCGTATTCCTGACGAGCAGCAGTCGTAGGGAGCCGGAGCTGTGAAATGGCTTTTTTTTTGTCTGCCACGCTGCGCCCGGTGTTTTTAAAGAACGTGCGCACACTCGATGCACACAATTACTCCGCTATTAATGACGTGTGGAGGTTCACGGTGTCGACTGACAACCAAACTGGGGCAGAGCATCAGAGACGGAGGGCGCAGATGTTTCAAATGTTTGAACACTCTCAGGACGAAATGCGACTTTATCTTGAGAGACGTGAAGTGTTTTTCCTGAAACACAATTATCCCAAATGATAATGTTGTTCTAAAGACTGGTTGTTTTGTCCAAAATTGGCAACAATCTTCAGAAACCTAAGATAGCTGAGGCTTAAAATCAGCAGCTAACAAAACAATCTTACCTCAAGGTCCGCTCACTCTGTTGTTCTGCAGGTTCCAGAACCTGTTCAAGTTTTTTTTGTTTTGTCAGCAGCTGTTTTTTTAACTGTCAACCAAATGGTGCAGTAAAAGTGAGTGACGGGCATTGCACATTTTAGGAGATCCAAGCCAAAAATTTGCAATCTTGGGAGAAACACAGCCAAATGCCTCATCTGTGGTCAAGGACTCGTCCACCACTAAAGCTGAATGCTACTGCAAACCCCCCAAAAACCCCAACATGACACACAACACTCATTCCAGCGTGATGCTTCTGCTACAAACATCGGAAACTCACTTTAAACCCAAAAGTGATGTTGTTCAGTGTGACACAGATTGCAACCAAGTGGACCTGGAGTTGAAAATGCTTTCATCCACCAATGAGTAAACAGCCTGAACGTGGACAACGTTCCACACCAGCTTTGGACTATTTGACAGTACTCGACCCCCCAACTCCAACTCAATCACGTCAATCACGCCGCGTACCTCGCTGTGTAATTGGACTGGCGCCTGCAGGGCACCGTGTTGCGGACACACGTGCCGGTGCCCGGGTCCACGTTCTCGACCATGACGAAGGGATGCTCCTCCAGCGTGGCCACGGTCAGGTGACGGTCATCGGACACGTGCTCCAGGAAGCTGCCGTACCGAGGCCAGACCGGGTAACGAACCTGGAGGATCCCTTGAGCGTACGTCCCGACCTAGAGAGGAGGAGAGCGACGAGTGTTATCCTGCACGTGTTTTTCAACCCTCTCTGCGTATCGACCCTTTCCCTTTTCACCTGTCTCGTCTTTCCCTACTACACAGGGTGAGTGGGTTTTTTAAATTATTATTTTAAAAAGAGAAATTTGCATGTGCTGACCTGGAGGGAGAGAATTAAAAGATGAAAGATGAGGAGAGTTCATTAATGCATGAATGAGAAGCAAAAACCCCAGAATATACAACAAAGAGTAACTGGCTGCATGACATTAATAATACATCCCAGCATATGTTGCTTTCAATCTGCGATCATTTTGACGACCGATTGATCAGTAATTCACTTTCTTCTGTTAACGTGATTAACAAATTAAAATGTCACTGTTTATTAATGGGAACTGTTCCAGCAATTAGTGTCATTTGTCAAGTGTGTTAAAAATTATACTAGTAAGAGTAATATTCATATTTGCTCCTGTGGAACTTATTTAGAAGAGAAATGACGCAAAAAAAAACTTTTCAGAACTGGGACTCATAACATTTGGGAGTGGCCCACAAATGTCAAATAAGACAACTCAATTTTTTTGTGAGTTGCCTAAACGAAAGAAAATTAGCTTCTACATTCCGATCACATCTGGCTCCAACTCTGAAGTCACAGGAGATAACTTGAGCTTTTCAATAAATCAGACAGAGCAAATTTGTACCAGAATTGCTATATAATGTCAGATCACACAATGAGTAATCGGCATTAGTGTTGGCACTAAACTCAGTAAAAACGCGCTCTGCGAGAGCCAGGACGGTTTGTCATATCAGCCCCACCTAATGAGCCACGCTGAGCTGACTTACTGCGTGTGAAACTCGCTCCCTCGCCGCTTTAATGAGACCGCTCTTTCATACCGACTCTTGATTTGTTCTCCTGCTAACGTTCTTCCTTAGTCATACATGGATGGATTACAAATCTTGAAGGTACAGTACGCTGGGCGCAAGACGATCATTTTTTTTCCCTCAGCACCATCTGTGAAGATCAGTCATTTCGATCCGTCTTTTATGGGACGTCTCATCGTCTCGTGGAGGATCTTAACAGAAGCTCTGTCATCCTCACACTGTTGGGGAGGTGCAACAACTTTTGTTGGTTATTCCATCTTGGGTCAAAGCACAGTTTGAGGATCTTGGAATTCATTAACTAGTACTTCATGTTAGAAATTTAAAGAAAGTTCTTTATTAGATGTGTTTCTTTAACTTCTTCCCAAGGCAGCAAAGTCCAAATAATAAAGTGGGAAATATACAGCTGTCTGTTTGATGGATGTCATAAAAGGTGATCAAAGTCAAACAATCTATAAATCAAAGCTGGATTTTATTGAATCAATGCATTTTAAATGAATATTTATGATGCGTTCATCATGTCAAGTCGTGAGCAGCAGTCCCTCATTATTTGGTATCTGCTGTCATTTCCCTTTTCCCAATTCATTTAGCTCAATGTCAAAATTGCTGATTGGAGGTTTATCCCCTGTTCAGGATGTGAGGACCTTATTAAAGGGTTATTAAAGGTGGGAAAATGCACCCTGGGGGCATTCTGATCCTTCCGGTTGTGATGCAGACCTCATCTCAGCAGATATTGTGAAGCTGGTCTGTTTTTTGGACCTTTTTGAAGCTTCTCTGCTGCATAAACCTTTCTCATTGAAATCGAATTTGAACACAAGATAACACATTTTTATTATAGCTTACCTGCATCTGGCCGACCTCGTGCAAGAGTTTGTTCTTGACCAAGACCAGCAACCTGGATTTTGTTAATTGGTTTAATCTTAAACATATTTCTGGAAATGTAATTTCAACTCCTCTTTTAGCTCTAACTTTGGTCTCCACCAAAATATACTGAATACTATCTACTACATTGACGGGCTAATAGCTTAATCACCTATTTCCGTGTTAGTTGTTGTTGTTAGTTTTTGAACCGCACACGAGCAGCTTCGCCACACCTGCACACGAGGACGCGAGGAACCGATGAAGAGTTGGCTGCACGTGCGTTAAGATCTACACACACACATACCAACCAAAACCTCCACTTCAGCACAATTAAACATCATGTTGACACACACGCGCGCATACATTCACACCAGCCAGTAGGTGACATTGATGTAGCAGGTTGGTCTCTCCAGGCCAGAAATAAATGAGTTCAACTGTAGCTGTGAGATTATGTTCAGGTTGTCGGGGGGTCGCACTTCTTTAATATACCCTCAGGCTTTGAAAAGTGTGTGTGTGTGTGTGTGTGTGTGTGTGTGTGTGTGTGTGTGTGTGTGTGTGTGTGTGTGTGTGTGTGTGTTTGTGAAAAAGGGGTAAGAGAAAAAAACGGCTTTAACAGTAAACACATTTAAAAAAAACATTGATTTAAAGCTAAACGACTACAAGACTTCAACCTTCAAATCTAACATCTAGGTGAAGCGTTCTAGATTTGATTTTTAAGACACACAGTTTCCCTCCACCAGCTTAATTCATTTTTTTCTTCTTTGTTAAAATACAGACTTCACATCCCCAACACAAGAGGCATAAACTAGTTAAACCCAGCCAAATTATGTGAACAATTTATGGGTTTTTAAACTGTGAGATATTACATAAATTTATTGTGCACGATATGTTGACCTGTTGGGGAGCTACAGGCAATAACAATGGAATCATCTTTTCACAGTAAACTTTGGGTAAGAATTTTATCTGCATAAACAACAATAAACATAAAATTAGTTGTTTTCCCTAAAACTAACCTGAAACCTGAAGGAGAATTGTCTATCAAATACTGCTACAAAATATCACTGTTCTCGATCTGTGAAACCATAAAGCTCTGTGTACAATAAAATAAGACAAATATCGTGTTTCTGGTGACCGGTACCTTGTCCCAGAGTCTGTCTCGGTCCAGAGCGACGATGACCATGGAGGGATTGGAGAGGAAGCCTTGATTATTGAATGACAGATCTTTCCTTTCCCACGTCACATTCAACATGTGCCTGCGACCCACAGAAACGGTTAATAGATTCAGAAGTACGTCGCCTGCAATCATGAATTGATTTGATTCCACGTAGCCGCAACATTTGCATATCATTTACACAGATAAACACACACTATGATCACCACCTAATTAAACCTAAAGCTCCGCTGCAGGGCTTAATGCAATGAGGGAGACTGGAAGTAGCTCATTAGGGAATGAGACAGGCAGCTGATTGGTGGAGGGCACAGTGTTCCTCCTGAGTAAATGTCCTGCCTGTTAAGGTGTATACATCCTCGACACACCGTTGCTATGAATAATGAATCCAGGTCAAATTGCATTTCAGAACAAAAAGTACAAACTTAACTTCACCTTCATGCAGCGTATCTGAAGTTGTACTTATTTGTGCGTCAGTGTTGATCAGGCTATTAGGAGTTGTCTCACTTACTTCACCAGGAGGATCATGCGCCTGGGTGCGTGAGTGTGCATCTCTGTCCTGCATTCAAACTGCATATTTGGGGTTTTCACCGTTATGGCTGCATGGAAGCGGTGACTCACACTTGCGAAACACCTTTCAGTGCCTGTTTTATTCTACCATCACGCAGGAAGCCTGCCTACTCCTCAGGGGGCCGTTAAAGGTAACACACAGCTGAGAGCTCTATGACCCCCTGCCATTACCTTTATCGCACAAAGGGGGGGTGTTAGAAATTGGAACAACCAGTACACAACCAGTACACACACTGCTGCATCTTGCCACTGCTAAGCGGGCAAAAAGCTTGGCGATTTCCATTTCGTTTTAAATGGCTTTGCTTGCAGACGAGTGTTTTCCCCGGCACCTTCCCATTTGTCATTGCTGACAAAAAGTCTGACTTACCTGAACAGAGTATTGTTGTCTGAGTGTTTAGCCATTTTGTTGCAGTTGCCGTGTCCCTCGGGAATGAACCCGTACTGATTCTTGAAGCTCTCGGCTCCTTTCGCTACGATGGCAACACCTTCCCTCACTCTCTGCCGCAAGTTCTTCCTCCACTGGTCCGTAATCACGCCAATAACGCCGATGGGGAAGCTGACGGGTGGAGGGAAGTCGGGGTTGCCGACGGCCTGACTGGTGAGCATCCAGATGTAGCCGGGCCCCAGCAGACCCACCTCAGCTGCCTGTTGAAACAGGTACTGCGCCTCCTCAAAAGAGCAGTACGCCATCAGCACCTGAGAATCCACCTGCGGACAGAAAGGAGGAGAAAAACACTGCCGGCGCTGCTGTAGGTCACGGGGAGCCTGTAGCACCAGATGTTCCTCTGCACAAACCTCAGCTGACAAAAGTTTTGTTTCGCTAGGTGGGGATTTGAGCTTTGCAAAATGAATGCGACACAATCAAAACACAGAATTTTAGATTGCGTCACACAGATTGCATGTGTAGTGACAAATCATTTTAGACTAAATTGTTGTGTTTTTTGGCTTAACCTCTTTTATCACATCTGTTATTTTTCCCTCATTTAAATTAAATGATTTGCACACATATTAAGACATATTTATTCATTTAAACAGATTAAAATGTAACAAAGTCACACTTACAATGAAACGTTTTAACAGTTTCATATATTGTTGAATATAAATTAAAACAGAAACTCTGGGATGCTCATGTGGAGCCCAATCTCTGCTACATCTCAGCTTACCTGCTGCAGCAAGCGTTTGGTCCTTCCGTCATTCGAGCCAACAGACATTTCCAGGGTCAAGATATCCTGTAGATTCCACAGGAAATACGAGGTGTCCGTGTAGGACTGAATTATATCTACAAAGGTGTCGTATCCCGGTAGCAAACTGGTTATCACTGCAAACTCGCCCCAGTCGTACTCTTCCATTAGCTGAAATAGAGAAAGAAGACAAAAAATATCGAGGTCATAAAAATGTGGCAATTAAGAATGATTGTGAAGGAAAAATCAGTACTCCAGGCTGATGTCTGTTTTGTATGGATCAATTGTTGTGTCCTTCTATTGCAATCTGTATTATTTATGGTTCATGAATAAAGAAATGTGGTATCAATCTTCCTAACTGATTAAAAAAAGTTTATTCTCAGTTAAAATGCCCAAATCAGAAGGAATTTCCCCCCTGATTGTTGATTGTTACACTGTGTTAATCAGCCAGAGAGGTCCCACTTGTCAGGCTTAAACATGTAACCATTTTATATTAGATTTTAATACCTAAAAGGAGGTTTAACGGACAGTAAAGATGCTTCTCTGTACCTTAAACATGCTGATAATCTGCTGCTCCAGAGATGCTCCCATTTGCAGGAAGGAGGATCCTTCAGTCTGAAAACAGTGAGAGAGTCACAATGAGGCAAAGGGTCAAGGAAGCAACTCTGGGTTCTGATTTGCTCAAAGAGGCTTCAGAATGTGGAATATTTGGGGGGGTTTTAAAGAGTTTTTTCGAAGCTTGATTACAGTTTATTCTTATCAAAGCTACTTCCCATGCATTTGACCTTAAAAATCATTTTAGCGAACGCATCAGGATTTCTGATTTGTTTCCACGGTAGAATATCTTGAATAAATCAGCAAATGCTCACCTGCTCGTTTTTTTAAGCACCTCTTAAAACGGTGGTGCACAACAATTAATGGTGTTTTTTTGTTGTTGTTTTTTCTAAACGTGATAGTATACCAACACATATATCTGTAAAGATGCAGCTGCAGAGTTATGTGTGTTATGGAAACGGTCAGCATGACTACATATAACGGTTTCCACCTTCATTGTCGCTCTCGTTTGATGACGGACCTTTGGTTTATCCGCATTCCGCCTCTTTCTGCTACAAGTGTGTGCAGGTATCAATCCTGCTGCTCTCCTTCTGTCAAGGACAGGTGATCCAATGTTTAAAGAGTGTGTGTCTGTTTTTATACGTTTGCGTACTCGTGCGCCGTGTTGACGGATGAGCTGGACGTTATTAGAGCCTGCTAAACCCGCGTCCTTCACATATCATTAAAATAAAGTAGGCCACGGGGATGAGATGAGGGGTATTAGAGAGGGACGGGATATAAACACAAAGAGCGGAAATCTTCAACTGATAAAGAAATGCCTTATTTGTGAGATGACGGTAACCTTTTTAAATTAAGTCAGCTAGCAACACTAAGACAAGTTTGTATCAGGATAAAAATTCTACAAATTAAAAAAAATACATCCTTAGACTTTTAGGTTATATATAATTGACAAAAACATAACCTGTGAAATAACGCAATTAAAAAAACATTTTAAATTGTCATTCAAATTTACAAACAGAGCCTGGACAGTTTTGTACCCGAATACGCACAGAAAGAAAAACATTCAGCAGAACCCATTTGGACGGATTCAGGTGAATGTCTTTCACAGACTGAACCCTGTCTTTTTTAGATGGGACTGTGTAATAAAAGAGCTTGGATGGAAAATCTAAAGGACTGTACAGTGCTGCAGGCTAAAGGTGGACCTCTGATGTAAGCATGTGCAAGACCATGCAGGACCTCAGAAGTTATATATTGCGATATTCAGAATTTCATTCGATAACGGACTGCGAGCTGGTGCAAGATGGCGAGGATCAGGGAAATATTTTATTATATTATTCTGTACACTGTTCAGATATTATTTTATATTCAGTAAAGTTAGTGCAGTAAATCTAAAATACAGTTACACACATGCATTAAGAGAGAAGTCATGCATGAGGGAGCAGAGCAGGAGAAAAAGAGGGGGGGGTAGTGTTAAACTGTCAAGTGCCATTCGGGACCAGGTCTCAGATCTTCACAATCTGTTCTCATCTCGAGAGGCGAGCAACTGTCATATCTCCTTCCTGTTGCTCTTTTCCTCTCTCCCCAAGCGCTGAGGTTCTACTAAACTCCAGAGAGCCAAGAAGCCCGAGGAGCAACACAACAATATCCCAACCGGCACTCTTTTGCTCAATTCTACCAGTTTTATCTGCGTGTGAGCGTGTTTCAGTCTCACCGCTGGAGGCTTGAACTCCAATGGACTGAATGCGCTGTGCACAAGTGGATGTAAAAAAAAAATAGGAGTCACTAAATGCATTAAAGAAATGGCCTTGGCAGCTCCGGTTAACTAAAGCGGAGACGGATCAGAAGGAGACGGTCCAGATAGAACGACCTGTGAGTATTGACTTCAATGGGACAAGTGGACACGTAACACACGTTGGTTATTTTTCTCCACAATCCAGAGAGTAAATATCGATCCCATTTTTTCACAAACAAAATACCATCCAAACATTCTGAAAACTAAAATGACATTTTTCTAAGACACAAAGCCAGAAATAATTGACTCGGCTTGAGACACAGAAGATCAGGGAACAAACACAACTTGGTAAATCTTTTTTTATAATGCTAAATATCCACAACACTTCAGGACGAGTGGCAGTGTGTGGCGCGGAGGCGACCACGTCCGTTTAGGAAGCAGGAAGCGCATGGCAGCTTTTAACACGCTGTCTGTCTCTGCTGCAGACCATTTTAGACTCCAGATGTGACAGAGGAGTGTTGAAGTGCGTCATTTCAAGCGGTGTAATTAAAATCCAATTAGTTTTGTCTGAGCTATTAAACAAGCAAATAATATATGTAACTCCCTCGGGCAGAAATGTGTTTCATCATCCAATTAGCGGCGTCTTAAATTGTGAAAAATCCAACCAGCAAATGTCACGAAACGCATCAACTTTTTGCCTTCACGGTGAAATCGAGCAAAGAATTACAAGAAAACTATCTTCTTTTTTCGCGTCTAACTCACAGGTTCACAATAATAATATACACCCTCTCTCATTCTCCCCTTCCAGGGCCGCCTTCCTCTCGCCACGTTGGCAGTGAGGCTGTCACACGCCGGCGTAATTAGCGGCCCTGCTGCAGGAGCGTATGGTAATGTGACAGGGAGACGGCGGACACGGTGGTTGCTCACACTCTGCGCTGCCACCCCCCCCAACCTGTCGCTGGAGAGACTCGTGAGGGTCAAGCACACACGGACACTTTGGACTCAGATACGTCCACTCATGTGCATAAAAAGACAAGACCTGGCAGGTTATAAAATACTTAATCATTTTATCCAGCTACAACAGTGATGATCTAATAATGAATGCTGTGCTGTATCACTGAAAAGTCTTCATTCTGCATATTACTGACTAGTTTTCCTTCTGATCACACTTTGATTGTAATCTACAATTTCTACCACTGGACCTTTTACACATTCAACTTGGACCTTTTACACATTTGGTTCCATTTCTATGAATGTAAAATATATGAAAAGACACAAATTTAACAAGGTTTCGGCAATGAAGTTATACACTTCATACAGAGGTGGAGCTTTGAGTCAAATGCCAAAAGCTCACGACAAAAATGCAGATGCAATAATAATCAAGTCACACAATCACTTTAGCGTGTTAGCATGCTAGTCAGACATTTTTTAATTGGCACCTACCACAGCTTTTAAACTGTGCCTTTTGTAAATAAAAAAAAGTTCCATATCTATTGGGTGTAAATACATTTGTTACAGGTGTTGACCAATGATATATTTCTCTATTGTATCCTCCAAAAAATCCTCCTGGATCTTTTGATCGGACACGTCTGTTTTACCCGACCGTTGCATAAGCAGTTCAACTGACCACCTATTGGAAATTATAAGCCTCGCCAGTAAGTAGCTTTCATTCCCAGCCATTTAAAAAAAAGCAGTTACTGGTGGGAATACTGGGCTCCGACTCCGGGCTCCTCGTGGCCTGCTTATGGAGTTTCTGGACCATTAAGCCAAGAGAGAGAGAGAGAGAGAGAGAGAGAGAGAGAATTGAGAAAAGAAGACAGAAGGATAAACTTAGAAAGCGGGTCATTCCGGCCGCAGAAAGAATCCCCCCGCACCCAAAAAATAAACTGATTGAATGAACCTCATTGCATGATTTCGGTCCATTGGCACTGAGTGCGACCGTAGACGGCAGCCAGCACTCCTCTACTGACAGCTTCGAACTGTAATAAATGGAGTCGTACGCTCGTACAATCCGTCTTAACAGTTTCTTTGCTTTAAAAATCCATCGTGTGCAGACTTAAAAAGCCACTTTTGTTCCTGTCTGCTGGCAAACGCACCAAGCCGTCAGCTTTGTTTATTCCAGGCTTCTAAAACCGCCATCACTCAACACTGGATGAACAGATAAATGGATTCTGAGTGATCAAACATCCGCTGTGTCTTTACGTTTACTCTGATAATACCTACGAGTTGTCATTGGTAGCTACATGTTCTCTCCCAAAATGTCTCACAGCAGACCTAAGATAAATATTTATTACAACCTCATTATTTAACAAATTGTACTGGTTTTACAATATCACTATGTTCTTTTAGAATTCCTATTAAAATCATTCATCTCCAAAAACTCGGCCTTATTTCAAGCTTAGCAATGAAACGCTTTCTCAATGGTGTATTGTAGCTTTCTAAGGGAAGTTTTATTGGTATTATACAACACGTCGTAACTCCCAACTCATCAAGTGTGGACCCTTATGCTCTGGGTACCCAAATAGCAATGGCCAAATGATTATGGTTCAATTGTTGTGTTACTTGTGTCTAATGCGTTGGTCCAGTAAATTGAACGCTCCGCAACCAAAGGTGTTTAACGCTGTATTTTCCTAAGATTGTATGTCAGATCACTTTGGTGCAGACAAGAAAAGCACAGCGACTGGATGAAATGCTGTTAACTTGGTTAATTTGGTTAATTTGATCTACATATAACCAAAGTTTTCTCTGAGGCTGAAGTCTAAATGTCTAAAATGCGACACACATGTACACATTTCAAGCCAAAATAATAATAAATGGGAAATTTAGTTTTAGGCAAATGTTCGTTAAACAGGAGCAAGTTGTGCATTTTTTGTGGAGAATTAGATACATGCCCGATGCTCTATGGTGAGAATGAAGTTGGTGTATTTATTAACTCCAAATAATCTACAGTGTGTGTGGGTGTGTGTTTGTTGTAATGAGGGAGCAACCAGCGTAACACATGTGGCTCATTAATCTGTTTGTTTAAGGTCGGGTGGAAAAGAGGAATAAGATACATCAGGTTACAGGGGCACTTTAGTGTTTTGGTCTTTTCCTGACATTTGACGACAATAATATATAATATATAAGAGCATAGTAGTGTGCGGACACCTGTCCACATACTTAAATGCACTTTTTCAATTGCTCGATCATTGGAATTTTCAATGCTAAAGCACCCAATAATATGTTTAGACAATAACGCCCTTCAAAAATATGGGGAGAGTTGTTGTTCTTTTGGTGTGAAAGACGTTCACCCCACCGTTCTAACACACTAACACATTTGGGGTGTACTGGAGCGGCGACTGCGCCAGGCCGATGTCCTTGTGGCCGGATGGTGGATGTAGCAGCGGGTGAATGTCTGCAGGTTTGGGGAAACACAGTCACATGTGCTGGTTGTTTGTATCCTTTTGGCCATTTAGTGTTCAAGCAAGCCAGAACGCACACACTGACAAAACACTCTGAACCTCTGATTTCCAACTCGGCGGAGAGATGCATCACAGGGTGTTTTTCAGGCCCCACTGAATAGTCTTTCTGGCTTTACTCAGCCGTTCCGTGCGCTCTCTCATTTCCTCTTCTGTGCCTCCGCGTGATGTTCGCGTGCCTCTGACAAAAGACTCGCTTCCTCTCCTCCCTTCAATCTTTTCATCTTTGTCTCGATTCCCTCCTTCCTCGTTGTTTGCAGTTTAGAGATCACTGAGACGGGAACCATAAATAGGCGGCTCGGGCAGGGCGCTGCTTCTTTTTCAAACCGCCATCAAAGATATTCATCATCATCAGGCTATTGATAATCAAGCACTATTGAGGTCTTTTATTCCCTGCACTCACACACGTATATATCTTTCTCCGTCCCATCCACCTGTCCCATTGTGCCAGACACCTCAGACAAGCTTCTTTTTTTTTTCCTCCCTCGCTGCCGACACCAAAGGAGCACATAAGAGAGCGAGAGAGCGGGCCGAGGGGGAGTGCGAGGGAGGATGGCTGAATGAGGCCTCCGACAGGCAGGCCCGGCCTCGGAGGAGAGTGCTTTACGCTTTGTGCTATATAGAGAACTGTCACTCAACACTTTGGGCTCGTCAGACAACCGGTGGCTCACTACGAGAGACGTGTTCCCGTCTGTGCATTTGTCTTTTGTCGCTGTCAAGCAGAGAGGTTAAATGACCCGGGCTGAATCCAGCGCTCGCCTCCGCAGAATACAAACCTACGGATTATAAAATTGGACATTGTTGATAACTGACAAACTTTCCAGAGGTTCAGAGATTCATACTGCCAATCAAAAGCACATCTGGGGTAAATACAAACGCCTAAGGTAATGTAAGGTGAATTAGCAAGAGGAGGAAGGTTATGCGAGGCGGAAAAATAAAAGAAAAAGACGAGTTTTTGTATTTTTGGGGAGAATAATGAGATCTGTGGGGGGCCTCAGACTCCTGAAGGGTGTAATTAACAGTTTAATGGGGTCCTAAGAGTTGAGAGGAGAACGGGCCTCTTGCTTCTAGCCACAAGCGTAATGAATTCAGATGGACAAAAACACAGCGGTAAAAAACTTAATCACAATGTGTCAAAGAGTAAAAATGAGAGAGAAGCAGTGGACAGAGACAAAAAAAGAAAAACACAGAGGAGAAAAAGAAAAAGAAACAAGAAGGACTATTTCCCTCACGAAAGAGGGAAGGGAGACTTATCAGCGAGACAGTTAAACACCGCCTTCAAGCAGCTGTCAGCCGAGCTTCATCGAAGCATCTCTCTGCTCTCCCTGTCTGTTCCTCACTCCAGCTTCACGGCCCCGAAAAAACAGCAAATCAATCACACACTCCTGCAGCTACAACTCCTCCCGTTTAATACCCGTCTGTGACGCGACATCTGCGGATACCTTTTGATTAACAGGAAGCTGATAAATGCAACGCGCTGTGTTTTACAAAATGTCACCGGGGGGGGCGGAGATCCAACACTCATCATTCTATTCATTTTGCCTCTGATGGCGGAAAGGTGCAGGGATGCATCCCGTCTGCGTGTGTTGTAATACGTGAGGGTGTTCATTTGCATGTGTCTTCCTATGTGTGAGAATTGGTTCTATAAATAAAAGGTGTCGATGCCGGCAGTTAAGCAATTAAAGGAAGGAAGGGGAGACGGGCGGAATGCATGCAGCGCTATAGCGGAAGAAGCCATGGAGCCATTTCGCAAGTCAAAAGTAGAGAGAAAGTGTGGATGAATCCGTCTGGTGTCATCAATCTTCTTTTTTACAACGGACTACGCAGCTCGCTGCTCTCCATATATCCATTCATCAATGAGATGCACGTTAAATCATAGCAGGAAAAAACGTGCTGCTCTCCAAGAGCGGCGGGAGGATTTATTGAGCCGTAGATTGCCAGAAGCATTTGTCTCCCCTTCGCAAAGTTTTACTCCCCAAAAATTCAAGACCTTTTCCAGCCGGGGATTAAGGGAGCTGATGAGGGTTTACGGCGGCAGACTTCGCTGATAATTCACCGATCTGCATTGCTCATATCTAAATATTTGCATGCAGCGAGTTGCCAGCCAAAGTAGGTTTCACCGCTCTGACCTAGTTAAGGTGTTTTAAGTTGAGTGAAGAAGAGTTGTGACAAAGACGGGAGGCTGTGAAGCTGCTGTGAAGCTGCTGCTGTGTCACATGACAGGTTGTTGTTCTCCTTAATACAAGGATCTGTTTTTCCCTGCTTCCTAAATTTGTAATTCCTAACGTTTGTGTCAAATGTTACATCAACAACACTTTTTCGTGTGGCAGACCACTCTAGCTCCGGGTTCCCCGGACAGGCTGATTATTTGGGCAGCACCTTGTACGGTATGACAACTGCAGAGCCGCCACTGATGCCCACGATCGGCAGAGCTGTCTGAGTGGAGAGGAAGTCCAGGATCTGCGCCACCTCGGCCACCTGAAGACACAGGAGACGGGTTCAGCGCCGGCCCAAAGAAAGGGGACAGTCAATATTTTCAGTTCGGTCCAGTTGTTACAGTTGTTAAAATGTTGTTGGAGAAAACAGAATCAAATATTTGTGTTGGTACGATTTTTTTTCAAATCTGAAAAAACAAAATTACCCTACTTATCACTTGGTTTTTCTTTACGTCCTTGAACATTCTAAACATTAGTTTAAAAAAATCCTAGTTTCAAGTCTTCGATACTGCATAGTTTTCATTTCGTAAACGATGGTCACTGATGGTTCATGGGGAAGTGGACGTTAACGCAGGATGTTCTTTAAGGTCGCGTTGGAAGTTTAAAGTTTCAATTCACAGAGCGTTGATCCCTCGAGGAAAGTTTGTAAAAGTTAGGTTGGCTAAAAAATATCTTATTTATTTTAGTTGAACTTCATTCATGTGTCACTTTTGGTTAAAAAAAAACAAGAGAACAAAAGACAAAATGCAAACCAATGGGGCACTTAACATTGACTACATCCAACTCTTATGTACAGTCTATGCTTACATCAAACATGGATGTGAATTAGTTTGAATGGATTTATAAAGAAATGAATATATTCATGAGGTACTAAAGTGTTGTGCTAAAATTTTGAAAATAATGGACATGCATCGGTAGCAAAGGTTTTGCATTTTGAAGAGTAGATGTTACTTTTTAGTTACACAGCTTAGTAAAATATTTTTATCAGTAAAAGTGTACTTTCAATTCAATCATCCCTCTCCTAATTGGTAAAATCAAAGTAATAAAAAAAATGCAATATTTACATTTTACCTTTACAATTTGATGTCACTTCTACCCTTTACAAACAGAAAACTAATCCGACACCATAATTTAATTATGGCACAGAAGTAAAAAGCTTTGCATCTCAATGAATTTGACTTTGCAAACCACTTTATTATTCAAGCTGTAAGTACAGAAAGGTTTGTTTTTTTACTTAAATGTTGCCTTGAGCCGATTAAGGAAAAATAATGTGGGCTGATTGAACACAACCACTCTCGGGAGGATGCTTCAGCAGAAAAATAACTAATAACCCGTGTTCACCTGAGTGTCGGCACCAGCGCCCACATCGTCCTCGAACACCACGCCGTGTAGCTTCTCCATGGCCATGGTGTCGCAGAGACGCGTCAGCAGGTCTCGGGGGTTGGTGTCGTTGACCAGCACGATCACAGGGCTGACCACGATGGGCAGGTCCACAAAGTTTTCCCCGCCGAGGCGACCTCTGACCTCATTCTGGTAGCTGGAGCCGCTTAACACCACAGCCACGTTGATAGATGGGTGGAGGAGGAGCGGTCGGGCCTCCAGCCGGAGCGGGGAGGTGAGGAGGAGGATGAGGAGGAAGAGAGGAGGCCAAGGAAAGGGAGGAGGATGTCCCCTGGGAACGACCATGTTGGTGGCCTAGTGCCTGGAAAGGACGTGCAGAAAGAGGGTGAGAGAGAGAGAGAGAGAGCAAGTCAGACATAAGAGCTGCTCTACTTTTACGTTTTTGACCTTATTTGTCCTGTATTAGCCCTGCATTTAGTGTCACGGGGAAAACTTTTTTTTTCACGTTTACTGTCCACATTTGCAACCGGAACAAGCCTCTTCAATCAGATGAAGGCTGTTTGAAGATTTTTTTTTATTTCATCAATACCTTTTTTTAAGCTTTGATAAAGGCAGGTGTGCTTTTTTAGAGCAATATATTGAGAGTGTCGGCCTCATCTGTGGCCATCATGGACGCCTTGATAATTAACAACGCCCCAGCCTTGATTCAAAGCAACACCGGGTTAAATGCGTAAAAATTCCCCTCACCGTTCAAGCTCCCGGCAAATCATCTTTCATTCGTCTTAATACGGTTTTCAGCTCCTGGGCTTTAGGGCCCCTTAAAATGAAATATCTAGTTTGAACCTCATTCCATCTTTGTTATTAGATTCTACTGATACATTAACCTGCAGTCACTAACGGGTTATACCTGAAATGGGGGACATTTAACTGCCTTTATTGAGGATTACATCAAAGATTTGTGCGTTTTCAGACTGTTCTCATTCACTGTTTTCAGCTACGGTGAAAGCAATGTACTATAATTAATATACATCCCTAAAAGCAATGTGTCTGTCATCCTGTCATCCTTATGATCATGAACCAAGAAACACAAAATAGTCCTCCTGAGAAGATTTACAGTTGCTGGAAATTGTTTCGGAGATCGTCATCTTTTCAGAATATATCGTACGATCAGGATACATTGAAAGGTTTACGTGTAATCTTTTGTTTTGAGGATTTTGGTTCCACAATTCATTTTGTTGAAGATTTCTTCAAGGCTTTCCTTTTATAAAATTAATTATGTATTTAAAACTATTTGGCAATGTCATCTACATATAATGACATTTCAGCTTTAGTATCAAGTCCATAAAGAAATGCATTTATCAGAGGGCACTAATACAGCCACATCTAAAAGTATGAAATATGACTTTCAGAGTTCATGCTGATTTTTTTCTTGCTGCACAACATTTTTTACTGGTTTTCTCCTGTAAAACCTGAGATTGCTCCCCAGTGACCTACGCCAGGATCCTGTTTTTGGACTTCAGCTCTGCCTTCAACACCATCATCCCGTCTCTGCTGCCGGACGAACTCTCCCAGCTGCACGTGCCCGACTCCACCTGCAAGTGGATCACTGACTTCCTGTCTGACAGGAAGCAGCCCGTGAAGCTGGGGAAACATGTCTCAGCCTCTGTGACCATCAGCACCGGTTCCCCCCAAGGCTGCGTTCTTTCCCCTCTGCTCTTCTCCTTGAACACAAACAGCTGCACCTCCAGCCACCAGTCCGTCAAGCTCCTGAAGTTTGCGGATGACACCACCCTCATTGGACTGATCTCCAATGGGGTGGAGTCGGCCTACAGGTGGGAGTCTGACAATCTGGTGTCGTGGTGCAGCCAAAACAACCTGGACCTCAACACTCCAAAGACAGTTGAGATGGTTGTGAATTTCAGGAAGAACGCAGTCCCACCCTCCCCCATCACCACTGTGGATTCCTTCTGTTTTCTTGGCTCCCTCATCACCCAGGACCTCAAGTGGGAGCTGAACAGCTCCATCACACCAAGAAGGCTCAGCAGAGGCTGTTCTTCGTGAGGCAGCTGAAGAAATTCCACTTTTACACGGCCATCATGGAGTCCATCCTCTGCTCCTCCATCACCGTCTGGTACGCTGCAGCCACAGCCAAGGACAAGGGCAGGCTGCAGCGTGTCATCCGCTCTGCAGAGACGGTGATCGGCTGCAATCTGCCGTCTCTCCAGGACTTGTTTGCTTCCAGGACCCTGAAGCGAGCTAAAAAGATCGTAGCCGACCCCTCTCACCCTGGACAAAACCTGTTTGTTCACTTCCTGTGTTTTATCCCCTGTGACTGTCTCCCGTGTCCCTGATTGTTTTCACTTGTGTCCAGTCACCTGCACCGTCCCAGTGTATTTAACCATGTGTGTCTCTTGTCTCTTGCTGGTTCATTGTATGTTTTTCCCATGTCGGTGTGTTCCGGTTCCTGTTCCTGTTCTGTTGCTTTGCCTCTAGGCAGTTTTGATTTTGGTAATTAAAGTATTGTTGTGCTCGAGTGTGCGTTTGAGTCCTACTTCCGCCACCCTGACAAACATAAACACAACCACTGCAATCAGCTCCTTATTATCTTTTTAGAATATTTTTTAGGTAAATAAAATAAAGTACAAACGACTGAGTCAAAACATTGGAACTCATTATCAAAAATTGCGTAAGCCTTAAATCCTGTTGTGTTTGTGCACTTACTTTCTAAAATGATAATTGTGTGTGTGGACTGAATGAGTGGCTTGGGCCGTGCACAGGTTTTTATTATTAATATAGACTTTACCAAATGGAGAGCATGTCCATGCTATCTGGGATGAATGTTCCCAGCAGAACTTGAATCTGCCTCCACGTGACTACGTCCAAATTCATCCCACAACGTGTTCTAAATGAAAACTAACCAACAACCAACAAGCCCCCGGTGATACATTTTGGAAGATCCTTGTGTGACAGAGCTGCTAAATGGGTGAAAGAAAGTTATGACAGAAAAGTGAGAACCTGTAACCGCCTTGGGTATCCAGGTGCACAATCTTTCCTGCAGTGCTGATGGGTCCTCTCTCTCTAGCCACGTCAGAAGCACAAATCTCTCAGGTGATTTACCGGATGTTTGTGAATGATTAAAAAAATCGCAGTTTCTTTTTCAAAAGAACATTGGAAAAAAACATTTTTCCAATAAACTGTTAAATGTAAAAAGGGCTTAATTAAGGTTTTCATGAGCCATTATTGCTCGTCCATAAGAAGAGGACTAACACGTTGCACTCGCAGGTGTCTAAAAAGAGAATAACAATATGATTTTTGCCGTAATGCCTCCTTCATCGCAATTAGCAACACATACACAACATTGATACGTTCTTGGAATAAACATTAATATAGATTATGAGAAATGATGAGGAAATGTGTTGGACCACATGTTGCGCTGCTGGTTTACCACACATCTGCTGGGACTTAGAGCATGGAGAATATTCAGTCATTTAACTACTTAGCCGGGTTATGATGGTCCCTATACTGAGTCCCCGGGGGGGGAGAGGAAATGAGCAGAGAGGATCTACTTGATGGGATGAACCTCATCCCCAGAGAATTATCAACATGACTGCCTTGAACCTTGTTTTTTTTATTTTTTTATTTGCATAGCACCTTCGAAGCTGACTTGATTAATTAGGGAGCTTGAATCAGTGGGCTAGTATTGGCGTAGTGGACGTCCTTCCTCTCATCAACATATGGCAGCTCTGAGCTCTGACAGTTGCATGAAACATTGAGATTCTCCAGAGCTTAATTTATGCAGACTTCAGATCAGTCTGAAAAATCCCAAAGTAATTCCGCAGCAATGACTTCATCTCCTGATGCTTGTATTCTGACACTGGGAATTCCTCCGGAAAGGTAGAGTCTGCGGCATTTAGGGGGATCTTTTTGCACAGTATAGGTATTATTTTTGTGTATTCATCTGAAAATAAAAATCTCTCTTTTCAAAACCTTAGATTGAACCATTTACATTTGGACACCAACCGGCATATTTCTACAATGGGCCACAATGGACAAAGCGAACCCTGGGGCCCATGGCATTTTTCATAGTTGCTGCTGAGTAGCTGGAGAAATCGCCAGGATCAAGAAGTTTAATCTTAACTGATATTGACTGATCAAATGAACTGGAAGTTTGAAATAAACGGAGTACCGTAAAAAGAACAACGTTTGCTTGGATTGTAGTTCAGAAAAAGTAAATATTAATTTATTAGGTGCAAAGAATCCTGACGCTATATTACTTACACATTAAGTCAGATGATAATTGATCATCGTTGTGGTTACAGCTTTTCTCTGCTGCCTCAGACTGGACCAAAAATTAGAAAATGTATTGAGCGACGGATCAAAGAATTGCTGTTTTTTGTATTGCCCCTGGAACCAGGTCATTTGGTAGCACTTTTTGTTTTGTCTCAATTTATTTCAACATTTACCTGTTTCCGAAAAACATCCTTGAAATGCTGTTAAGTTATATGGGTCGGTCATTAGGGAAAGGATCGCATTGGATGAGTTCCCTCAATTGTCACAACAAGAATAGATTATTGTCTTGATTGAATCATTTCTAAAAATTAATTGGAACTGACATGGAATACATGAATACTCTTTGAATTAATGAGCCTCTGCTCCTTGTAGCGAAGCCTTAACTGATGTCACAAAAACATATTCACCGTCAACCAGCAAACCAGCACAACTGCTCCTTATTTCCCTATTTTTATTCCTCTATCTGTCGGGTGAGTTGTGGAAGACGAGTTAAGTTGTGAGCGCACACATGCACACATGCCAAACACACACACACACATGAACACAAATAATAAACCTCCCACATATAAATCAAACTCCAAAATAGCCTGAGAGCTTATTATGAAAACTATCACATAGCGTCTGCCACATATACATTCATCATAATTAGGCTTTAACTGCTAACATTGCACCCCCCCCTCGCCCCCCCCCCAATCTCCCTGTGGGTTCCTGCTCTCACACATAAAGATCTGACAGCTTTACAGGAAATCTTTACAAGCCGGACGTAGCAGCCAAGATGAGTGACGGTGACGGGGTGGGGCCATTTCTAGATCGGCTTGCCCCCCCCCGGGCCAATCAGGCGTAAAGCAATCGAAATCTCAATGACACCCAATCCGTGAGCTGAAGCAAATATGCATCCATTCATTCCAACACTTTGTATCGTGTGGCCCATTTGACACCAGTCACAGGACGCTGACGAGTTGTGGACAGTAAAGAAATGTAATGTCCTTCATTGGAACATTTTTCATAAGCTTTTCAGAAGAGAAAGGAGAAAGTGAACCGTTCATCAAGACTTAAAAAATGGATGCAATTTTGAGTTTTTCCATCCATTATCCTTTTTCATTTTGATACCTTTTAGATTGATCACAGTGACACTGTTTGTCACTGTGGTACAAACTGTGGTACAACATGGTACACGATCATAATAGAGAAAATGACAGCTTCAACATGCAGCTCATGACAAATCAATGAGCATTACCAGATAACTGATACAACACTAAAACGCAGCAGCTATAATCCATAAATCACGTTGAGTGAGCTCGCATGTATGAGAGGATTGTGCACACACACACACACACACACTGACACACACTCCAAACAGGCAAACCTCAGAGAGGAAAAAATGCTAATATGTCCTCTTACAGTAGTTCCTGTTATAGTAACAACTGGCTGCTCTGTTTGTGTCAGCAGCAGATGGGAGCTTTCTCTCGAGGAAAGTCTTCACTCATGAAATGTGAAAGTATCGCTGCACACTCTGTGGTCTCCGCTCATATTCCCCCCTGAGCTGCTTCTTCTTCTTGCATGTGTTCTGTCGCTGTGTGTCGCTCCATATCACACTTTTATAAATAAACTACCAATTCGCAGCGGATTATTGACAGAATAAGAGTGTGTGTGTGTGTGTGTGTGTGTGTGTGTGTGTGTGTGTGTGTGTGTGTGTGTGTGTGTGTGTGTGTGTGTGTGTGTGTGTGTGTGTGTGTGTGTGTGTGTGTGTGTGACAGACTTACCTGTCCTTTCTGCTGTCATCCAACTTGAACTCCTGCTGCTTCATCCTTCCTTCCCCCGGCTGCTTTCCTCCAAATGTGTGTGTGTCTCTCTCTCTTTCTGATTCCTTTTCACCTGGTGTTCACCTGTCTCCTGCAGGACCTGTAGGAGTACGCGTTTAGACCAAGCCTCCGTGCGGGGATACGCGCGCGCGCGTTTGGCAGCATTGGATGTCTACGCGCGCCCCTCGAAGACCTGACAACGTGACGGCGCGCGTATGCGTGACTCCTCACTTTGCCCTCACTTTTCTTTTTCTCTGCGCGTGTCTCCAAATGTAAAAGTGTCCCCGGAGGTGGAGACAGGACACCGAAGAGGAGGGCGACGGCGACGAGGAGCGCGGGAGCGCGCGTATACGGCGGAGCGGCCAGCCGGTGCGCGTAAGTGTGCATGTGTGCACAGACCCACTGTGTTGATCTCTGTCTGTATCCCTCAGGCTCCCCGCCGGGCGGATGAGGAGAGGAGCGAAAGGGGGGGTGGGTGGGGGGGTCAAATGCCTCTTCAGCAGAGGGGCACCAACGCGGGAAAACACTTCAGCGGCGGCAACGCTTCCCCGCCGTCTCCTCCTCTCTCCCCCTCTCCACCTCCTCTGTCTCCCTCTCCCTCTCCCTGCTCGGGGCTAAGGGGCACGGCAGATCCATGGCAAGTTAGACAATCTCACAGGCGGTCGTGATGGGGGGGGGGTCCTGTGCACGCCTGTGCATGTCTGGGGCAAAAGTTTCCCCCCCTCCTCCGGTTATAAGATACTCCGCAGCAAATGATCCCGAGGTGATGATGTGACTTCTGAGGGTCCTGTGTGATAAAAAAAAAAGGATGAGGGGAGGATAAGATTCTCGGTTCTCTTTTTTTTTTTCAGCCCCCCCTCCTCGTCCTCGTTGCCATATGGATGCGAGGTGATCCAGATGTGGTTGGATGGCGGGAGCGTCGGGCACTCGGAGGCAGCAGAGGGACAGATGGCAGGTCTGCGGGGGTCGGGCTGACTGTGCCACTAGCAGGTCCTCATCCTGTTGCACTGGTTTCTTTCCTTTTTTCTTTTCCCCACCAGAGTCTCTCTCTCTCTCTCTCTCTCTCTCTCTCTCTCTCCCCCTCACCGCTGCACTGCCCGCTCATCTGCCGGTGCTGTCACACCAGTAATCCTGATTTCCATTTCCTCTTTAACTCCATCTTTTCTTCACCTCGTCCCTCTGTCCTCTCGCTCCCTTCGCGGGGAGGGGCTGCATGTGAGTCCTGATGATGATGGCGTGAGGATTTAGCCTTCCTCTCCTCCCTCTCACTCACTTCAGAGCAACCCCCTCCTCCCGTCCCAGCCCACTTTTGCTCCCATTTTTTGTCAGTATTATTCAACTTCATCGTGTCACGTACACCTTGCCTTCTGCTCCTTAAACCACCTCACTGTATCACTTCTGTTTCCTGTCACTGCATTTTTTCCCCCTCTTTCCCATAACGGGTCTAAAATTAATCTCATTAAAAGCATTGCTTTTCCATCCTGCACCCCTCAGGCGCTGCACGTTGTTTATCAGTGTGAATACTCTGAATACGTTTGAATACGTCAATAGAACAACATTTCCTTGGACTATTGACAGAAAACACACAGGCCTGTTGCCTAACAAAGAGACATGAGCAAATATTACAAAGATGTTATGTAACAATGTCAGGCCCCATTTGAGGGGAATTAAATGTTTATGACATTACTCATCACGAGGAGCCATCAGACAGAATGCAGAGCATTTTTACATAGCGTGTTATTAGGTAACTTGAAGTGTTTGTATATTCTGTGTTGGTTCAGTCAAGGCATCGCCTTTGGTACAATCTCAAAACTCAAGCTTAAATCAAGTTGAAACATTTCCTTTGTTCAAAGCTCTCTTTTGCATCAGCTCATGGAAACATGGCACTTAAAATAAATTTGCCTAATTTTTAGTTCATTCTCTAATCAATCATGATATTACATTTTCAAACTCCGTAAAACTGTTGAATCGAATCGCCAAAGAATAACTTTACTATTTTAATTAATTAGAAATTGTAACTCATTAGCTATTCTCATTAACTATTCAGATGTTTAATCAATAGCAATTCGGATCGACATTTGTTGCTTCCAAAATATGCTGTTTTTCTGTATTTCAGACCATTGTAAAATAATTTTTTTTTCCATCAAATAAATAAAATACATTAGCGGCTTAAAAATTAAAAAGTTGTAGACAAATGCAAATGTTTTTGGAAAAAATGTTCTGCAACAGATTTTCTGGATCAAAGCACATCATGGAATGTGTTCCAGAGCTATAAGAAGCTGGTAAGTAGATTGGTTTGAAGTAAGTTAGATGAATCATCTCTATTACAATTTTTCGTAGATTTTTGACACAGAAAACATACCAGCCAGCAAAACCAGAGAGACAAAGCCAATAAAACAATGAACCACGTCCATGCAAATGTGTCCCTCAGCATTGAATGCTGTCCGTCTCATTCACAGATCAAAGTGCTCATTTGGGGAGACAAATAATTTCTCTTCGCCCTGCTTTCCCTCACGCTGTCCGACAAGTGCTTCTTTTGCAGACTGCCATCACTCCTAATAAAAGCTGTTTTTCTTCTTCCTGCACACTCGGCAGAGTGGTCAGGTGACAGGCTTCTTCAACACAGCGCTATAAATACCGCCGAGTGTTAAAATAGAGTTTTTGAGATGTGAGACGCGTGACTGAGGCGTCTGTATCTGTATTGGATTTGTATAGTAGAGACAGTGACACCTCTGATGAATGGGAATAGACAATAAAGGACAGATGTTTCAAAGGATAGTCTTTCTCTCAGGAGCTGGACACTGTAAACCAGCCAGCAGAGAACAGATGTTCTCCGGCCAGCGGCCCAATCAGATCCACAGATTAACTCAGATTGAAAAAGAAGGAAGCCGAATTGGGTTTACCGGGGAAAGCTTGTTGGTGAAGAAGTATTTCTTACATTTTTGGGTGTTGTGAAGGAGGATTTGTGTCTATATCTGGTGAGATGTGGATTTGTTGAGCACCGATACTGTGTAATTTTCTTAAAGAAGAAGAGGAATCTTGAACAATAACATTTCATCAACAAATTAACCATTTAAGTCAATATTTCAAACCTATACTGTTATACATGTGTCAGCTTCTCAAGTGTCCACGTAGGGTCTTGTAAAATTGGTTATTTTTTTTCACTATTTTGTGACATTTTCACATTGAAAAACTATAGCATACTAAAACAAGGTCTTCTCGCTGTAGAAAGTATGATTCTGTTGATCAAAGAACAAACAAAGCAGCAAAATATGACATGAGATGACAGTCTTTGATTGTTCTTCACTCACAAATACCGTAGTTTTCCATAATCTTCAAATGTTTTTTGTGCCTTCACCTTGCCAAACCGTTACCTCAGAATTGTCTTGTCAGAAAAGTATTTTATTTTTCGAACAGCAATTTCTAACAATTTTGGAGGGAACCGACAAGCCATTTTTGCTCATCGGTTTTCTCTTGTTTCATTTGGACTAATATTGAACTTTGACTTAACCTGGAGACAATGTTTCTGATGAATTGTCATGGCACTATAACAATGAATGTATATTTGCAGCCCTAATCACGTGAAAAACGACGTGTGCAGGATCCAGCACCACGGACAGCGTTTTGGCCGGAATTTAACACAACACAAACGTTTACAAGGACAGGATGTAAACTGCAACAACATGGCATACGACCACAAAGCTCGTTCTTTGGTTAGCAAAGCCAGATCAAGTGTCTCTTTCCCATTTATACTCATCTCATCTCCACTGTACACTTTACCTTGTCGGGATCTATTTGAAGCAAAACATAATAAGGGAATAAGCTTTTGCACTTTACGCGAAAGAGAAGATTGAAACCATCCTCAGGACGCAACAATATTGTTGATCTTGCAATCTTATCCCCTTTTTCACAGAACTTGGTCACTTCACAGTCTCTCTTTCAAACTGATGTCTTTTGTTTTGTTTCCATCCAGTTTGAATAAGGTGCGTTGCAGCGGTTAACGTCTCCAACTGTGCTGGAGTTGAATTAAAACACAACACTGTGAATGAATTAGTCCCAGGAAGGAATGAACGAATGAGGGTTTTAACCTTTCATACTGCAGACAAAGGTGTGTTAGTGGGGGGTTTTGTCCCGGGGAAAAGGGTCTCGCTGGTGGGTAACTCGCCACCAGGGAGTGGGTAAGGTTCCTAAAATGTCAACGTATTCCTTTTTCCCAGTCTGCAGAATATGCTTTAGACTCGAACAGCCTCAGACTTTTAGACAGAAGAAAACAAATTAAGGTTTGGCAAAGATTGTAGTTTTTTTTTTTAATTCTCTCCTGTGAGTAAAACCAGACACCTCATGGATTCAGTTCTTTACAAAAAACACAACACGACCTCCAACTTTGTCCCAAAGAACTCAATTTTGTGCTTTGAACAAACAACTGACGCTGTTGTTTTTCTTGGAGGAAAGTCTTTGTGATAATCCATAATCCATCACTCCCATTCTGCTCTGCAAGTGCTGCTGTCGATGCTGCATTGCTCTCTGAAAATATATCCCCTACCCGGCTTTTAATCAGTCCCACCTCCACCCAGCATCCACCTGCACCTTCTGGGGAGAGGAGGGGGGGGGCGTCTGCTGTTATCGCTCCTAAATCCCCTTCTGTGACGAGGCTTCCATCCGGGATGCGGGTGGTGATGAGGTCGGAGCCGAGATGCTCAACGTTACCGATACTCATATCAATAATCTTTCCTGGACCGTAAAATAATTTACTAAAATAAGTTTAACCTCAAGCGTGAAAGCTAGAGAACCAACGTTTTTCACAATAAAAGCTTGTAACTGCTGTGCGGTATAGCGCAGATTTAGAAATGAAACAACATAATTCAAACGCACACAAAAAAACAACAGGAGAAATATCATCTTCTTTTTATCAAATAAAAACATACTTTTTAAAGATGACTTTGTCAGTATATAAAGAAGAATGCTCCAATACGCTGACTGCTGCAGCCTGCTTCCTCTTGGCCTTCAAACTGCAGGAGCTCTTACACTGACAAGACAATCAATCAATAAAGACAGGCAACGATACAGATAATGTCTGTGTGAGTTGGATAAAAAGCCTCATAAGGGATGAAATGGCTTTGATAGTATGGAGTGCAGTGAGTTAGAATCAGCTGTGATTAAAGATAGGAGCATAAAAGCCTTCTGAAGTGCGGCCTGAGAATGAAACCCCTTTTTCTGTATCACAGTCTGCGCTGACGGGCGTTTTTGGGGGTCGTTGATTAGGATTTTAAGGTCAGCTCTGTCAAAGGCCGAACTACGATCCAGTAGCACTGAAAAGTATGAACAACAAGCAGAAAGCCAATAAAAGAGAGACGAACCACAGAGTCTGGGTGTCTCTGTCGGTCCATTCTTTACACAGGACAAATATTTGATATGTGTCATTTCCTGAAGAGATAGACCCGGTAAAGCGTCTGCGGAGAGAGCATATTGCTGTGAGTGACGAGGCATTCGATGTGGAATAACATGCGAGATGGTCCACACACGCGCTAAACTGACAGGGAAGTTGACTTCAGTCTCACGAGTCAACTTGTCTCCTAACTGAGGGGTTTTGTTGCTACTTTAAACGCCGTCACTGATGCGTAGAGGCTTTGGATTGCTCTTCCAGTTACACGTCATTCCTTAAATTACAATGAAGGTATGTGGGCCGGTGATCGCTCATATTCAATTAACTTGTGTCCTCTAACTCGCTCCACACAATGAAGTGGATTATTGCATCAGAAAGGTTTAACTTGCAGGCAGCATGCAGCTAAAACATATAAAATATATTTCATTTGGAATAATTTAGTAAAAGGGTTTTGGCATCAAATGAATGATTATAATTCATGGGTGTTATAAATGTGTGTGAATGCTGCAATAGCAGATCTTTGTCACACTTTGACACATTTCACTGTGTGTGTGTGTGTGTGTGTGTGTGTGTGTGTGTGTGTGTGTGTGTGTGTGTGTGTGTGTGTGTGTGTGTGTGTGTGTGTGAGAAGCAGATATTTAATCAGGCAATCATCACTCAATGAGTAAACATCGCGGACTAATACGTGAGTGACTGAGGAGGTGAATACTAAAAACAGTGGAGGACACAAAGTGGGGAAGAAAAGACAAAGAAAAAAGGCAGAAGGGAGAGAAAACAAACTCCAGCAGCTCATGTGAGAAAGCAGCCATCAGGACTGAATGAAGATTTGCGATTAGCCCACATTTGTGTTATTTTTATCACCCGATGTGCAACTCTTTGATCACATCCATGTGTCAGAGACGTGGGAGGAGTCATCCCGAGGGACACGAGACCCCAAGTGTTGGTTTAAATGCCAACGGCTGATCCTGCACACCTTTCCCACAGCTCAGGTCAGTTTGTCATTAATCTGCATCTCCATCTGCACCACCCAGAACCCCCCCCCACCCTCCTGCTTCCTCCTCTTCCTCCCTCTCCTTCTGCAGACACACTTTGAAAACAAAAATAGCTGGAAAAAGTGTCAGATCCATAAATAAATTGGCTCTTTGTGCACCTTGTTTGAGACTGGCTGACATTTTAAAGCCTGCCAGGTATTAATACCATTTTCTCAAGAGACAAAGATTGTATGCAAGAACGTGCATAAATGTGTGTGTGTGTGTGTGTGTGTGTGTGTGTGTGTGTGTGTGTGTGTGTGTGTGTGTGTGCGTGTGTGTGTGTGTGTGTGTGTGTGCATGCTTGTGCATTTTTTGGCGTGCATAGTTCTATGAGTGACGGAGTGGGAAAGTATTTGTTTGGGTTGTTATTCTTCTGTGACCCTGTCGTAGCTGACGGAGACTCTTTTTTTCACTTGACTTGCCGACGTTGTCCTGAGCAAATTGCCCTCTCTCTCTCTCTCTCTCTTTCTCTCTCTCTCTCTCTCTCTCTCTCTCTCTCTCTCTCTCTCTCTCTCTCTTAAATTTCAAATCTAAAATTAAAATCAGTCACATTGGCCGACTGTGGGTGAGTGGGGAGCACGGTCGTCCTCCAATCAGAGGGTTGTCGGTTTGATCCCAGGCCCGGCTAACCCCCATGTCGTTGTGTCCTTGGGCAAGACACTTGCAACCAACATTGCTCCTGTAGCTGCGACTACAGTGTATGAATGGTAGTTACTGATGGCAGGTGTCACTGTGTGTGCTTCTCCTGTCATCAGTGTATGAATGGATGTGAATGGGTGAATGATGTCATGTAGTGTTAAAGCGCTTTGAGTGGTCGGAAGACTAGAAAAGCGCTATACAAGTACAGTCCATTTACCATTTACATTATTGCAAAAACTATGGTTCGTATTGTTGAACGATACAGCTTCATAAAAGGAAACACAATATCAGAACACACCCTGTTAATTAGCCAAAGTAATACATGTTATTACATGTGTATATGCACATATGCATCGCTCAATATGTGTCTATCTGATGCATACTGCTTATATGCCATCACGCAGGTGTGAAGAGGTCGGCCGTGCTGCGGGCCGGTTTATGGCTGAGTTGAATCAGCGGAGTACTCATGGCTCAGATGACCATCACAGTTCTGTGGGTACGGAGGAGCTTCGAAGGGAGGTCCACAACCTGTGACAAAGGTTAAAGGCTAACAGAGGGATAAAAGTAAGGGGATGAAGAGGAGGAGATAAAAGGTGACCTAAATATAGACCAAGTTCCAAGGTCATCTCTCCCTTTCCTCTCCATCGGGCCTCAGGTCCTCTTTTTGAAGTGGGGGGGGGGTTAACGGTCATTGTCTGCTCCTGTCAAACGAGGGAGGCTCAGTGAGACACCAGGTCACCTGTGATTCTGATTGAGGTCCTAGGCGCACACACACGCACACACACACACACATAAACACACACATAAACACGTACACACATAAGGAAACAGCAGCAGGCGAATGTGCGGCGTTTCATTAGGCCTCTGATTTGGCCATTCATCATTGCCACGGCGAGGTCACGCACAGCGGGCGACACATGTTTGTTTCTGAGGAGGTTACATGTTTGTGAGCCTGCAGGTGTGTGTGTTTGTGTGCGCGCCTGTTTGTTGGCTTGAAAGGGTCCTTTGTTTTGCTTTTAGTCCCCCAAGTCACACGAGCAGGAAATAGATCCACAATTGTTCGACTGAAATCAAAGAAAGATACATTTATTTTAATTTAATTGGTTTTATGTTAATTAAAAGGCAACGTTTGAGCCATAAACGCACTTGTCTGATGGTTTTGATCCAAAATTAGATTTAAAAGTAAAAGTAAATATTCGGCCTACCATTTCTCATGTTGCTTAAAACGCAACATCAATGTGACGATAACGTTGCTCAGTCAACACACTTGTAATAATAATATATCAGTACTTCTCTCCTTGGTTAGCCTAGCTGAGCATAAAGACAGAAGGCAGGTGGAAACAGGGCTCGGTGCTTACAAACGCCTCTGAAGGTTTGTTATTGATGTACAGGATCGTGTGCACAGACAAGGAGCAGTTTATTATAGAGGCTTTACAGGTGCTTGTAGCCTGAAGCTCAATTAATAACACCTAGACATTCAGAGTGGTTTCAATCTTATCATTTAATTCACATCAAAAACAGTATTTCCCAGAAGATTTAACTAGTTTGTTTTGTACCAAGCAATCCAATACTTCTAGCCTAAGGTAACTAGCAGTCAGAATCAGAAAACAGCTGCACAAATGTACAAATCCAATGGAAGCTGTGTGACAGAAAAACTGAGATTAAAGTGTATATGGATTTTGAAAAACGTCCTTCAGGTGCAACATCAAGCACCCGGTGCTTCATTAAAAGAAGCTTCCACACACAAATGTATTATAATATATGCACACCTCCAATGAACGCTAAATGTCCTGCATAAATTCCCTCCCCAAGTTAATGTATGAAAAGACTGTGTGGACGTCCCTGTGTGGGTATTGTGAGATCCACTCAGAAACACAAACACACACACACACAGATCAAAGCTCCGGCCTCAGTTCAGAACCTCGTCAATGGCGGAAGTGATGTTGATTGCAAGCACACGTGCTCATTTAATGAACTCTGCAGTAACATCTGCATGCACAGCAGACCGTAGCGGTGTTCATACCTTTGCCAAATTTACCTTGTGTTGAAATTAGATATTGGGTGTGATGTGGCAAACCGCTTTGGGTCCAGCCCCTGTTTAACATAATTTCCCATAATCTATTTTCCACATCAATGAACTTTAATGTTTGAATGTTTGATTCCCATCCACCAGCTTGCTTCATGGCGAAGAAGGCACCTTGATCCAATTGTTGTTGCTACATCGCCACCTAGTGGTCAACCCCTGTCATCAACATTATCGTATATTGCAGAGGTTTACTGGTTACTGATTTAGAGGTTATTTAAAGCGCCTGAGGCAGCAGACAATGTACATGGGTTGACTATTGGTCAATCAAGCAATTAAAAAAAATAAATAAATTTGCAGGCTCATAGAAGTTTTCTTAACTTAACCGACACTAAACTCACTCTGATTGAAAAGTGACACAAAAAGAGATTTCAGTGTGTTCATGATGTAAAATCTAAAAAGTGGTCCAGGACAACCTGGACAGAAAAAAAACATTTTAGATCTTGAGGGATAACTTGTTGCTTTCTCTTTGTGGGCACAAATTTTCCTAATTGCATACTACACACCAGTTCTATACAGCGTGTAGTGTTCGCCATAGTCCACTGTTTAAACCCTTTAGCTTTACAAAAATAAACCTACATTGTGACAGAGCTTGTGTGAGCTGTGTTGAAGTTGAAGTGGTTTATCTCTCAGAGTGATATAGGATATATATATATATATATATATATATATATATATATATATTATATATTTATATATAAATATAGGATATATATATATATATATATATTGCTTGTTCGGTCTTCAGAGACCAGTGCTTGACGCGGAAACCCGGGTTCGTCGTTGATCCCACGGCCCACCCGACGACAGACCGCAAGAGGAGCACTACCGTCCTCCTGCACGTGTTGGTATTGTAGAAATGTCAATAAACCCTGTGAGGGAACTAATTACACTCTCCGTGTGTGTGTGCGTGTGTAAGAGAGAGAGAGAGAAAAAAAAAGGGGAACCTTGGGTTCTTAAGTCATTTATTTAGTCACTTGACAAAAGCCATGGATTATACAAATCAATTACAACAGATTTAAAAGTATTTTTCACATTCTTGCATCTGTAAACATGGTAAAGAGAATACATTCTGACAGTTAATTCACATTGTACCGTGAGAAGTAAATATCAACCCCTGGATCAGAGTAGTACACCGTGCACAGACAGCTACAAAACAGCAGTGCAGGTAAACAAGAAAGAAAACACCCCACTCTCCGTTACTAACAACTTAATTACTTATCACTTACTACAACTTAACTCTTAATTTGTCAAGTCTGTCGGGAGCAAATCAGCACAAAAGTAACATGCAGACAAGCTGTTCATGTGCTCTCACTTTACCTGAACTGCATCTATTCGGTCATTTTCTCCACGTGATGTAGGAGGTAAACATATTACCAATCAGGCCTCTAAGTCTATTTAGCAACACAAGAACTCTTTATTAAATACATACAAACACATTACAGTTTTGGCAGGTATGTGCACAGTACAAACACACGCGTGTCTGCTTTGTTTACTCACTCTAGGACGTAAACGTGTGTATTAACTTTTTTCTTTTTTGGCAATTACAAAAATATTTTAGTAGTGTTAAGGTGGGTAAGGCTGCTATCGGGCTACTGGGATACAGAATGAGGAAGTTTCAAAAGCTCTCTCTTATGTCTGTAGACTCCTCTTGTCCTAGCACAAGTAAACATCCAACCTAAACATCTGTTTCAGCTGGCGCTCACATCAGCGAGGGTTTACGTCGGTAAGGCTGCAGTGAGAAGGAGCGCTTGGTTCAAAAACACGTGTTACGACTAGCAATCACATGGCTGGCACGGAGCAGGTTTGGTGTAAATGTGCAAAAATATACAGTTAAGTTGTGAGCAAACACTGCTGCAAAATGTTGCGTCGTCCGCGTTACATAATCGCTCACAGGGGGGATTCTTATTTTTCCAGCACGCGCCACGTAGAAAGGAATAGAGCTGCAACGGACACGTGGTTGGGGACGATCAGGCCGACATTTTTGATGCTCTAAACACACTTTAGGTTTCCTTTAAGGAGTTAAAACTTGGACGCTGGAAGCCAATGCTCAGTCCAAACAGTCAGTGTCCCCGAGTGTGCGTTTCGTGCCATTTGTGTCGTCGGTTGTGGTGAAAATGTGAGCCATATTTACACAGAGATTTTACCCCTTTTATGTCTGTGTGAGAACCGTTTGCTCCGTTACAAATATATATATATATATATTTGAATACCTGTGCCAATGCGGCCGATTAGCCCGCCCCGTTCTGTGGAGTGAGACTCTCCCAGGGACAGATGATCTCTTTGGCGCCCTCCCCTCCACGAGAGACGGCCCTGCTGTCCTCGTCCTCGTCCTCGGACTCTATGGGGTAGATTCGGCACTCTGGGGGAATATCCACTTTAATCTGGAAAAAACTGATCAGACACAAGACACAACATTTATTTTGATATCTAATTAAAATGTTTTGCCTGTTTAATGATTTTATCATTTCAAGTTAAATCGATTGATTTCAAATAAAATCATCACATTCTAAAACAGTAGCCACACCACCATACTATCTAGTATGTCAGAAAAGATGTAGTGCGTCCCGATCCATAGTATGTCAGTTATAGTTTGAACGCCACCATTTCTTTCTGGCTGTTCTGCCAAAGTTCAAGGTGGAATGTTTTTGAGGAAGTAGTGTGTCCCAAAAGAATGCAGACTGCATGCAGCAGAACATACATGTCATGGCAGCTGCGGAATCCACCAAAGCTAAAAGATTCGTCTCACACGCACTTGCCAATCCGCCTGGGCGGAGCCTGACCGGGTCGATCGGGGCCGATCGGCTGAATGCGGCCGCCCGTCCCGGTGGCTGAGTGGCATTTGGGCGACCAGCTGGCGAACATGGAGGCCGAGGCGCAGCCGCGCTTCAGCAGGCGGCGAAGGGACAGAGCCACGCGAGACGTGGTCGCGTTTCCGGCGGCCGGCGCCTGGGCCCCGGGGGGCCCCTCGCCTTCCCCTTCACCGGCCTCCGCCCGCCGCTCGGAGGCCGAGGTGCTCTCCAACGCCACGCTGATGGGGGACGGACAAGAAGGCGTGTGGGGCGGGAAGGGGAGAGGGGGTGAGGCGTCGGCGGTGGGGAAGTCGGTGAGGCCAGAGTAGACGGCCAGGTGGGAGACGGGGGTGGTGAAGCGGCACAGCTGTGAGGTCAAAGGGCAAGAGAACAAAAATCCGGGTGCGTTTTTAAAAAAAACTTTCGGATCATTTAAGAAGTAGTACTTACTTTGACACCACGAGAAACACGAGGAACACTTCCAGTGGCAAAAAGACAGAGTCACAATAATCAATACCTGACGGATGGAATTAAATCAGACATGTAACACGTATGTTTTGGCTACATGGCAAACAAAATACATGAAAAACAAGTTAATGAATGATATTAAGACAAACAAAGACATGAGATGGTTTGTGGGGTTTTATTAGCTCATGACTGACAAACAGAACTGTACAGGAAAGAACACTGTTTGAGTGGAGATGGATAATACAACACCAGTCGAATGAGCACAAACAGGACAGACAACAGTTACAGCTTTTGTGTTACAGATGGTAAGAGATAAGGCCGTTTGTCGTCACCTGTATAAACCTGAGTAGGATGTGTTTAAGGTCTTTAGTTTAAACCACATCATGCAGTTTTATCTCTCATGGGGGGTTCATGAGACATTTTCCAGGTGAATACATTAATTTGTCTCATTACAAGGTCTCATATGTGCAGGGCTAAATACCAGAGAGGTAAGTGATGTCAGATGACCCTTTAAATGTTCCGTATTGCACATTGCCCCATTCCCAACAACTCCACTTTCACAAACAACAAACTTGTTAGACAACAATTTCCTTTATCTTGGTTTGTGATCTTCTGAGGAAAACATCCATCTCTACAGCTGCTAAGCGCTCAACTATGTTCATCTGATAGTTGCAAATCTGCCGCTTGGTGCAGAGCACGTGGTGCACAGAGGCCTTTGTTATCACAAAATACTATAAGACGAAACCAGTTGCAGGTAGTGAAACAAACTACAAAGTGAAACGTGATATGCAGCTCCCTGTATGGGAACTGCAGGGACGTTTATCACTAGGAGCAACCCGTTTCACATTAAACATTCATTTGACCCATTTTTATAATACAAAAAACGATTACAGCAGCACTTAACTTAAAGCTTAACTTAATATAAATAAACGGCTGTGCATCTTTTTAAAAGATTCCACACACAATAACTCTATAAAAAGCCGTGTTTATTTCTTAGCATGCGGACGCGGTGCGGGTGGCGCCTCCTTGCCCTGCTTGCTAAGTTTGCTCATGACCTGCGTGATGTCAACATTGGCGGCCATCTTGGCCTTCTGCTCCTGCTCCAGCTGCCGGAGGATGATCGGGCTGAGACTGGGCCGTCGCTTCTTGGCATTGTGCCCCAACTGGGTCTCACTGGAAGGGAAAGGAGGAGGAGAGAAAGAGAGACCAGTGATGTTTTTCTTCGGGGAGATGCAGGGGACAACAACAGCAGCAGAGTTAAAGCAGAAAACAACTGAAGCTAAACGCCGTTGAAGGTAAAGCGTAAATGTGGGAGTTAAAAGCCGCCGCGTGCCTGAATTGGTGCTCCTCAGGACAGATGGCCTTCTTCACCGTTTCCTTAAACACCGGAGATTTCTGGTACCGTCCGTACGAGTCCTGCAAAATACAACACGGACTCGATCAGAGATCCCTGCTTGCTTGGCGATCGTCGAGCACAGGCCTGTTGTGAGACACGACGCCATGTTTCCTGACCTTCTTCATGAGCATGTAGATGTGGGTTTGGGCTGGGTCCAGGACGTATCTGTGTGGGTGTTTCAGGCCCTTCACGGTGATTTCCATCGTCTTTCCGTCGATGTTGATCCACCGCGGTGCGCCGCGCGCCAGAAATGTCCTGTGGTCACATTTGCAAATCAAATACTGCACTTAAATGCAAGTATGAGGAACTTTATTGCGATCAGAGAATAATATTGTGCTTTTAATTGCCAAATCAATTAAATCGTTTGCTGGAAGTTGCTTGACTGTTTACGCTCTGTAATTAAAGTCCTTCGACCTTCAATGTCTGTGACAGGAAGAATAAATGAAAACGTTACTTGTAGATATGCTCTGCTTTCTCTCTCATCGTCGAAGCTTGGCCCCACTTCAGATCTTCACAACCCTCCCAGAATGCCAAGTTCTCACCTGAGACAGTGAAAACAACGATTCTGAGCCCTTATCACATGGCTGAAACACTGACATTGCTTTTACAACGATAACTTATTATTATTATTCTCTCCTAGCTAAAGACAACGTCGATCATACCGCTGAATTCTTTCTTCAGGAAGAGTCTGAAATCATCTCGTCCTCGAGGGTCCGAGAGCAGCTCTTTGAAGCTGAAAGTCCACCTCTCCACGCGCATTTTAGTCGGTATTTCAACACTTTTGAACACATAAAAGTTGTTATGAATTATCCTGCGATTATACATTGGTTAGCGTCCTCAGCCGACTCACTTGGGCATGTTCAAGGTCCAGTACGTGACGTCGTCGGTGACCCAGGGGTTGCTGGGGAGACACTTGGCGAGGAAAGGGTCGTGGCTTTTATAGGTGGAGCAGTGCTTCACCAACCTGCCCGGAACAGGGACAAGGACTTTACCGTCTGCAGCGTTCAAAGGAGGTCAAGGTGAGGTGATTTTCTCCATCACGCTGCATCTCAAGCTGAACATTTTTCAGTTATTAAACAGGTCGCTTGCAGGAGGGACGCGGCCTCTGAGTCTGAGTCAGTGGAGACGTTATGATGTGACAAATCTAAAGTGACTGGACTGTCACAGATGCAGGGGGTCTGGGGGAAACGATAGATTAGCTTACGCGCTAATGGACACCGATGACTTCACTCTGGGCCTCATGATGGCCTGCTGGGTAAAGATCATCTGCAGGGAGAAAGGAAGAGAGACGACAGCTATAAAAACGTCCGTCCCCGTGGATCGCTGGGAGGAAGAATGATACGAAAGAGTGGACTTTAAATTCTCACTCACAATTCTCTCATAGAAGTCGGGTGTTTTGCCCTGAGGAAGAAAAAAGTATTAAAGGTTACATTCGGATATTACATATGAGAAAATAAATCTACATCAAAATCGGCGACAAAAAGCGTATTTGCATGTTTGTGTGAATTCTTTTTTTAATACGATTATGATCACTAGGACATTTAGGATGATTCCCACACAGGAGGAGTTTAAATCTTTTGAAACGTTTCGTTGTTGAAATTATATTTAAGTTCCTACGTTCCTCCCCAAAGAAAATTCCAATATCCGTGGCATCCTTTGCCTACCTGCGCACACTCTAGTCCTTCAGCCACCCGCGAGCTCGACAGCTATGAGTGCGAGCCTCAGTTCAATCATGTGTTTGGGGTTTGATTTCAGGTTGATTAAGGCTTTGGAGGAAACACTTCCTCGGCTTTTTGGAGCCAAAGCTTCTAGCAGCTGTTCGTTGGAGAAGAAACGCTAGGGCTCTGATTTTTCAATTCCGTGATTTGAAAAAAAAAATGCTTCTCATTATTACCAAACATAGGAAACCTGACATGTAGTGTTTGCCCAAATTACATCACGTGGATCAGCAATCACCATCGAGCCACCAAAGGCCTGAGACCTGTGAGCGGATCCTGAAGTGTGACACTGGTGGAGTAACATTGGTGGAGTTCACCTTCAAGATTGGAAATAGGTTAAAAGTCGAGGTTGCGTTAGGAGTTAAGGCATGTAGTTGTGTCATGTACAAACATGGGGGATGTGTGTATGTGTGTGTTTGTGCTTAGGTGTTCAACACCGGTTTAAAAGTCTGAAAACAAAAAGAGAGCCCCGGGACCCGCCTGCAGGAGATAAAAGAAGCACAAGAGAACAAGAGAAAAGACAAAGGAAGAGAAGTTAAGTTTCATAATCGATAAGTCAAGTGAGGGAAACAGTGGACGGGGAAAAGGGACGTAGAGGACAAGCGTCGGTCGCTGGGTTCATGCGTTAAAGCCTCTTATTGAATATAAGCCGATTAGCAGGAATTATGTCCGCACGGGTCACACAGGGACTCACCTGTTACCTCGTCTGCGTTTGGATCTACCAGCCGATCCAGTCCATAGTCCATGGCGCTCACTGTCCCCGGCTGAGAACAACAAAACGATTGTTAACTAAAGCGGACGGCTGCTGATATGATGCTAATCCGCGGCTGCTATTGCGTCACACGTCTCCTGATCCTATGACGTCATCTGTCAAATGGCATTTTGGGGAAATCACTGTTGGACATTAAACTTATACGACTTAAAGAAATGTTTTGTTTTCAGCAGACCACAATTTTCCTTTTAGAAGTGAAAAGTTCAATCATTCAGCTCTAAAGAAGGTCGAACACTTGCACATTGGATTGCCTTATATAACTGATAAGTTGATGACTCTTCTTCTGTTACACAATCAGTCAATTTGAGTCCTGAACCTTTGGCAGTTCAGGATAAAGTGGAAGTGTAAAGGTTTGCTTTCTGAAGGTCATTAAAAGGGCACGTTAATTTCTCCATGAAGGCGGCAAAATCAGTTATATTTGCCTGTAGTGCCAGAAAACTTTCCAGGTTTATATCTGTCGATATTCGGAAGGTTTCTATATTTCATTCGTTTCATATTTCATTTATGGTCTGAACATTTTCTAAATAGGAGAAATGTTTTTTTTCACAGTATAATCTCAATTCTGAATTGATAAAACAGAAATACAAAAAGCGCCTGAAAGTGAAACTGTAAAAAAAATACAATTTTGAACTTTATCCACCAATAAGATTTAAATGCTAGAAAATATTTGCCCATATTTAATAAGATGATGGCTAATTTGCATATTTAAACATATATTTCAGAAAATGTATAATACAAAATAGGCTTGTTTTAATGTAAAATAATCCTTTGCCCCACACACACACACACACACACATTTTCCTCTGCAGTGTGACATATTTATCGGCGGTGCCCTTTTCCTCCTACTGGACACGCAGCGCTAATGAGGCTCCATGGGCCGTGATAATGAGGAACCCTGGGAACTCGAGAGGTGAAGTGCAATTTATCTTTCAGAGGTCTCAATCTGCTGGCAAATCCAATGCTGATATTCATGACGCTGTATCCCGTGCGTGTGTGTGCGTGTGTGTTCTCACCGGAGGTCTGTGAACCACCCAGTAGGCTCTCTCCTGGCAGTCAAACACCACGCGGTCCGGCTTCTTCCTCTCCTTCGCGGCCCTGAAAGGTTGCGCACAAACGCGTGAGCATCTAAACACCTCCTTGATCTCGAGGAGCGGAGACGGATGCCGCTCGAACTCTGTCACTGTCGCTCACCTGTACTGTTCTTTCGCTTGCATCACTATGAAATCCCATTTGTGGTTCATCCACTTGTGAAGACGGTTGTAGTGCTCCTGCGGACATGGGACAACACCTCAGTAGACACCAGCGGGCGAGATGAACGCTCTGGTCTACTCCGCCTCACCTGCTCGTGCAGCTCAAGGAGTCCTTTCTTGCGTATGTTTCTCTTCGCCAGGTAGATTGCTGCAATATTAAAAGGGAAAGTGTGAACGCAGGCATGAGGACGTGAGATCAGACGCGTGACAGTGACACTCACCGTAATCAGTATCCTCAACAGGCCACTGCTGCGTGGGCCAGAAGTACGGAGTCTGGCAGGGAAAGAAACCTCCTTGTTATTGTGATTATTTGGTTGCAGAACAGACCTCAGCTGCTCAGTGGCACTTTGTAATTTAGCAACAACAAAAATAGAACGGTCAGACATTTACCGCTTTTCTGTTTTATAAATCTATTACAACTATTTTGAGACTTGATGTATTTAATGATTAATCTATAATGAAAATCCACTTTAGCTGCAGTCATAATTATATCTCCTTAGACGCGGAACCGAAAAGAGCCGATGGAAAATGCAATCAATTATTATTATTATTAATTATTAATACCACCTAGCAAGCGTCGTAATTATCAAATAAATATAATCACAGAGCATTGAAAGCCAACAAACGTTGAATAAATCAGCTTTACTCGTTAGTTATTAAACAAACTTCCTCATCCTGTGCGGGAAAAAAGTTGACTGTGGACGAAATAAAGTACTTTGAAATCCAATCACATTCCTCCTCATCATGATAATCTCCAAACATATATTTGGAATTGTGCATTGTCTACATGTGGCCCTCTTCTTCACTGCCTTCATTTGTTTTTTCCACTTGTTGCTCAACTGTTGTGCATTCAAATCCAAATCATTCACACTGCTGTTAGTGGTTTAAAACCTCCTCAGAGGGAGGCGAGCGGCTGCCTTTGCTCTGTGGCTTGTGTTCACCTGGCAGCGGTAGAGGGAAGCGTCCGGTTTGATCACCAGGCGTTTGTGGTCTTGCAGCGGGTAGATGTATCCCAACGCCACCAGCATACAGCCCAAACTCCTCGCCTCTGGAGACAACAGACAGACAGAGAAAGTCCAACGTAAAACGATCCACCGTCAAACTGCGTATCTGTTTGCATGAATGGCAGCAGCCGCCTCGTCTCTCACCTTGTGCGTCCAGTTGGAATCTGTCCTCCAACCACGCAATAATGTCTTCGCCTGAGGAGGACACGTGCAAATCGTAAGCCCGGGGGAAACACGATATTCACCACCAAAGCAGCTCTGACGGCCAACATCAAGTCATTAGTGTGTGTGTGTGTGTGTGTGTGTGTGTGTGTGTGTGTGTGTGTGTGTGTGTGTGTGTGCGTGTGTGTGCGTAGGTGGGTTTCTAAATGCCAAAGCCCGGATGTAGACCACCGCTGACGGTAAGAGCTGATGAGGAGGAAGTAGAGGAAGGAAGAGGAGGAGAGGAGGAAAAGACAGGAACGAGAACGAGTTAATTAAGAGCGACGGAATGAGAGAAAAAGCGGGGAGGAGGGGAGGAAAGGAGGAGGCACGGCAAACAAAATAGCAAAGGAGGCAATGAGAGGAGGGTACGAGGGACAGGAAAGGAGATGAGAGAAAAGATATGGGGAGCAAAACCGAGAGGATTGGAGAGTAATGAGGGGAAGATCCAGAAGAGAGGGACAGGAAAAGAGTCAAGGAAATAAGGGGAGAAAGGAAGAGAGACGACATATGGAAAGATAAGGAGGTTAGAGACTAAGAAAGGAAAGGAGGAAAGAGGACATGGGGATAAAAAGTAAAGAAATCCAAAGAATGTAAAGGAGAGGAAAGAAAGGAAATAAAGGGTGAAGGTAGATGGAAAAGAAGGGATATAAAAAGGGGAGGAGAGCCTCCTCTCTGTCGTTCTCTTGCTTCTGTGTCTGTTCCTTGCTCTTTCCCTCTCGCCCGCTCAATCGCCATCATCGTCCTCCTCCTTCACCTCCTACTTTTTTCCGCTCTCCCCCCCGAGTCAGAGACCGGGGGGGTTGTCATGGAGATTCAATCTGTAGCTCTCGAGTTTGAGCCTGATAGCTCTGGTATCCTCCAGTGAGACTATGCAGCCCCAATCACTCCACCAGATGCTGAATAGCATCAAGTGTGTTGTGTGTGTGTGTGTGGGGGGGGGTGTGTGTGTGTGTGTGTGCGAGCTCTTTACCAGTAATAGCGTGTGGTATTGTTGTTATAACCAGCCTCTGAGGCTGCGACCTGACTCCGGTTTTTGGGTCCTGCATCTCCAGCAGCACCTTCTCCGCCTGCCAGATCAATATCAAGGGGAAGGTGAGGTTACCACGACAACTGATTGTGAGTTGATGGGGGCACAGGTCACCATGCCAACGGGTTGTGGGGGACAGCCCCGATGAAGGGGATTGAAAAAAGCAGAAGGATGAATTGATGGATTTGGGGATTGAATCTGATGATGATGATGGCAATTATCAGCATCTTCATCATCCCCGTTAACCTTTTCTGTTTAGTAAAATCTCTAATCTAATCTCTTTTCCTCCTGCGCTACTAGAGCTTGCTATCACCACTTGTACTTGTACTTGTAGTCTTCCATCAGGCCAACGCAGCGTCACCTGGTAACTCTCCCAGCTCTTCTATTCATAAACCGACACGACAAATGACTGTGGAGGTTGGCGCTGCATCCAAACGAGGGCCGTGGTGAGATCAGAGGTTTGTTTCATGCGCTGATCTCGTGGTTTTTGTTTGGCTTGTGTGTTTTTTTTTTTTTTATTTTGCGGTGAGTCACTGCCCTGTTTTTTTTGGGGGGGGGGGTGGGTCATCATATCATCGGGACCCACAGCTCAGGGGGTGAGCTGGAAAGCAAACAATCATGCCGTACGTTAATTATGTCTGTGCGAGAGTGCAGTTGTGTGTTCCTAAAACGGGGGTGAGGGGGGGTGCAGCTGCCGAGGCGGTTTGAAGTGGCTTTGTGCTTTGAAGTCATCCTGGAGAGGCTATAAGCTCGCGGCTGAGTCGGACCAAAGTGGGCTTTCATGGAGCGACGCACAAAGCTCCCCTGGAAATGAGGAGCCTCATTTGCCTGCTGAGCAGGACATTGTCCTGGCTACAATGGACAGAGTTTTCTCTGTTTTCTAGCACACTTCTGTTTTTAGTTTTTTCACACAGTGCCAAAAGTTTACTTCAGTGTGATAAATATCCAGCTTGTGAAGTGGATGCAGTTTGAGATGTAAGACGATCAATGGAGCATCGCTCGGGCCCCCCGGACCGGGCTGCTGTTGGGCAATAGACCGGCGCCTGGATTATCGTCTCTCCTGCGGCTGGTTATTGTGGATGGAAGCACAGATACTGATCCAGGCTTAGTGCTTATTAAACTGAATGACCTTATCACCGTGAAAAGGTTGAAACAAAACCCACATGTCCACATTTAGTAGACAAGTAGCTTGCCCACTGACACCAAGATGAAATCTGCTTGTGGTTTTCTTTCCTACGAAGAGTTTATATATATTTTTTAATCTAGGATTTCAAATTCACATTTGCATGCATGATTAAAAGGTGGTTCTGAATATTTTTTTTATTTGTTTTGTTGCATTACTCCAAAGGATATACGTGGGCTTTGTTGCTTCACAACAACCTAATAAATATTTACACTACAAGCATAAAGAAAACACAATTCAACCTTTAGACATTAGGTTTTTTCTAGGCTAAAACTGTTTTTATGAGGAAATTCCAATACAGCCCGGGTTTAATAGGATACAACAAACCACTACAGCCAAAGAATCGGGTTGGAGAATTCATTTAAGTGAATGATATTAAAGTGCGCCTGCAGGTGTAGTCTAGCCTGAGCAGGGCTGTTATCATCATCTCATATGTAAAACGATAGCTTACCTTCCTGAGACAAGCCATGCGTGGTCGATACCTCTGCCCATGATCGCGGAGAGTGTTTCTAATGGTCATGTCTAATGATGAGTCCCTCTCAGACACACACAGAATAACACCGTCGCCTTGAGTACTGTGTCGTGTGGGGATGTTGGAAGGAAAAGGCAATAATAGTCATTGGTGCTGCCTTCAAGTGACGCGCACAACCTGCCGCTCGGAGGCTGGGAAATTGTAATTGTGATGTCACTGAAATGAGCGTTTCAGTTACGTTAGATTGAGAAAAAGTCCCAAAGGCCATTATTCAAATTTAGGATGATTAATGTTATAAAACAGTATAATAAAAGTCAAAAATAATGAAAGATGAACACTTTACCTACAAGTATTTGTAGGTAAAGTGTTCATCTTTCATCTTTCATTGAGGATCTGCTCGTTTATAGTCACATCTTAAGTTCCCCAAATAATCACAAAAAAGGTCTCATCATATAAACTCGAGGGGGTTCCTTGGCTATATTCTCAATGTTGTTAACGCGTTGAGATAGGATGCTATATTTCCAACTGCATTTAAAGGCAGCATACCTCAAGGGAAGTCAACCAATCAGAGCCTCCCTTTCGATGAGCGACGCAGTTACCACACTGAACCGGCAGGTGGCGACAAGTTACCATCAGAAAATATATAAATGTTGTGTTTTAAAATAAATAGTGTTTTCTCTCAGTTAAACATAGAATAAGTCATACAAACTAAGTTTTATTCGTCGATAAAACTAAGCAGGTTGTTTAATATCCTAGTCGCTGATAATTACATGTCTACACATGTATCCTTTCACTGACATAATTATACGTGAAATCCTAATAGTTCACTTGTATTAGTGTGTTTTAAAACATGTGTAAAATAAAACTGTTTGTGGGAGTCGAGGCGATGAAAGCAAAGCATAATGCGGTTTAAGCTCGATGGTAAACAGTCCTCAGCACTACTTCCTGAGTTTAGGGAAGGGGCTTGGTCCCGTGCCTGCGCCCCGCGAACGCGCATCAAATTAGCATCGATGAAGTTTGTGCGAACATGGCGGATTTCCTGCCGACCAGGTCCGTGTTAAAAGTTTGTCTACCCGTCTGCCTGCTGAACAGCGGCGAGGTGGACCAGCTCCGAAAGTCCAAGGAGATCGACCGAAGAATCTCCCGGGAGAAAACGTACGTTAAACGGCTGGTGAAGATCCTGCTGCTCGGAGCGGGCGAGAGCGGCAAGTCGACTTTCCTCAAACAAATGCGGATCATCCACGGACAGGACTTCGACCAGCGCGCGCGCGAGGACTTCCGAGCCACGATTTACAGCAACGTCATCAAAGGTAACGGCCGGGGCCAGACGTTAGGAGGCCCGACGCGACGGAAAAGCGCTTAAAAAGTGTCTCGTTAGCGGAGGAGGGGGGGGTGGTGGTGGTGGTTGTATGTGCGCGCGCGCGCCCGCCCGTGCGTGCGTGCGAGGGGGTGAGTGAGTGAGTGAGGGAGGGGGGAGAGTTTCCACATCTGTTCAGCAGCGCCGGGTGAGAGGACACATATATAAACACACTACATCTGCTTCCCCGGCACACCCAGGACGAGCTCAAGTGTCCCCCGCCCGCTTTGACGCGCTCGTGGGGGCCAAAGCTCTTCGGGCGGCGGCCGTTACACCGTAAAACGGTCGCGGTTCTGAGTCGAGGACGCGCGCGCGTCAAAGCGTCGGTGTCACGGGGGACCGAACCCACCCGGTGTTCCTGTTCCTCTGAACTCACTCGCTTCGTGGAATCCGGTGTAAATGAAACCAAAATGTGCGGTTGTAATTTTTCTGCGAGGGAACGAATGATCATAAGCGTCATGTTCCTTTTCGACTCCCATTCATTCATTCGCTCTTGTCCCACCGGGCAGGTTTTCCCGTGACACCTGTTATCTGTGCGACTCTGGACTTTCTGCCACTTCAACTTCCCTCACTTAACACGCCACCAGTGTCCCTCTGTCCGTCTCTCACCGAGGTGTCCTCACGTTTCCTCCCCAGGTGTCCGCGTGCTGGTGGACGCCCGGGAGAAGCTGCACATCCCGTGGGGCGACCCGGAGAACCAGAGGCACGGGGACAGCCTGATGGCCATCGACACCCGGTCGGCCAAGATGGCCAGCGGGCAGCTGGAGACGTCCGTCTTCCTGCGGTACCTGTCCGCCATCAGGGCCCTGTGGGACGACTCGGGGATACAGAACGCCTACGACCGTCGCCGGGAGTTTCAGCTGGTACGTGGATGCACGCGCCAGCTGGAAGACGATGACGGTGGTGGTGGTGGTGGTGGTGGTGGTCCAGGTCTTCCAGTATGAATCTTGTGGACCCAGTGAGACAGTTGAGAGGGGGGGGCGGCGGAGGGGGAATAGAAAGTGAAATCTTCTTCCCTCTCCACTAAATCTCCTTCGGTCCGCGGTCAGAAATGTGACTCAGCTTCCTGTTTACACCTCTCCCAGCTCCTCATATCACGGCTGTCCGGACGCCTGTTTTAACACGTTTTACCCCCCGAACATCAGCTGTGGTCGGCAGTACGCTCACGTGTGCTTGCTGGGAGTTTTCCTAGTATCACTTTCACCACCTTCTGAAACAACCCACAAAAAAAAACCTTGCATTTATGTAATTTCCAGGCAGGTCACATGAGCTTTGGGGTTACGGAATACTTGAATACTTCTCCCAAAGTTGCTTCCAATTGTGAGACGCAGGCAGAACATTTGCGTCTCCTCCTCATTGCATAAAGCCGAACCGTTCTCAATGGCATTTTTGTGCACACACACACACACACACACACACTCTCAGCTAGTTGGTGTGAGCTGGTTGTGCAGACAGAAAGGGGAATAATGGTGATCAGAGCTGGAATGTTGATCTGGAGTTAAACAGCTTTATGCTCACAAACACATGTACACAAACGTGTGCATGTAAGGCTCTAACTAACTGATTTAAAAAATATATATATTTTCTTTTATAGAATATTGGGAAAGGCCCTTTTGTCAGTAGTATAAAACATTTCACAGGCTGGTAAAATTAGTTATCGGTATTTGTCTCGGAAATGAGTTTGTCCATTGGCAGAAAATCAATGGAGATCACAAATGAATCAGTAAAGTTGTATTTTATAGGAGTTGAAAATACCTGGCTCACTTTCTGTATTTCATACTGTTATTTATGAATGTCTATGGCATACTATAGATGTCAAATTTTTACTGAACAGATATTGACTAGAATTTAAGCGTATTCCTTATTCAGAGTTCTCTTATGAACAACACACACGGCTTCCCGTGGGACACACAGATTAGCGTGCGGCTAAAAGCCTTAATCTCAAACCGGTAATCTTCAAAACTAGTTCTCTTATTTGTTTACATCACATTGAATGATTTGACCAACAAAAAGAATCAGCCAGTTAATCAAGGCAAGAGAAGGATTAGTAGCGTCAGCCATTTTTTACTGTATGAATTCATGATTTCTAACAAAATCTCGAACCTAAGGGAAGGAGGTGACCATACATTATAATTACTATATAGCTATTGGGATAGCAGACTTAGTATCATCTTAAATATTGCATCTTGTTATAATTGTAACAAAACAGAAGTCTCTTCCTGCTATTTAACGGTGCATTTCCATTTGCCTCCACATTACTGATGTTTTTCAAAACCCTCATTGTCTAAATATCTTGTTGAAGCACAAATGGTCAACGCTAACGATATCACCACACCGCGCTGCCACAGGGAATCTTGTTTGCGAGGACTATTTTCTCCCCCCCCTCTGCAGATACAACCCATTGTGTGATAGCCATGCCGGGTAAATCTCCATGGCTCTTCCAGGTGATTTGCATCACAAATCCCCCCTCAGGTGTGTCCTCGGGCGCTCTCGTTGATTTATCATTAAAAACGAACACACGGACTGAAACCACACATGGATCCTCTCCCTGGTACCAGGGTCACACAGCTGCTCATGACAATCACCCACAAACAGCATCCTCTCTGCTTTCACTTTATTTCACCAGTGTAGCAACTTGCACTTAAATATGGCTCTGCATAAATTATCAGGTCTACAGTTTTGTCAGAATGAGCTTCAGAGCAACGTAGCTCTTCTTTCTTTTGGCATTAGTGCTGCTGCACCCTGGTGTAATGTCAGCTTTGCTCACACACACACAGGATTTTCAGGTCAGGTTAGTTGTTTTTAGTAAAATATCGGAAGGTGAGGACGAAAGCTTACAGTGGGACGGGGCTTAAATTCTGAAGTAATGGCCAAACAATGACTACTGCTGATGATACAATTTGAATTTTATTTATTTGCTTACTGGGGCATTCATGCAGATCAATTGCAACAAAAAAAAAAGGTGTGGTGTGTTTATAGTAGACAGTGTCGGTCACAGGGGTAAGATGGCCGGCAAAATCAGTTGTGCCTTTTTTAAGTTTATGTTGAGTTCAGGACACAAACACACAGATAAAGGAATGCAGCAGTCTTGAGCCTCGTGTCCGGGCTTGCACTCATTTTGCATGAACCGCGTCGGAGCAGTTTAGAGAAAAAATACCCCCGCGCACACGCAGAGCGAGCCGCGCTTCTGTGTACATCAAAGAGGTGCTTCTAAACACGCGTCTTATGCAACGCAGAATACTTCGCATCCTGCTTCACCTACTCTGAGCAAACTGGATGGGAAAACAAACCAATCGTGATTTTCTGCCCTTTCAACAAATGCGTTGAATTGGTTTCTCAGTTAGTGAGCGCGCATTGCGTGCAGACGTTGCGTTAAGTGACTGAATGAAATGAATTGTGTTGAATTAACCGAAATTCCTCCTTTGTCCTGTCGCAGGGTGAGTCAGTGAAGTATTTCTTGGATAATCTGGATAAGCTTGGCAAGCCGGTAAGTTGTTTCTACCCGCAGCGATTGTTGTAATCAGACGTGTACATGTTATAGTGGATATTTCAACATATCTGGACAGTTCAAAGTGAGCTCCCGAGCGACTGCGATTTGGGTTTTGGCCAAAAAACGAGGCTGATTGTTTCCTTCCATAATCAAATACCTGGATTGGTTCGAGTGAGACGAGGAGAAAAGATGTCGTAATCTTCGCAATAAAACCATTTGATGTGACTTGACAAGTCTTGGCCCATCAATGTTAAGATCGCTACAGTCTTCATTTCTCCTCCCAACTGTTCAACCTTTCCCCCCCATATTGATTATTATATACATGTTATAAAAGCTCGAGGTTTCATCAGACGAGGCGGCCGAACACGGCTTGCAGCTGTGTGAGGATTCAAACCGTTTGCGTTTGCACCCATATTGGATCCAAAGAAGATGATTTGTTTGGATTTTTCTTGAATCGATATCCACCTTTTTATGGAATCGATAGTTTGCAGAACATATTTAGGTCAGCAGCGCTGACACGATCGATAACAAACCTTCAGCTGTGGCCTTTTCTTCTTCGTCTGTAAGCTGATTGAAGCTTCTGTTGGTGCTGGAATGTCATTCGCTGTGTTTCTGCGCCCCCCACCCCTCCCTTCCCCCCAACCCTCCTCCAGGAATACGTGCCCACTCAGCAGGACATCCTGCTGGCTCGCAAACCCACCAAGGGCATCCACGAGTACGACTTTGAGATCAAGAACGTCCCCTTCAAGATGGTGGACGTGGGGGGGCAGCGGTCCGAGCGGAAGCGCTGGTTTGAGTGCTTCGATTCGGTCACCTCGATCCTCTTCCTCGTCTCGTCCTCCGAATACGACCAGGTGAGAGAGGCCTCCGCACCACCCCCCCCCCCTCGTAAAGACCTGCGATAGCCTGGCTCGTTAATCGGTTTGTTCTGCCAGATAATGTTTGGTGACTTTTTGATAAGTCTTCAGTGTGCGCTTTGGCTTCCAAACCATGTAAATAAACTAATCTAAATCCCCTGTGAGGAAGTCGATCTGGTCGATCCTTCATTTGAGAACATTTTGTCGACGTGTGCGTGGTTACACTTCCACAGCAATAAACACTCCTACGTTATTCCCTTCTATTGCTTGCGCAGATTAAGGTACACTTGATTTAAAATTCTGCCTACCAAAGTGTTTGAAATAAAATAAAAGGCTGATTCTATTTGCTCGTCGTCCGATAACGACTGGACCCGTCGGTAGTAATCGTCCTTGCCATGCGGCTGTCTCCCAACAGGTGCTGATGGAGGACAGGCAGACAAACCGGCTGCGCGAATCGCTCAACATCTTCGAGACCATCGTCAACAACCGCGTCTTCGTCAACGTTTCCATCATCCTCTTCCTCAACAAGACAGACCTGCTGGAGGAGAAGGTGAAGAGCGTTCCGCTCAAGGACTACTTTACTGAGTACACCGGGCAGGAGCACGACCTGCCGGACGTGCAGGCGTTCATGGTGGAGTGCTTCCGGGACAAGAGGCGCGACGCCACCCAGAAGCCCCTCTACCACCACTTCACCACGGCCATCAACACGGAGAACATCAGGCTGGTGTTCCGGGACGTCAAGGACACCATCCTCCACGACAACCTCAAGCAGCTCATGCTCCAATGACCCCTGTCGACCTGTGAAGACGGAGGACCCAACTGGGGACGGACCAACTCTCGCTCCCCACCCGCCCCATCACCTCACTCCCGACGAGGACTTGGGAGAGATCCGCCTCAGAAGAATCCTTTCGACGTCGGTGTTCTTCTCCAGCCGTTTTTTATATTACTTTTTACCCTCCTCTCTAAAAAGTCGGCCTTGTCATTCGTTAAGGATTCGGTAGTGGAACGAGTCTGCGCGGCAACCCTCCATCCTCCCCCTCCAGCCACTCCCCCCCGCCCCGTAGTTCTACAGAACTCGAGACTCTATTACCTGCCATTACCTGGCGGCGGAGATCTGCGAGACCTTTTACCAACCGGGCAGATGGCCTCTGAACCAGATCCACAACTTGCCTAGCAACAGACACGGGACCGACAATGTCTCGACCACACGTAGGCAGGGGAATTAAGGCGGTCGAAATGCGCCACCATCAGCCGTGCCGATGTTGATTTGCCAGTTATGTGTCCGTAGCACTGAATTGATCTTTTCCAGAATCACTCCATTATTTCTGTTGCACGCTCCACTGCTGCTTCGCGAATGTGGTTTATCTGCCCCCTTTAGTTTGGAGAAGGGTTCGCCATGTTGCTGATGATTTGGAGGCTGCACAGTTGTTTTTGTTATCGCGGCGCCGTCCCTCCCTCTTCTCGTACGAGTTGTCACCTTCTTTTTGTTTGTTTTTTTGTCCCCCCCTGTGCCTCGAGTTAAAAAGGGGGGCCGGCCAACTGACTATTTTTGCCAGGACTAGGACCAGTTCATAGATGGCAAAAAAAACAACACATTCAGAAAGTTCAAAATATTTAACGTGGGAAATGGCTCCAGCACTGGCACCTTGTCTAGAGGAAACCAATGCAAGAAAAGGGCACAACCACAAGACTCTTTCCCTATAAAGTCTTATATAGACCTGATCACTGTTTGAATCCTGCATTTGTGCCTGTTGCCTCAATAGAATTAGAGCCAATATTGACTGCCTTCATCAGATGATTAACATGAGAGTTCCCTAAGTTGTACCTTTTTGTTTTTTTCGATTGTTTTACGTGGACAAAATGACGTTAGGCCAGAAATGCCACTTGCAGTCCACTGATTTCTCAGGGTTGAATCAAAACCAGCGTTAATGCCGACGTCGTTGTTGGTGAACTAACTGAATCATTTTAATCAGCAAGGCCTCAGTACAGTTAGCCGGGTGGCGTTTGGTACCGTACCCTCCAGGCTTTGACCCCTGAGCGTTGACCTAGAATCCCCCACCCTCTCTCGCTCTCTCCTCTCTCTCTCTAATTAGATGCCTTGTAAAGGGACAGACTGAAATGATTGTCTGTCAGTAGATGTAGAGAGTTTTGCTTTAGATTTTCTTAATATACTGTAAGTATGAGCTGTGACTCCAGGCGTCTCTGAAAAACCCTTGAAGGTTGGCTTATATTTATACGCCAACTAGGACTCCACTGTTTTTTTTTTTTTCTAGGACAATTTTCAGGCACCGTTTGAATCTGTATTTTGATTTCCCCCCCGTTCCCCGGGACTGTTCACATGGACATCCTCCTGTTTTTATTTTCCTCTTCTACATTAGAGCGTGTGAGCATCACTTTGCATCTAGTTCTGGCTTTGTACATACTGTGATCTGTTGCCATGTAAATAATATTCAGGTTTATCTCCGTATATATAAATGGTTGTAGAGTGGATTTTTTTTTGTGCTGAATGTGTTTAAAATCACTGCTTTTCCAATGAAGATTACTTTTTTTTGATTAGGATTTATTGTGTTACTTTTCATCACCTTCTTGAAATTCATTCCTTTGCAAAGTCTCATGTCAATCTAACAATCAATAAAATACACCTTTCTAATGAAAGTAGGCTTTTTTCATAATTTTACATATCAAGAATTTGACCTTTTCATGATTATTGTTGCAAAAAATATCTAAACTCATTTTCTGGAGAAAGTCCAGGAGATGGAAAAAAGGAGTTTTTTGTCGTATAACACCTGCAATTATCGTTTGTTATTAAAGCTCTGGTTCTGCCAAAAATCCCCAACCCGACTCAGCAAAGGCCTTGGTGGGAACGACAATGATCAACAGAATGAAGCTTTACACGAAGCGGAAGTGGGCAGGAGCGAATCATCGGGGTCTAGTCGACGCGCACCACACCCGCTGATCACCAGCTCCCGCTATTAACATGATGGACGTGCGCACGAGTAACTGTCACGCTGTGGCAGCTAAAACCCGTCTCTTATGATAGACTTTGTTTTTTAGTATGTTGCGAAATTCCGTAGACGTACTTAGCTACATGTAGCTACATTTGTTTAGCTATTTACATTCAGGCTGCTGACGCGCCACCCAAAGGGTCCTTCCCCGCGCGCAGCAACAAGTTCTTAACGTTAAGTACGTCAACGCGACCACGACTCCGACGCGCGTGAACATTCAAGTTGAAACCGCTCTGTATTAATGCGACACGTGAGGTCGCTTTAGGTTATTAGTTGACGCTGTTACAACTTTTAGGAGAATGATTCCACCTGTTTGACGGGTTTTGACAGCACGTGCAGAAATGAGCTCCGGTAAGTGTCACGAGAGTTGACAGCACGCGAACTAACTTATTTTAATTTTATTGTATTATTTCTTTAGGGACTTATTGTACAGCTGAGTGATGAAATACATTAGAATCTGAGGTAACGTTCGAGCAACTTATTTTTCTCCAAATAAAAGGTCAGCGCATGCAGTGAGACATGTATGCATCATTCAATGAAGAATAACTTACTATGTGCACGTTTGAGCAGCTAGGTCGATATTTATGCGTATTTCGATCCGAAAGTGCTGGTGCAGTTAAAAATGCATGTACACAATTCCTGAATTGTACAATTTTGAGGTCCTCAACAAATACATTTGTTGAGGACAAAAAATGTGTTATGAGGAGAGGTATATCACAGTATTTAAACTGCACAATGAGTACAGTAATATTTAGATTTGCCCGATTTGTTCCCATTCATTCAAAATGTTATCAACTACAATGTTGATCGTTTATTTTTTATTCTGTCGTCTCCAGCTTCTCAAAAAAGAAAGTGTTTTTCTGTGTGTAAAATAGTACATTTTAAAATTAAAAAATTAAGCATATTTTTTACATCAGACAAAACAGGCAATTTTAATACAACAACATTGGCACTGTATAACGTTTTATGTCCAAAAATGTTTTAATTATGGACAAAATTATCTGAAGATTAATTGTCTATATAAATAACGCTCCCACACTATGCTTGTTTTGACCACACATGTTTCCCCCACAGAGGTGTGTCCCTTCTGCGGCAAAATTTACAAAAGGTTGAAGAGTCACCTGCCGCACTGCAAGGCGGCAGCGAGCCCCAACACACCTCCGACCAAACATGTCGCGGCGAGCGAGACGGCGTCGTCGTCTTCACAGCTGGTCGCACCCTTCAGCGGACCAACGGCAGAGTCCACTAAGACCTTGTCGGTAACGTTAATTCCACAATCAAAGAAGGGTAAGAAGATGTCTACGGCGTCGTTGTCCCCGGATTCTTCGTCACTTCCGCCTCCGACTAAGAAGACGAAACAAAAGCCGTCCCAACAAATCAAGAGAGCCGTCGCTCCTTCCTCGATCACCGATTCCCTCGTCTCCATTGCGTCGCCGCCTCCCCCCGTCCCCAAAAAGCAGAGCCTCCGTGCTTTGATAGAAGCTGCAAAGGCCAAACATGCAACTGAGGGAACCGGATCGGCCTCAGAAGACCGGCCTCCAGGTTCGGGTCCATCGGTGGCGGATCCTCTAAGCTCCGGGGCCACAAAAGAAGCTGACGCCCCTCCTGCCGTTCTGTCCGCGGCCGACGAACCCACGGCTGCCTCTGAAAAGAAGGTGGCAAAGACGAAGAAGGCCGCGGAATACCTTTCCGCAACAAGAGGTGCCTCCAACCCGCCGGACTCTAGAGTCCATGAAAGAGACGACTTTTGGGTGGAGGACGAGAACGGAGAAGTTGAGGAATTATCTGTGAATAAGAGGTTCTTGAAATCAGGAAGCGGCCACAAGGCCAGGATTACCCTGCAGGATGTTAAAGCCACGCTAGGCCGAGCCAACGGTCCCCGTCAGCCCGGCCGGCCGAGCATCTTGAGCCAGGTTGAAACCACCGACAATGCAAATGCAAAATGCAAAATAGCTCCGGTTCCACTCCCCCCCCCTGCGGCGCCGCTCCTTACTGGCCAGCTGTCCTCTCTGCCGCGCACCGTCAGCGTGAACGGGGTGCCGAAGGTGACGGGAGTCCTCGCGCTATCGCCGACACACACAGAGTTCACCAACCCTCTGCTGGCAGCGCGGGGGGGGACGTTGAGGGCGGGGACATCAAGAGGCGGCGATGGGTTGAAGTTGCGGCCCGGTGTCAGGGAACAAAACGCAGCTGACAGGGGGACTAAAGGTCGGTATTTTATCGGGAAAAGAGTGGGTATCAGACGTCCATTTGGGTCGTTGTACGGACTGTTTATCTTTTGATTTCGGTGTAATACGGCAAACTGTCGTCTACCTAATTTAGCCGTCGATCTGATTTGCTTTATTGTGTTTGGAGGAACGTCTTGGATTATTAATATTTAATATAAAAAAAAAAGAAAAAGATGCTTGTACTGAAAATCAGTACATAAAAACACCCCCAGCCTGCAGGGAATGAAAAGAGGGATGTGTTGTTTTTCTGTTTTGTTGGCGTGCAGGTGGTCTCGCACAGCGGAGTCTTGCACAGGTGAAACTGAGGGAGTTGCCCGAGTGGCTTACATGCAGGACCCCCAGCCACCCGAGAGAGGTGGTGGAAATGGTGCAAGGAGGTGAAAGACACACTCATCTCACACACACACAAACCATTCAGGAAACCCTCCATAAGGCCCAACGTTTGAAGAATTCCACCGGCTGCTGCTCTGTGTTTGACGTACATCTAATCCTCGCCAGGGAACTAAATGTTGAACTATTGCTTTTTCATATTCAGTAACGTCTTCTGTGCTTCCACCAGGCTGGCAGTGGTATTACAAGAAGTACATTGACGTGAAGAAAGGTGGTGCAGGTGGACTGGGCATGTTGTTGGCGGGATACTGTGCACTGAGCTACATCTGGAGTTACCCTCATATGAGTGAGTGTGTGGAATCGCTTTCGTTTCTGAGTCGGAGATAACTGAGCATGTCTGTAGTTGATGTTGTTTCCTTTCTCCCCCAGAGCGTGATCGCTGGAGGAAGTACCACTAATGTCAAGGCGGGGGGGGTGCCTGTGTGTGAGGAAAGGCTAAATCTATATCCCAACATTTCCACAGACTTCATGCTTGATGAGGTTGCTACTTCTCCAACAGGGAACCACATCAGCCCACATTTCTTTTGACTTTTGTGAGCAACAGGTTGGCTTAGCTTAGCACAAAGGCCGGACACAGCTAGCCTTGCTCTGTTAAATGGCAACACCTGTTATTTGTGTATTACTTACAAAAACTAGCCTTTCCGACCAGCTGTTTCCATCTATATGCTAAGCTAACGGTAACTTTATATTATAGAAAGTATGGTATGATTGTTATTTAACTCTTCACCGGAAAGTGAACAAGCAGTATTTAAAGAAACGTTGAACTGTTCCTTTAACGAGTGGAAGCGTTGTGATTCTCTGACATTAGCAGTTTCCCTCTCAACTGATTTGCACTCGCATGGCACATCGGAGATGAAAGCCAACCGCTGCGTCAATACTTAAAAAAATGTATTCACTTGTCATATGTTATCCTGGTTGGCTTTGTGTCTATTTTCAGTTTGAGAAGGAAAAAATGTCCACAACAAAACAAAAATGTTTTTATTGGAAAAAATGTGTATATATATATTACTTATTATTTTATATTCGGTTGTCCACCATGTGACTCCTCGGGCGCCACTAGGTGTCACTGTTGTGTTACCAAAACCAACTCTGCTGTGCAGTGAAGCGTTTGCATAGTTTTCTTAGCTCCTTTTGTGCAGAGGCACTGGTCCTGGGGTCAACGAGGATTATACCTGATTAAAAGCTTTGCTCTGGCAGCCCAGATGTAGAGGAACATGGAAATCTAAACATCCGAACTTCAGTATCTCTCAAAAGAGTGCATCTGTGTAGCGGAGGGTTCGTAATCCGTTTTTCTTTAGTAAAAGCTTCCGTGTCGCATGGTGGCATTATTATGCATGCTTGGTCTGTCGGTGGCAGTAAGTGAACACTGTCAGAATAGTAATGGCGGGACGATGAAGGAGGTTTCTCATCAGGACTGAAAAAATGTGTCATCGTATTCAAAATGAATTTATTGTTTACTCTCCTTGCTGCTGTAGTGAACACACATTAGCTACAAATGAAGAACATTTTCTTTCTACTTGTATTTTTTTAAGCTCCTTCATAGCAAACACAATAAAAAATAATTTCCTTTTTTTTTTTTTACATTCTTTTTTTCTCCATACAAAAATTATAAATATTTTGTGTTTCACTTTTCATATTTTTTTTCCAAAACAACAAACTACACAAATGGAGGCATAAAAACATTTTTCAAATGAAAACAGGGGAGGACAGGGGAGAAAAAGCACAGTCTGTTGCTGCCGGGCCCCTCACACACTGATCCAGACAACACACCGTGGCCCCCAACACGCGACTACTTTGTGCAAGTCCCCAACTGACTTTATTGTGGATTTAAGTGCTATAGAGGCACAACGTCTTGCAGCAACAACTCCAAGAAGCAAATAACAGAACGCACACTCCTTACAGTTTTTCCTCAGTTTGCACTGGAAGATATATACGAGGTCTACGCGGATCGAGGCAGAGATACGGGCGGGCTGCGACGCCCACTGAAGAAAAGAAAAAGGAAAAGACAGACGTGATGTCTGTCGCCCCGAGTAAAAGGTCCCCGCTCTCCTCCTGTTAGAGAACACGTCACAGACACGATTAGGAGAAAGGCGACCAATTACATGTTCAATATTTCAGATTAGTTCTTTATCGTGGTTGAAATATCTCGGTAAGTTTATTAAAAATGAATGAAAACTCTTTCAGGGCACAGCTTCAAAGGAAACACTACAGAGACGTAATAACCAGCGTAAAGACGAACATCTCTCTCCTGGTTTTTGAGTTTTGGTTGCGCTGCTGAGTGGGAAAGGAGAGAAAAAGAAACTCCTGGGAGGCCGAGTGAAACTCTTGGGTATGAAAACAAGTTTGGCAATCAAACGATTGGGTGAGGACGGTCACACACCTGTGTGTGTGTGTGTGTGCGCAGGTTAACACACTGACACACACACACTGACCGACGCGTCACGGGAGAGAAGCGTCGATAGCTGGATATGGTCGATACCCAGAAGGCAGACCAACGTACCTACAATCAATGACCCACCGGGTCATTCAAACAATGTTGCTGTATTTAAAAGCGTGGGAACACATCACGACAAACAACATCCGTCATCTTTTTTAATGTCATTTCTAAAAATAAAAAAAAAGAGGAAATAAAAAATATATACTGTAACATAACTTCCTCAATCTGAGGACTAAGCTCCCCTTGACACAAACACACTGTGAAATGCTAAAAGTGGTTGAGAGTATTTGTCCTGTGTCTGTGTCGGGGCTCGCATACCTTTAAGGTACAAAAGAAGAAATGCCAAAGAAAATGTTACTTGAGCACAAGAAAAAAAAAAGCATTGCTGAGTACAGTAAAACTACTATACATGTCGATGGGACCAGTGTGACGGGTTGCTCGTGGGATTGAGAGGTTATCCTTGTACCAAATACAATAGTTTAGTCTGACGCACTCTTTGAGTTCTGGAAAAAGCAACAGTGCGTTTAGTGCAATTTGTCTATGTGAATGTTTCTCTACTGAGCTTAACTTCTACACCTCCAACCCATGAACCTACATAACGCGTCGTACTAACGCGTGCGTGTGTGTGTGCACTGTGCATGTTTGTAATGCAGAAAGAATTGTGGATTTTTCTAAAAAAAGACCTCCTTCATGTAAACACATCAAACCAGAAACCTAGCATCAGGCACAGATTTTTCACTTTGTTGCTCCTCGTTCTTCGGCATGTGGGAAATATGGACATGAACTGGCACGAAAGATCAACGGTGCGTGGGTGAAGAGACTCTAGTATTCAATCGACTGAAATTGCGGACCCTTCCCCTTTAAAATAAGGTTAAAGTAAACAAGAACTTATTCCAACTGGCATTTTACACATTCCCCGGATGTTTTAGGGTCATCTTGAGTGCCTGTATTCACCTGGAGTCATACCAAAACCCCCTTTATGCCCGCCCCCCCAAAAACTGAATACATGCTACATAGTCGGAGATGGTATCACAAAGATAATAGACCTGAAAGAAGAGTTCACCTCCCTTCACACAGGTAATGGGCGGGCGGGATACAACAAATATCACAAAAACAAAACCTCCGCTCACTCAAAAGAAGTCCAAACCAGGGACGAAATCAGCCTTAACATTCCAAGATGCTGTTGACCGCCGCCTCCAGAGCAGAGTCTGCGTCGCCGCGGGGGGGGGAGGTGAGCTTAGCGGGGCACTGCGGCTGCACCGGGTGGGAAGACAGCTGGTGAGACTCCTGGTAGTGCGTCTGTCCTCCCGCCGAGGCTGCATTGGCGGAGGGGTTACCTGGTGGACAACCGCCGTCCGGCCCGTAGTGTAGCTGAGATTTCTTCAGTTCCAGGACGCTCTTGTTTTCTAAGAGCGGCGGGTGGAGTCTTTTTGTTCCAGCCCCTCCCGGGTCTCCACACTGGGAGTCTGTCCTGTTCGCCGGCTCCGCGGAGCCTCTCTCCGACCGAATCTGGGAAGCGGCGGGATCTTGGGAAAGTTTGGATTTCATTCCGCAACAGAAGTCTTCAAAGAAGGCGTCTGTGAAACGGGAGAAGAGAGGAAACAGTTCAATAAAAACCTTTCTGTGCGGAAAACCCATTGGACCCTGGTGGAGCCTTTTTTTTTTACCTGGATCTACGAGAATCATGCGTTTGTCCTGCGTCAGGTTGCTGCGCTCCTCTTGGTTGAACGTCCTGTCAATCATCACCATTTCTGATGAGGGACTGGAACGCTGCGGGCCAAAGAGAGGGAACCCGTTAAGCCCCCTGCACGCCGTAACGTCAAACACCTGTGTACTTAAGCATCAGCCAGCCTACCTCGGCCTCCACCATTAGCAGCCGTCTGTATTTGTTCACCATCACATGCGTCCTCATCAGCACTTTAGTTGCAACGACCTCAAATTCTTCATCCACTGTCACAAAAGAATATATTTAGATAAAGGTAAATAAATAAAAAAACAATTTTACTTCTGCAAATTGATGCACGACCACGCTATAAAAATCTGGGCTGCAGTTTTCTGCCATTTCCTGCAGATTTAAAGATGAAACTATTATTTGGGAGGGTGTACCCTGAGAGAACTCCTCGTGGCTGGGTGGAGCGCCCTGGAACACGTGGTACGGGAGGAGTCTTTGCAGTGCGTCGTCGATTGAATTGAACGGACGCTGATCTAGGGTCTGAACGCCAGCATGGTCCTTCCTCAGCTGTAGTAAAATCCTGTAGAGACGACAGGGAATAGACATGGTTCGTAAACGTGCTCAGTAGAGAAAGTTTGCCGGATGCAAATATAAATCACAATAACACATGCATACAAAAAGAACTCACATTTCTGCTCTTGTAAGCGGCGGAAGGGCAGGTCTCTTCTGGGCACTGACCTATAAAAAGAGTCCACAGAATAAAGTTGAAACTATAGAGCCTCTATCGTCACAATCGCCATGTACCTCACATATACATCGTATACATGAGCGCCAAAGACATTGGGGTGATCTACCTGAGAGTTGAGCTTTGAATCTTGAGTCATGGTTGTCATGGCTAAAAGAGTTCAAAGAAATTAGTCAACCTCATTGAGTGTGTCCGACTATATTTAAATAAATCACGTATTGACAAAACAATATGATCAGCACTTAATACCATATATGCTGCCGAGCTGCGCATGCTTGAGGCCCGGAGAGGAAGAATTCTGAAAGAAAGAAATTGAAACCAAATGGATGTCAGTGGGATAGAAAGTTTTCAGGAAGCCACCAATGAAACAACACCATGGACCTGCTGCCATACCTGTCTGTAGTCCTGCTCCTGCGTCACAGTACCAGCTATAGGGGACAGAGAAGTGCAATTCTGAGTTTGAGTCACTAGAAGGCGCTGAACGGCGCTAGCAGACACTTGGCCTTGGCGGCCGATCCCCGCCGTCGCCGGGCCAACCAGAGTCAGGCGCCCGGGAGGGGACGTTGTCTGAACGGAGGCGGAGTTCGCACAAGAAACCCCGGTCCACGTTTGAGTTACGGCCCCTCCGACCTGACTCCGGCTGACTACTCCCTGATTCAAAATGAGCTGGCCTCCCGGGGGGGCGGCAAAGTTCTGCCCACCGACAATCTGCACCGCATTCTGCCCGGTAATTGAGTTGGGGTCGGCGGGGCCGTTGTGGTTGGCGCCGGCTGGAGTAAGCGCCAACGAGCTGGGCAGCAAGAACTGTCCCGGCGGTATGTGTGCTTGGGCCTGCGCTTGTTGCTGCTCCAGGGTGGGCTGCACAACGATGGAGCCGTTGGCTGAGTACTGCCCCCCCGGAGGAGCGGTGTTAGCGTTAACTACGTTAGCCCCGCCGGTCTGAGTGGGCTGGAGACCGAGGCTGTAGACAGTCTGAGTCCCAGATTGGAGGGGTTTTGGCTGGATAGGTCTGACGAGAGTCTGGGTCCCTCCGGGGCCTCTCTGAATGATGATGTTTTGAAGGGGAATGTTTTTGAAAGGTAGGCCGACTTGGCCCACCTGCCCTTGTGTCGGAGCGAACACCTGTCCCCCTGTGGCGCCCCCACCGGTCGCGGCTACAGGCGCCCCGGGCCTCAGCACGAGCTGAGGAGTTCTCTCCAGGCTGCTCAGAGTCATCACGCCAGCACCCGCCCCAAAGGACCCCAACACCTGGATGTGCTGGGCGGAGCCATTGGGCAGCTGGGAGACACCTTGCAGGAACTGGCCTGTGGGGAACGCAGCTGTCGCCGTGGTTACCACACCCCCTCCATAGCCCCCAGAGACCAGCTGGGAGGGGAAGGAGACGGGAGCCTGCACCAGAGTGGGAGCGGGCTGGGAGTCTAGCAAGGCCTCCTGGGCCAATGTCTGCTCCGTGATGTCGGCCTCCATGAGGGACTTCTGTAGGATGTCAAAGGGCTGGTCCTCTCCCCCAACATCCACCCCTTCGGGAGAGTCCCCGGACCCCAATTCATCCTCGATGAATGAAAGGCTGCCGGAGAGCTGGAGGCCTGCCTCTGTTGGATCGTCGACGAATTCACCCATTGTAGAAGAGCCATCCTTGAGGCCAGAGTTTGAGCCAACCTGAATGAGGCATTGAGAGGAAATGAGCAGGAAGTGGGAAACTGTTTGCATGTGAAGTGCATATACACACAGCCTTCCTCTAGGTTTCTTTATAACCTCACAAAAAGATGAACTAGTCCCCTAAACTATTCATAAGATCATTTTCATGTACTTTCCCATTTTCGTCACCTCACAAAGTAAAGACCAATATCAGCACACTAAAAAGTACACTTGCTGGGCTCTCGGGTAGATTATCTCCGTACGAAGTGAAGTGGGTTGTTGAAGCAACCGAATCAAAAGGTAAACTCACCGTGTCACTGGAAAAGAAGGATGAATCTGACCCAAAAGCAGCGTTTGTTACATCATCCTCCTCAATCTGCAGAATACAAAATAGATTCTTAATGCATTGAAGTGAAGTGAAGTACTCGGACAAACTTGGCAAAGAATGACTGTAAATTCACTGTGAAAGAATCACTCACAGACTTGCTGTTGCTGCCATGGAGATAGTCATTCAATGCGTCCACATCTCTGAGAAAGGGTGCAGAGGAGATTTTAACATAACATGAATGTCTTTTCACTTATGTGTGGTTGAAATGGGGTTGAACTGGTCCACATCTCCGGGGAGTGGGACATTGAAAATAGACTTACAACACATCATTTCTTCTTAAATAGTTGGAAAAAAAAAAAGTTTGCAGATACTCTGGGATTTGATTTCAAAGAGGAGCTGTGGCCATTTAACTATTTACAAGCAAAATGAGTGGCTTGTTGAAGAGAGATGCAGGTTCATGCATTCATGAAGGGACGATATGTCCACAATGTAAAACCAGTTTCATAAAGTTGTTTTTTTTTACCCTAAAATATCCAGAAGATGACGATCATCCTCATCATCCATGACACCTGAAAGGCCAAGGGGGGGGGTGTTGAAACGTAATTCAGCAGATGAGGAGATGGCTGCTATGAAGTATAAATATGCAGCTCAGCTTCATGAATCAGTGCTTTCATTCTGAAGCAGCAGCGTACGGGCTGTAAAAGCTTCACACGTGAACCAATGCGTTAGTAGTAAAGACGTCACACTCACAGATTTCCAGCAGGAAGCATGTGTTCAGTCATTTAGCACCCTTTGTTTTCTGGGCTGCAGGGTGAGGAAACTGCATTTAGTAATAGCACATAATAAAACAACGTGTGACAGGCCGGGGTGAGGGGGAGTATTAGGAGGTGGGATCAAGAAAGAAATGGGGGGGGGGGTAGTTGTGTTCAGGTGTTTTGGATTGCTGTATGTACGTGAAGGACAGGATGGCCTTCATCCCCTCCTACAGACCTTTTTTTTTTTTTTTGCCTGTGACACACAAACTCCCACCCATTACCCTCCTCTGCTGTCACACATTGGTTGTCTACCCTGACTGAAGAGAAAATTGCCATTAGAGTGTAAATAACTCCACCCTGCTGCGTTTGTGCCTCAGTTAGTTTTGAGTTCCTACGTTGACTGAGGTTTTTGGCTTTATATTGTGTCAGCCAGCAACGGTCGGTGCCACATTATACAAAGGGGGGACAAAACCCATGTTCACTCATTTGATCCAGCAGAGAAACAGGGTAACGAGTGTTTGGATGTCTGTACAACTAATCTGTCTTGTTTTAACGTAGTTTGTTTTTGTTTGAGCAGTGTGGAAAACGGAAAGAACTTTCTTATCAGGAAATTAAAAAAGCCCAGTCGTCATTAAACCAGCATTTAATAGAAATGGGTCTCTGTGTTCATAGGACATGTTGTGCTTTGATTGAGTCGTGTAGGCCGGGTTCCTGGTTAAGTGCAAAACGTTACAGCTGCAATGCTACAAAATGGCGGTTACCCTGCCAAAGGTTGTCTTTACACCAGAGCCACGTTCAGCCTCCATCTTTGGTTCAGGGGGAACAAAGAACGACTTGCTTCTACACTAAATGAGCTCTGTAAACTGACGGCATTGCGAGTTTTTTTAAAGAAACCCGCGACACGTAGTTTTTAATGCAGAATGTTGTCTTTTATTTAATAACCACGCTAACCGGCCTAACGTTTTACATTATTTTGAACAGCTCAAGTCACCACAATGCGACGAAAAGAAGCGATGTCGATCTTTTTCGAGCTAAAAAAAAACAACAAAAAACTTAACCGCAACATGTTTTTTATTTCACATATAAATAACACCCACTTTGGTACTGTGTGGAATACGACATTTCTCACAACAACGGTACGAATTAAACGGAATTTAATTAACTAATATCCCGTTAGCTCGATTTTTCATAAAGACGACAGAGCTGAAGTGGCTTCCCTGAAAATAAAAATGGCGTTTTAAAGGGTAGCTCAAAAAAAAAACACTGAATCCGCAGATTTATCACTCGTTTGTGATTCTGGTTCTCGGGATTCACTTTTAAACCCGTTTTGTTGGGAGTTCTAGCTCAAATCCTGTCGTGTAAGCTTCGCGGCGGGGACCGAGCTAGAGCCGGTCCCCGCCGCCGCGGTGCTACCGGAGCCCCGCCGGTACCGCCGCTGCTTCCCGTTGGCCAACTGGCGTCCGGCTCCCCGCGTTCTGTATTCCGAAAATAGACCCGGTCGACGGTATGATAATCGCATTCAAAGCAGCACAAACACGCCCGTCGTCCAGCCCGTGGCTGGTGGTCGCTGACGTGATTATTTCCTTCTCCGTCTGGGAGGCTTTCATTTGTCCTCCATGCGGCTCATCTGCCAACGCGAACGGGAGACAAAAATAACGTCACGTTTCGTATCGATACACCGAACCGACGCGTTTTAACCGGGAGGATTCCCGTAGCAGCCCGTGTTCCGGTCGGGTAGCGTTCCGAACTAGACCGCTATGGTGGTGGGTGTTTTTTTAAATGCATTTTTACGTTAAAACACCGGCCTGCCGTGGTTAGCTAGCCGCGATGTCGTCAACGCCTATTTTTGGAAAACGTCGGGCGGAATTCACCGACGGTGCCAGAGGACTAAACCGTGTCGAGCCCGCACATAGTTATCCCGATTAGCACAACATAAAGACGACTCAACGAGGCAAACCCTTTTACTCCTGTCTCACTCCTCTTGAAACCCAATATCTCCATTTGGCAACTTTTAATTTGCTCCCCCCCTCCTTCTCCTCCTCCTCCTTCTCCCTCTCCCACTCACATATTTTTTTCTCACTGTCCCTGTTCTGTCTCGAATGGATTTTTCTCTTCGCTCAAACTCTCTTCCCTCCCTGAAGGAAGGGAGGAAGGAGGTTGTGTGTGTTTTTTCCTTGAAATTTTTATCACAAAATTATAATACACTCAAAGGGAAACTCACCGTCATGAAAAAGCAGTGCCTTGTCAACGGGGTTTCCTCGCCATCACCGCACGGGTCGTCGGGGTAGTGCACAGAACAAGGCAACCGAAATCATCAGGCTACAACGCAAGCATCCGACTCGCTAAATATTAATAGGAATTATCAAGACAAATACGTTATTATTATTATTATACACATATTTTTGTGTTAATTTAAATTATATTAAGAGTTTGCTCTGCCCTATTGAATAGCAGATACATGTTATTGGCGCTAATCATCATCAACGGTAGAGGGCGGGCCTCGAAAGTATGCCACACCTTGACGTAGCTCAGGTATGACCGTAGTTGCTGTAGAAACAAATACTGCCATGTCACCTTTTGATCCGCATGCACTGTACTGAGACGGAATTCAGAGTTAATGCAGCCGTTTGTTTGCTGCTGGGTTTTAAATAAGTATTTATATATTCTCCCGGTGATGTGCAACCACGCTGTTTTTTTTCAATTTGATTTAAAGCATACACATCAAACACCACTTGTTCCGACAAACAAAACATTTCAAAACAAAAACACACATGAACACACTGGACACAAAATATGTTTTTATTCAATTGAATACATTTTGTATAGCCCCAAATCACAGATTTCCCTCGTAGGGCTTTACAATTACGTCTGTTTCTATGCTGTTATTGTAAATGGAAGTTGTAATAAATTAATAATAAATAATGTATGTATATTACAAAAAAATAAAAGTTGCCAGTTTACAGCTGTACATATTCTGGTACCTTCTCATTGATGGAAATAAACCAGGTATCTCAGTGGAATTTTTAATAATAAATAACAAGTCTCCGCCCAGGATTCCCGGTCATGACATTGTCTTTACGCCAGGTGGCAGTAAGCACCCTTCAACTCAGCCGCGCTAAAGCCACGAAGAAGAGAGCGTGACGTTTCACTTCCGCAACAACGGACTATTTGACAACATGGATGCGACACAAACTGGGTTTGCGGGCGAAAGTGGCGCAGTGAAGATACAAGAGCGACTTCAGAAGCGGCACCAGGCGAGGGCAGAGGACGCCGAGCGGAGGAAGGAAGCCAAAGACAGCAAGTCTGTGGTGGAGGAAAAGGGCGAGTACTTTTCCAGCTCTTTCAACGCCGAGCGGGCGTCCATCGAGGAGGTGCTGTCCGGTTGCTCCGGAGCCGACCGGGCCGCGGTGACCCAACGGCTGGAGGAGGCCACGGCCAAAACGGTCCAGCTGCAGAAGTTCCTCAACGACAGCATGCTGTTCCTAACGCAGTACGAGCTGAGGCAGGCCCAGGCCGCCCTCCTGAAGCTGCAGTCCTCCATCGCCGAGGCCCGGGAGCAGGCTGTGCCCAGGAAGAAGTTCGCCTTTCGAGCCCGCACCAAAGCGACGGACAAAGTGTCGGAAACACCGTCGCCCGCGGCCGACGCCCGCGCAGACTCCGGTGTTGCCAAGGTGGACGGAGCCGCGGAGTCGGAGCAGTGCAGCTTCTCCCACATGGACAACGCGAGTCTGACCAAGACGGCCGCGGATGTCCAGAAACGAGACGTGCTGTTGAGTCACCTGACCAACTGCAAGGTGCGCCTGTTCGGTTCCCCCAGCACGCTGCACCTGAAACACATCGACGGCTGCGAGATCCTGTGTGGGCCCGTGAGTAGTTCGGTGTTCGTAGATCACTGCAGGAACAGTACGCTGGCCGTCCCTTGCCAGCAGCTGCGTACGCACAACACCACGGACACCAGGGTGTATCTGCAGGTCACCAGCCGGGCCATCATAGAAGACTGTCACGGGGTGAGCTTTGCCCCTTTCTCCTGGTCTTATCCCACCCTGGAGGAGGACTTTGAAGTGTCGGGCTTGGACCGGGACCGAAACAACTGGAGCCAGGTGGATGACTTCAACTGGCTCGCCGCAGGAACACATTCCCCCAACTGGACTGTCATTCCGGAAGCGGACAGGAAAACCACGTGGGACCCCTAGAATTGAGTTTTGAGACATTGTTATTTGGCGAAGTAATATGTCAATCAAACCATCATTTGGAATGTTGTTCATTCCCAACAACAAAAAGGGGTCTCATCTTATTTCACAAAGATCAGTTTATTTATGCTGCTGTTTGTTAATGTTGTCCTAAGATAAAGATAAAAAATACACCTGTTTAACATCCCAAAGCTCTCTTGGTATGTTGGTACTCAAGGCCCTCACGTCTCAGCAGAGACATTTTTCATTCACTATTTCTTCAAGATTAAACTCTGTGTGAAGTTAATTCTGTTTTAAATTATTCTGCTCACGTGTGGCGAACATATACTGAAGAGAAAAAAATTGCAAAACTTCAAAAAAGACTTGACACAGAAAGGCTGTACAAAAGCTACAACTAAGTAGTAGTTGTTTTTTACAGATAATATCCCATAATGACTTAACCTAGTGCTTCCTTGATCTGAACAGTCCAGATGTTTAGTTTACTCCATAAGGAAAAGATGGAATCCGCCTGAGAGAAAAGGAAGTTGGTATTTAGCTTGAAAAGTGTGACGATGATTCTATCCATTTTAAAAGTATCTATAACTCAAATGTAGTTTCAGATCTAGCTTTCATTTAGTGCAGCTTTCTAAAACTTTTCCCCCACCTGCTGATCCTAACAGACGTCACCGTGGTTCTAGGCAGAGGCGGAATTCCCTCATCAAAAACCAGGTTTATTTCTAGCTCAATGAATGGTCTTGTTAGTCACGATCTGTGAACTATTAAAGGACATCTGATTCATAGTACAAAGCTCCTTTCTGAATTTACTAAGTACTAAAGTACTTTTCAAAACCACTAAAATTGTTTGAATAATAATCCGGCATGAATGCTGCTGTGAAGTGCTCTTTCTCAGCGGTACAGAAGGTGTCTGTGATTTGAGCAGACTGACGCAAATGAACAGATAATTATTCTCAAGCTAAATCGTTGGGCCTTTATCCACCTGTTAACCACCGACCTGAAGCGGGGAAAAAAAGGACTTTTTAAGGTATTGAAAATGAAATGTAAGACAAATAAAGAGACTTCCTGTTTAACAACATGCTTGTTTGTTTGTGGTGTTTACTCTTTATGAGGAAGCGTTCTTCCTCCTCTAAACAACACTCATTGATACAAAGCAGATCTGTACAGTTTTAAAGAGCACTACAAACATTTAACGGAAGAAAATACCGTTTCACATATTTAATCCAACGGTAATATTTATAACAATTTAAAGACGATAAATCAATACAAGGAACAAACAACAAATCTATTTACCAAACTCCTGAGACAGCGCTCAACCTGGTCTCTTATGAGCATTTATAAGCAGTATATAAAGTTTCAACATAAATAACAAATATTTTATTGATCAAACAGATATTAATGTGTCATAAGTAGTATTTACTCTAGACTAATAAAGAGCTATAATTCGTCGCATTGTGGCGACTTGAGCTGTTCAAAATAATGTCACACATTAGGCCAGTTAGCATGGTTATTAAATAAATGACAACATGATGGTCTTGGTCTTTTTAAAAGTTGTTAGTTTACAGAGCTCATTTAGTGTAGAAGCCATGTCGTTCTTTGTTCCCCCTGAACCAAAGATGGAGCAGTTATTTTAAAATGTTAACTTTCCCAAAAACTACAGTATTGTGTGTAAAAATATTTTATTTAAAAGTGCTAAAATGGCTTCACAATTGTTTTTGATTCAAGTGGAAATAAGACAATAACTGAAAGCACTTAAATTGAAATCTTCTAATGTGTCGCTGTGTGTTTTATCCCTCCATTGTGTTCCAATTTTGTCCCTTTTAATTGACCACACCATCAGTCGGGTTGAAAACCTTTTTTGTTTGTGCCGTTAATGGGTCTCTGGGGCTAGACTCGCTCTGTGGTGAAGACATCCAGTTTGTGTAGAACCTGTGGAGGAGTAAGTCCACCATTATTAGCTCCACTGGCATTTCCAGGGTGTCTGTCAGACTTCAGCTGATGCCATTACCGCTCCTGGTGCGTTCGATCAAGGCGACCGTGACCACGTGAACGCACAAACCAATTATGGCCCCTGGCAGCGGCTTATAATCAGGCTCATCTTGTGTAGAGGGATTTTCTTCAAATTGGATCAGGCCCGCTTACAGGGGCTTAGTATGACGTACTGCAACTTTGAGTTTAATCATGAGGATCCTCGGCAATCCTCCACCTCTCCTGGAGAACTGAACACCACAATTAGCCTCACCCGTGTGTTACGGGAGACAAAAACAATTGTTGGGGAAATAAACCCATATGAAATCCTAAGTTTCTGTCATGATGGGAGAGGAGATCTTTTTCAAGAAATAACACAGCTGATCTGCTCCCGGGTCGTCCTGGGTTCTTCTTGCTGTGTTTTTTTTTCGTTGCTGTGGGATGGATCACAGGCTGAGCTGACTCTCCCGTCCCGTTGGACCAGCCAGAGGAGACTGTGACAGCGAAGAGACCGCGAGGCTCTAGATTATCAGTCGACTGTCTACTTCTCAGACAAGGACAAATCTACGGTTGAATAATGGCGTTGGGGTTGGTCAAGTTTGACCTGAAGAAGCGAGTGAAGCTCGCTCAGACGGTCTGGTTCATGTACTGGTTTGCCGTAATGGCCGGCGTGCTGGTCCTAAGCATGGGCCTGTTTTTTAAGATCGAGCTGCGGAAGCGCTCAGAACTTATGGACAACAACGAGAGCCACTTCTTGCCCAACCTGCTCATATTTATGGGCCTGGTGGCCTGCGGCATCAACGGCTTCGGAGGCAAAGTCTGCTACGACTCACTGGACCCTACTAAGTTTCTAAAGTGGAAGCCCATGTTGAAGGGCTTTTTGTTGTTCTGCATGGGGTTCAACGCCCTTCTGATGGTGACGGCCCTGCTGTGCTTCTTGATGAGGATCCCCCTGCAGTTCACCCTGGCTGAGGGGCTGAAGAACGGCATGAGGTACTACAAGGACACGGACACGCCGGGACGCTGCTACATGAAGAGGACCCTGGACCTGATGCAGATAGAGTTTCGTTGCTGCGGAAACGAAAACTACAGAGATTGGTTTGAGATTCAGTGGGTTAGCAACCGCTACCTGGACTTCAGCTCTAAGGAAGTCAAAGAGTAAGTATGACCAGAAATCTAAGCTTTAATTACTTTATACAAGAGGATGTGAGGCGACGGTCAATGAAGAGGGTCTGCATTGATGAAGACAGTCTTCATTGACCGTTTCAAAGTGGAGGTCGATGAGGTGGAGTCCTTGAGTTCAGTGTAAGTGGATTTGAGGTGAAGTTGGGGCAGGTGTATTTTTCACTTTCGTCGAGCAGGGATTATTGTCAGCATCGGGGGGCCGGAAGGGCGAAGGACGTTACTAGGCAGTTTTACGGATAAGGTCAAGGGGAAGAGAGTTGAGGAGGTGATTAGTACCAGAAAAAAGATACACAAGATGAACCAGGCAGAAGCAGGATCATAAGTGCATTGTTCCAGTCTGGTCATACCCCGGGCCTGGTTGTGACCACCTGCTCATATCTACACAACAGGTTCATTGTGGTTCGGACAATTCGTTTGAGGGGACATGCTTTTTGAGCGTTGGCACCTATTAGTGTTTAATCTCACGGATTACAGCGTCCCTGTCCTTAAAGAATCAGTGTCCGCTCCAATCAGAAGACGACCTGGCAACGCGCCAGGCACAGCCCTGCACGACAACACAATGTGTAAATACTGGGTATATGATTATTACTATACTGAGCTGTAAGGCCAAAATAACTTTATTACTGGCTCATTTTAAAGTTTCAAAGATGCAACATTTTTCAAATCCTTCCTTAAATATCTTTAAATATAAGTATAAGTCAGTAATATAAGTATGGCCATCTTACTAATTCACAATGGCGTGATTAGTATCCAGAACTCCCCCCACAACGTGCAAAAGTTTCGTCCTGTTGTATCGAACAGTTATCTGTGACATTTGGGGTTATCAGGTGTCGCTGTTTCTTGAAATCACTTATCCATATCTGACCTTCTCTGATCTTAGTAATCCAATCATACACGTCTTTTCACCGACCTAGTACCATCAATCTATCACGGGCAGCACAAATTGGGTCAAGCCCCTTTAAGTTAAGTTTGAAGTCTGTATTGTGCGACTTGTGGGTCGGTGTGATAGAGATGGATCTGAATGAATGAATCAATGACGTTTTATTAATACTGCAGTGGTTCTTCACAATGGCAACATAAAAAGAATACAAATGAAGAAGTGGCACAGGAAAAAGTCATAATGCGACTTGTGTGAAGCTATAATGGTTTGCTCCATGTTTAGCCTCCATGAGAGAGCTCTTTATTTTTCATTCTATTATTTAGCTTGTTAGCAGAATTTGATTAAAAAACTCAAAGGCAAAAATATACATCAAACCGTACAGTTATTTTAAGATAAGCCAACGCGATAGTTCCAGTAATTTTAGCCCACGCTTCAAATATAGTTCCTGACCCTTTAATCCCGTCTCACTTTCGCCTCCTGGCGTGAGACTAACGTGTCACTCTGCCCCCGTCCTCTTAGCCGCATCGGGAGCAACGTGGACGGCCAGTATCTGATGGACGGAGTCCCCTTCAGCTGCTGTAACCCCAGCTCCCCCAGACCCTGCATCCAGCACCAGATGACCAACAACTCTGCGTACTACAGCTACGACCACTACACCGAGGAGCTCAACGTGTGGAAGCGCGGCTGCCGCTCCGCCATGGTGTCCTACTACGGGGGCTTGATGAACACCATCGGAGTCCTGGTCATGCTGGTCACTCTGCTGGAGGTCAGGGTGCAACCAACACAGATATCCATTCACAAGAATATTGTTTTTATTCCATTATGTTACGTTTCAGTGGAATACCTACACCCTCACTGAGCATCGAACAGGAGATAATCACGCTTTTATTTCTTAATAGTAAAATGCTTAAATGATTTACTTGTAAGCCGTGTAAGGAGACTCGAGTGCTGGATTGGAGCCATGTACTCCCATTTGTATTTTAGACAAGGTAGCGAACTCCCAAAAATACCTCATATCAAAACAATTTAGGCTGATAAATAACTACAGGTGCCAACATTTTATTTGGTTTTGAGGTGAACGGTTCTTTTGCACTCGGAGAAACCTTCCTCCGTCAGCTGATGAAAGGGAACACATTCATCGGTTGTCCACCTTCTGCGCACTAAAGAAATAAATACTTAGTTCAATCAATTGCTCCGCTAATGCCCAAAAAATTCAAGCAACGATGCAAAGCCTTAACCCAGTCGACACAGTATCTTCTATTTACACTTACTGGATCTTCCCAAACAACCTTCCCGTTGCCAGGTAACCCTGCACCATCTTTACAATGTGTACTTTCAGCATCCTTCTTGCCTCCTGAACTCCTAGACGGTAAATAGCGACTTGCTTCTTGTCAGCTTTCATACACCAAACACACTTCTGATATTCAGCAGGCAAATGTTTGATCTGAAAACTCAATACGATTTAGGTAACACCCCGAAGGCTGATTGGACGCACAGTGAGAGGAATTAGGAGTTATTCAAGCGTCTCTGACACAGACAGTGGGCTCTGAGACGAAGTCATGGGTTAATCTAAGGCAGGTGAAAGGACAGACCCACTTCCTGGTGCGTCTTAAATGCTTAAATTCAATTAGCCTAAAGATTTACTGTAAGGAAAGTTTTCTCATTTCAAAAATCTCGCCACATCTGTCACTTTCAACGCTCTCACACACACAACACACACACACATGAATATACAAATACATTGATGTGTTGTTGTTTTTTGTGGTGTTTTATGTTATATTATAATGACAAATAAAATCGCTACATTATCGATTGATTCTAAAAATTACTGATAATTCCTTTTCAGCAGATTGATTATTAATTGACAAATCATTACAGCATATAACAAAATATAATTAACTGAGATGCAGTTAATTAAGTTTGTTCCCACCCGTTTATTTTAGGCAGTTAATCATCGTGAGTTTTTCTTTTACCGCATTTGTGTCGTAAGTTTGCGCAAAATGACTCTTGCATGCCTTTATTGATGAGAGGTTCTTCTCACGCGTGTGGCCGTCTGCTGCAGGTTGCCGTGACCATCGGCCTGCAGTACATCGACAGCTCTCTGTCAACGCTGGTCAACCCGGAGGACCCGGAGAGCGAGAGCGAGGGCTGGATCCTGGAGAAGACGGTGAAGGAGACGTTCACCGACATCATGGACAAGATGAAGTCCATGGGTAAAGGCACCAAGGTGGAAGAGGGGGAGGAGGCGGGTGTCGCCACGGTGAGCTGAGCTAAACCCTCCCCCTCCATCCCCCGGCAAAAAACTGACAGCGCTCCCACCTGAAGAGCACGGGAAGAGGGACGTGTGAGATCACTACATTTTTCTACCAACCTTTATGTAGACACTAACACACAACGCATGAATGGACTCCTTTCAAATGGACTCCTTGCATGCATAATTATAAGTTGTATATTAACACATAGCGAGATGTAATGTGTAGGGTAAGTTAAGCTATGGTCATTATGGTTTTTCTCCAACCTATCAAATTCCTCTCATCTTTGCTTCACAGCATACTTTTAAAGAGATTTACGGTTTTGGTTTCCAACACTCGGTTTGGATCATTTAAAAAAAGTGATGAGTCAAGTAAATGTTGATATGTGTGGATAAATGTCAGATGCTTTGCAATCAAAAGTAAACGTGTAACCTTTTTGTTGGTATTGTTGTTGGATAGTTTGGCGGGGATGGTGGTTGCTATGCAACCCCCCCTCTCATGGAAGCCAGAGGTGCAGATGGAAGATACTTACAGCACAAAAAAATGATCCATAGTAATTTGGCTTGTAGCTGATACGGTTCATAGACCATGAAAACAAATGAAAGCCTCCATGCAGCTCTTTTTATACTCCAGTCCACCCTCTGTCCCCAATGAGGACTGGATAGGCTCCTGAGATGGAGTAAAGATATGAATTGAATAAATCAGCTGAAATAATGCTTGAATGTTGTGGCACAGGGTGGAAGCGTGACGCATGGGGGCGTGGATTTGAGCCCTGTAGGAAAGAACCAGTGCGAATCTGTGGTGGACGACTGAAATTGGCAGCTAAGTCTTGGCTTCTGTCCCCTGTACTGTAATCTCAGATCCTCTTTAAGTTGTTCCCTGTGCATTCAGTATCTGTATATTGACACACATGTATGTATATTCTAACACTGGATTACTGTCTTTGTAAATAGTGTAGAAAGGATGACAAATTCTTTTTTTTTTAAAGAAATATAATGTAATTAAGCAAAATATTTTATTTTAACTCCATGTTTTTTTTTGCAATTTTATTTCTTGGCTTTGTATGTAGAGGAAGAAATTATGCTGATGTAAAAAACAAATAAAGAATGTTAGAGATATTTTTGATAGGGAAATAAGGTTGTTGTGTTGCCTCGACCTTGAGTCACACAAACCTGGGATCAGGAGGCGATGCATGCTGCGTGTGCCACCGGGTTCCTGATTAAGGCGACAGGATAAGGGCAATTATGGCATTACTGCTTCCACATGGACATCGGATGATTCTTCACATGTCCAATGTACGGGGCGGCCGTGCGGGCGGTGGGGGGGGCAAACACAAGATGCTTTCACCAACAAAATACTGCATGCACATGTGATTGCAAGTGATTTGTCTTGGAAAAGGGTAGTTTTCATGTACGACGCGCTCTGAGTTGAGCTTTGACCTCAGAGGTTGCAAGCTACAAATCCCAGTGAGTAATATCAACCAGTTTGTACATTCTCCTGAAACATTGTTGGCCGTAAAAAATTGTAAATCATAACTCGGATCGACACATGCTACTAACCCCAAACAACAGAGGCCATGATGTGAAAGCACACTGGCTTTAGTTTATGTTTAGTCACAGCAGGGGGGGCTGTGAAGAGTGAGCAGGAAAGGTTAAGAGGCCAACTCTGCACGGTATTTTTGTTGGACCAAAGCACATAACCGGCGCTGAGTAGATAAGAGGCCTAGTCGGCTTTAGATTAGCATGAGCCCCTCAGCCAGGTGAGCAGGTGATGTCCTGCTGCAGGGCCGGCGTCACAGAGTCAGAGACACACACGAAGACCGAGACAGAGGGACAGACAAGAGGAATTGACGACCTGAAAGGGGAAATATTTTGGAAATATAATCGGTTTCTGTATTTAAATAAATAAAACTGACAGTGGTCGAAGAAGATACTTGAGAAAATTGTCATTTGAGTAGAAGTACACAAGTGTACTAATTGTGGAGCAGAATGGCCCCTGATTTAATATATATTTGACATACATTTGCCGAAGGTTTGGATTTCTTTTTCCCCCTTAATAATACAAATTTAAAAACTGCATTTTATGTTTACTTGTATTATCTTTGTCTAATATTTTAATTTGTTTGATGATCTGAAACATTCAATTGTGACAAACATGCAAAAAAATAAGAAATCAGGAAGGAGGCAAACACTTTTTCACACAACTGTATAGTTGTATACATATGAGATACTTGTTATGTACATATGTGACACATATACACATGACAAGTATATATATATATATATATATATATATATATATATATATATATATATGCTTTTTGTATTGCTGATGTTGTAACTGGTTGAGAAGGCGCTGATTATAATGTATATATGTCAGTACATTCATATATGACATCTGCAGCGAATGTTTTCCACTCAAAAGAAACCAGAACGCGTTGGATTATTTGACCAGCCTGTCTGTGTTGGAGGAAAATGTTTTGTGTGTTCCAAGATAAATTCATCTGCGCTGCTTTATGGATGAGTGCAGGACAATAATGTAACAACCAGGAGGAGATATCGGCAGATTTTTCATCTGGCAATTTGATATTGGACAGAACCAGTGTGTAAATCCCCCTCCAGACGCCTGGAAAATAGCTAAAAGAACATTGACAAAGCACCGATATCCCATCCAATACAACTCACATGACACCGCTTTTCAACTCCCCCAGCTGCCAGTTCAAGTGTCAGTGAAAGGACTTATTCAGTCCGCATCTGTGACGTCTTCATGCAGCTGTTTTTGCTGTGTGCTCATTTAGTAGGTCGGTGTTGATATGGTTATTATGGGCTTATAGCTATTCAAATGTATTTGCTAATCATATTTTTATTATTAATTATAAGGTCCAATATTTTTTTCTAAAAAGTGGCGGAAATTTGAAAACTATGACAGATAGAGAATTACAGATTGCTCAAAATTGTAGTTATGTACTACTACATTAAGTGTATTGTACTTTATCGGTCACTCTCCACCCCTGGTTTACATTTCAGGCGAGACAGCATCTCAAGACAGCTACTTTTGTTTGAGACTGATGCACAAACTACCTTTCAAAATGAATAAATAATTCACCAAAACCTTGCCTCTCATGTTATTTCCAAACAGTGAAGGTTCACAAAAAGACTGAAGCAACATCTGTTCATTTTCCTGTGGAGACACAAACCAGCTGCGACAGCCTCCGGGGTGTCTTCTGTGTTCTGCTGCTCTCTGTTGGCGGCTGCAGGTAATAAAGAGGGATAAAAAAGAACGAAAATACCAACTAATCCGTCAGAGCTCCAACAGGCTTCTCTCCTGTTGTTTGGTTTCCAGCTGATTCACTTTCTTTCCCCCTGACAGTCTGATTTGTGAGCTCATCAACGCTTTGTTCAACCTCCGAACTACTCTTTGGCTGTTTGATTTATTTTGACTTCAACTATCCGGCAAACTTCGCCTTTGTTATCGCCAAATTTGCTGGCATGCATGGACGCAGTGGACTTCCCGCTGTGAGAGGTTCCAGTTGCATTGAGGGTCCACAAGAGGGTGTCTTTCCATCAGTGATCCTGTAGCAGGTCCCCGCCAGATAGATAAATAAAATGTATTGCTGTGGCGGATTATAATACAAAAGAAACACATTTGAGGTCATTTAAATGAAATCCCTGTATATGTAATAATGTAAACTCCTTAAAGAGATTTTCTGGTGATCAGTGTGATGATCAGCGTCTCACTCACGCTGGAGAATCCTCCCTCGAAATACTGCTGAGAAAAACAAAATGGATTCAGGCAATATTATTTTCAAAACACTGATTTGTTATTTTCGTGATTAAGAAATTCACTTTTTAATGTGTAAATGTGACAAAATAGTGAAAACTACTATTTTATTATCTATTAATCTGTTGATAATAATTATCTTCATTTTCAATGAACTTTTTGATCTGTAATATGTCAGAAAACTGTGGGGAAAAGTCCAATTTAGTCTGCTAGAATTCCAAGTGATCCCATCTTTAGATGTGTTCTTTTGGCAAAAGTTTCCAGAACTCAGACTGCTGCCTTCATGTTACTCGTTTTATTATTCCAACAGTACAAAACATGAAAATAACATAAATACAGTATACTTTATAATGATCTAAGACAGAAAAGCAGCAAATGATCCAATTCACAATGCTAAAACAAGAGATGGTTGGTTATCTGTGCGATAAATGACTCGTTGAATATTACAGTTGTTCGATTTTCAGTCAATATAAGTAAGTAAACTGATTCAAATGGTGAATGTCACCAAAATATAAAACAGTACAGCATCCTATATAAAATAGAGAAAACAGCCAATCCAATTTAGGAAGCTAAAACCAGAGAAAGTTTGGCATTAGTTGTGCGGCAAACAACTAAAACATGAATTGATTATCAAAATAAGACGAATAATCACTTAAATGATCAATTGTTTCAGAATAAAGAGATAAATAGATTGCTTTGCATTTAGAGAGGAACAGAAAAATGGTGATGGACACACGCAGCAGTGTAGGCGTTCATTGATGATTTGAAGTGATAATAAACAGGTTGGGACATCCGTGCTATTTAAGCCAATAGGATGCGGATGTTACGCTACGTATCGCATGTCACTCCAAACTTCACTATGGGCCTGGATAAATATGGCGGACAGAAAAGAAAAGCAGAGGCAGAGAGAGAATGAGAATATAGAAGTAGGGAGGGAGGGAGAGGGAGAGAGAGGCCCGTGGCTGGTAGATGTGTGGCCGTGCTCAGAGGGGCATTGTTGGAACTATGAGAGGACAATGCACTGCCCCCGCCCTGAATACTCGCCATACCAGCTGACCAGCCATTACCGACACTGCTGCTGCCCCGTTACGATTCCTGCTGCTCTCTCTCTCGCACACACACACACACACACACACACACACACACACACGCTGCATCCCACCCAGCCTCAAGCTCAAGTTTGATCCTACAAGGCGAAACCGTGCTTTGTGTATAGCAGTGGACAGAGGAGAGAAGCCAGGTGGGAGGCCTGACAAAAGGCTTAAGTGAAGGCATCCACGGTCACACATGCCGTCTCGCCTCCGTGTGTGTGTGTGTGTGTGCTAATGTGTGTGTTTTACAGCAGGTTAAGTTTAGCCACTAGCACCTATCTGTTCCCTACAGCAATAACATTTCTCTTCCAGCCACCCAGAGAGCAACGACTCACACATCCATCCATCTTCAAAGCATCGCACCTTCTTATTATTTCAGGATCCCTGACAGAAGTCCTGAAGGTGGAGGGTGCGAGCGGGACAGGCGGGTTTCATGTTGTGTGAAAAGGACCGAGAGGCTTTAGTGGACGTTAAGTCAAAGTGCCGGCACCACACTGCCAGGAATAGCTCAGTAACGCAGAAGTAGGATCAGCAAAAGGGAAAGTTTAAAAGTAAATGAATAGATCTTGATCTACATGGGATGTAATGTGGTGTACATAAAAATCCTTATGAAAAAGTCTTTTGTCCCATTTCAGATGTTTGAAATTATATTTACACCTGAAACCTCTCAACGGGTCAAACTTATATTACTTTCTCAAGGCCCGAGCAATAAACTTTTGCATTACTTCAAAATCAAAGCATAAATTAGAATAAAAAGTCCTGAAAAAGATCAATATATCTTCTTTTTTCCCCGTCAGTTTTATCCGATGACCTTTACGAATAGATCAACCTCTAATCTCTACTGTCACGCACCAACCGCCAAGACAAATTCCTTGTATGTCTGACATATTTTGGCAAAAAATGTTTCCTGATTCCTGATTCCTTGAATTAAACTCTCTAATAAATAAAAAGATAAAAACTAAGTATAAATATCTCTAATTTGATGCATCGATACAACAATCAAATGATTGTGTATGTAACCACACCGGGTATCATGTTCCAGCAGAACCAGTACTTTTACTTGTGATATAAGTAACTTATGCCGGATATTGAATGGAGAACTTTGATTTGTTTTTCTAAATTGTTGCATTAGTATTTTTGCTAAAATAGAAGATTATGACATTTACTTTTTTATCTGAACTAAGTGCTTAAAATTGCATAAACCTTGACTTGTACTGGTACTTGAAAGCACCTGGACACGCGCACAAACGCACGCACACACACACACACACACGCCACAGGACAAGTGCTGGGCAGTAACAAGTGTCCATGCATATGTGGGGCTGCTGTATTGTTATACCGTGGGCGTATTGTGTGCGTGTGAGCCTGCGTGCCAGTGCGCGCGTGCGTGCGTGCGAGAGAGAGAGAGAGAGGGGCGGGGTCTCCGAGGGGACGGGCACGAGCCTCCTCCCCTGAGATAGCGGTGACGCGCGGCGCGCCCCTGACAGCCCACTCGTGCTGCTCGCCGTACTGTAATCATATGATCTGGGATCGAGACCCGCCGCTGAACACCGACACGCCGGGCGGACACTGACGGAGCAGCCGGGCGGAGGACACCAGTTGATGGGCCACTCCTGTCGTTTCTCTGCAGCCGTTGAAGAAGCAAGTGAAGTGCGTGTGAAGTGAAAGCGCCGAAGTCTCAAAAAGAAAAAGAAAAAGGGAGCCAGAAAAAAAGAAAAAAGAAGAAGAAGAACTTTTTTCAAACTCCGGACAGAGTTGGACCCGGGAGGAGGGGCGGGGGTCGCGCGGGTGGGTGGCGTTGGTGGTGGAGGGAGGGAGAGAAGCGCAGTCCGTTCCACCGGGGGCTGAGATCCAAGTTCGATCAGCTAACGGAGAGGCGGTCCGCGGGTCCCCGGGGGTCCCCTTCGCATCGCTTGTGTCCGGGCGCGTGCGCGTGAGCGCGTGTGTGTGGTGGTCGTGAGTTCCCCCCCCCCCCCCCCTCCCTCACACAAAGTTTCTCCACTAACATTCAGCGAGGTCACTTCACCGCAGAAGTTGAAGCCATGGTCGGGGAGACAGAGGTGAAGGAGAGGCCCAAGTCCAACCCGGACTACCTGATGCAGCTGATGAACGACCGCAAGGTGATGAGCTCGCTGCCCAACTTCAGCGGCATCTTCACGCACCTGGAGCGGCTGCTGGACGAAGGTAACTCGCTTCATTGACTCGGGGACTTTAAGCACTTGTCACGCCCTGCGGAGGAAGGGAACTTGGGAGTTGGGTGATCGGGGGGGAAACGACCTTTTATTGAATCCACTGATGTCACTGAGACTGAGGATTAATGAAACACCCGCATTGTCTTTATGTCGCAACTCCTCCGCGGATGTGCGGGTTGTGGATTCAAAACGAATGTGTGAATAGGTTTTGCTTTTACCTCGAGTCCCATTTTAACGTGGTTAAGATCAGCGTGCACAGGGTGAGAGAGGGAGAGAGGGAGAGAGAGGGAGAGAGAGGGAGAGAGAGGGTGAGAGAGGGTGAGAGAGGGAGAGAGAGGGAGAGAGACGGGCAGTTGGTGATGGGAACAAACAGACAGTTGTTAGTCTTTCCCAGTGACCTAATGCGCAGGCTTATGTGAATGCTGCAGCCCATCCCCGAGCAGGAACGAGGGCCTGTCACCGCGCAAAATATGTGATCCGACTCATCACCGCACTGCACTTGTTGATGTGCCAAACAATTCCCACAGGCGCTTCAGAAACACCCACTAAATATTCAACTTGTTGCAAAGGAAATTCCCCCCCAAAAAGTTTTTCCCCAAGTGACATTTTAGTTTTTTTAAGTGCACCCCCTTTTTTTTTTTGGGTGTCCGGGGGCGTGTCTTTTTTTTTGCTGCTGTTGATGCACATCAGGATCACCGAGGTCCTGACTGTACGCGCTCTGTGACAAGTCTCATGACGCAGCACGGCGGTTCTCATACCAGACGACCTCTGCGGCCCCGACAAATGGGTCAACCTCACATCTCCAGTCGCGTTCACGTAGGAGACTTGACAGCCGGGCACATCCGTCCCTCACCCGACCATAATGTGACACCCTCCCCCCTCCCCCCCTTAGAATGAAAGGCATTGTACCGTGCTCGTTTTTCAGCCCTGGCTGTGTCTTCTGCCTGAGTAATGCCGACAACGTCACAGTACCGAAAAAAGTTTGTGCGGGGTGATAAGGAAGCCTGGCAGTCACACGTACTGTCACGGCGCATGTTTGTGGCATATTTGGAAACCGTGCGGTGGGGTCCGCTCTATATATAAACCGATGACAGGTCAAAGAACTGAGATAAGGCCCGCTTGCAGCCCCCCCCCCCCCTCTTTACATCTCTTTCCTTCCACTCGCCTGTTCTTCTTTCACTTCCCAATTCCCTCCCCTGTTTTAACTGAAGTGCGACAAAAAGCCCTGCTTGGCTGTGCAGATTTGTTTGTGGATGTCTGCGTTTTTTAAGTGTCCCCTTGGTGTGAGGGGGTTATTAGAGGATCATTGTCACTGTAGCAGTGGCTTTAATTATAGGATCCTACTGTAGTTATTATGGTCAGACTTATCACTCCCTGAGCAAGGAGACATGCCTTTCAGCCTGCTTAGGTCAGATGATATTTGTGCCTCGAGGGAGTTATCCTGCAATGTGTGTGTGTGTGCGTGCGTGTGAGAGTTCAAGCCAGGTGTGTGTGTGTGTGTGTGTGTGTGCTGCATATGTTTGTGTAGTGCAGTAGTCAGTTATTATTGTGCTAGTGTGTCATTACAAAGGCATCAAAGGCTAACATCGGCCATCGGCAACAACAGTAAACAAGCAGGCAGGTCGACAAACATTCAGCTTCCGTCGTCACACTGAAGTCAAGGACTTTTTTCTTGTTTCTCTACTGTACGTCAGAAAAACCTACAGTGGAAGCCCCACGCACATGTATGACTTTTCCTTCTGTTATTGACAGTTTAATTAGGAGCAATGTGTGAGTGTGTGTGCTGAACACAGTTGGAGAAAGAGCTAGAAGAAGAGAATCTGTGAGTCATAGCAAAGGCCTGATTGCAGAGCCGTGAGTGGTCCTACATTGTGGCGCAGAGCGCTTTGGACCTTCTCCCAGGCCTCCACTTGTGTCTGCTGTCACACACTCGGAGTCTCCCGTAACCCTGGTGACCCCCCCCCCCCCGACTCACCGTCTGAAGAAACGTGACACTCGCCGTCGCTCCTCGGCACTTCTCACGGACCTCTTCGCTTCAATCGCGCTCAACTTCACCTCCCCCCCTTTCTGTCTCCGTCTCCCAGAAATCGGCAGAGTACGCAAGGACATGTACAACGACACGGTGAACGGCGGCATGTTCAACGGGCGGGACATGGAGGAGCTTCCCGAAGCCATCGGCCCCGTGGCTCAGCTGCAGGAGAAGCTCTACGTGCCCGTCAAGGAGTATCCCGACGTGAGTGGACCGATCCGTGCCCTTTGACCTTTTACGAGTGTTTCCGTTTACTTTATCAGGTCACTTAATCTCTTCTTAGTTACCGAAGGGCCGCCAGGGGTTCAGGGAGGCTTTTACATTTCATCTACAGGCGGACTTTTTATTGTGAGATCATCCCTGCTCACACCCAATGATGTCATCAGTGTTTAAGATATAATCAAAATGCATCATTTACAGGAATATTGTAAGTTTCTCAAAAAGGCACTATTCCATTACTAGGTGATTACAAAGGAATACAGCATAAGCATGTCAAAGTTCTATCCCATAATATAAAATAATAAAGACAAGTGCACCGGTGCTCCCGCCGAGTACAGTTAAGCTTCAATATAAGTCGCGTCGATCCAGACTGAACGGCTCACATGATTTTCTCCACACATCAGCTCGCCAATCACCGAATACAATGACAGGCTGTCCTCACTCACATGACAGGAGGCCAACAGGACACACACACACACACGCACAAACACTGGAAAATCAGGGTTAAATTTAGAGAGGTTCCTCTATCTGGATTCGCGGCCGTGTGTCGCAGAGAGTCCGGGGTCCAACTTATGCCGAGTTAGAAAAGCAAAAAGACGCTGGACAAATGCTCAGAGAGACAAATGGTTGAGGCAGAGGGGTAGTGGCACGAAAACAAACGCAATCACACACACACGCACACTCACAGGGGGGGCAGCTGTCTCGTTAATCACTCAGTCCCAGTGACAGATAAGGGTAAGAGAGCGGCGCGGCGTACAACGAGCTATTTCCGTCTCCGTTGGTAACACATCGCAGATGCACAAACACTGACGCGCACGTTGCAAAAAGACAGTCTGAGAATGTGAGGGGAAATATGTCATGTCTTCTTTTTTTTTTTTTTACCAACATGTGTGGTTGTTTTTGTTGCTCTTTTGTGTAGTTTAACTTCGTAGGGAGGATCCTGGGCCCACGTGGACTCACAGCAAAACAACTGGAGGCAGAGACCGGATGCAAGATCATGGTGCGAGGAAAAGGCTCCATGAGAGACAAGAAGAAGGTAGAAGGACACACAAGACACATGCCAGTAGCTTGACGCCACTCTGGATGTATGTATGCTAAGCATGAAGCTGCAGCCGAGAGTCCGTTAGCTTAGCTTAGCATAACCAGGCAATCGGGTGGAAACGGCTCTGTCCGAAATCCTCAGAAGTCTGAGTTAAGTTAACCTCCGTTAAATCACAACGTCTTATTTCTAATACTGCAGTTTTTTTGCGGCTAGAAACAAACAAGATAAGGATTTTATTTGTTCTCTTGTCGTTACTGAGCCCCTCTCGCGGTTTCCCGCCGTTTTCACTTTCACCACAAAGCTAAAATAACTCCTGTAGTGGGTTCATATTTATCGTACAGATCCCGTACAGATTCCATTTACTCTCAAAGCTTCATCGTATGCGTTTTTTAAATCTGTCGTCCGATAAATACCTTTAAGCGCCGACACCAAATGGTCTTCCCTGTTTCATACGTTATTTAATTCACAATACAAAACAAGTTAATTATGTCCAGAGCTGCACTCAAACCTCGCTAGCGAATAAACAACATTAGCAATAAGTTACTGTTAGCTGCCAAGGGGCACAAACTCCACTGTGTGATCTTTATTGCATTTCTTATGTTGCTATTATCCCTGATTCCATCTGTTGTGCAATCCCTGGACTAGGGTCTTTACATTCTGCATCTCCACATTCTTCATTGCGTTTGAATCTGTGGAATTAGTTTTCTGACTTACCGGAGTCCATTCTGAAGCACGGCCTTTTACTCTATATTATAATAACAGTTCGAAAGTGAATAAGCATATTTCACAAAATGTCACACTAATCCCCCAAATAACTTGGTGGTGGTGCTAAACATTGCCTGAACTTCTGTTACTGTCCGAGCCACCTTCCTCCCCATCCAGCCATCTATATATCTGTCTATACATATCATCTATATATCTGTCTATACATCCATCTATATATCTGTCTATACTTCCATCTATTTATCTGTATATACATCCATCTATTTATCTGTATATACTTCCATCTATTTATCTGTCTATACTTCCATCTATTTATCTGTCTGTACTTCCATCTATTTATCTGTCTATACTTCCATCTATATATCTGTCTATACATCCATCTATATATCTGTCTATACTTCCATCTATATATCTGTATATACTTCCATCTATATATCTGTATATACATCCATCTATATATCTGTCTATACTGCCATCTATATATCTGTCTATACATCCATTTATATATCTGTCTATACATCCATCTATTTATCTGTCTATACATCCATTTATATATCTGTCTATACATCCATCTATTTATCCGTCTATACTTCCATCTATATATCTGTCTATACTTCCATCTATATATCTGTCTATACTTCCATCTATATATCTGTCTATACTTCCATCTATATATCTGTCTATACATCCATCTATATAACTGTCTATTCATCCATCTATATATCTGTCTATACATCCATCTATTTATCTGTCTATACATCCATCTATATAACTGTCTATTCATCCATCTATATATCTGTCTATACATCCATCTATTTATCTGTCTATACTTCCATCTATTTATCTGTCTATACTTCCATCTATATATCTGTCTATACTTCCATCTATTTATCTGTCTATACTTCCATCTATTTATCTGTCTATACTTCCATCTATTTATCTGTCTATACATCCATCTATATATCTGTCTATACATCCATCTCTCCAGCCAAGCTTTCCCAAAAAGTGAGGCTTTGGTTGTCAGTTTTTCTGTCCCGGTGTTCCGTCCATCTGTTCCCCCTTCCTCTCCCCTGGTGTCTGCTGTTGGACGGAGTCGGCACAAGCTTTCCAAACGGCAGGTGGAGCAAGTCCAGCATTCCTCCCCCTCCCCTTGTTTCTCTCTCTCCGGAACATTCCCTGCCCCGCACGCCCCTCAGAGAAAGAGAGAGACGCAGAGACACACACAGAGACGGAGAGGAAGGAAAACAGTGACACAGTGGGGAGGCAACGGGGAGAAGGGAGAAAGATGTTGACTTTTGGTGTTTTTCAGAATGATACATCTCACTTGACAAAACATCCAGAGAGGATAGAATTTCCCAGCACGGAATGCTGAGTTTAAAGACTTCCCCATCTCAGTTTTAACTTATACTACGCATTTGAATGAGTTCTGTGATCAAAATAAAAGTTTAGGCTACAACAAGTTACGCTGTATTTAAAAGAAATAGCTCGACCTTCCGGCAAATATGTGAATTAGACAATTGGTGCCACTTTCACTCTCTGTTTCTTTCTGTTGAATATGAATATGAATCAGGAGAAGATGCATAGCTCAGGTTAGCATAAACACTGGAAACGGGGGGAAACAGCTGGTCTGGCTTGAAAGGCACGCCGCCTTGCCAATAGTTCCAGCGCATTAAAGGTCAAGTTATGTTCAAACGGAGGTTGTTCTTTCGGCGTAACGTCCAAACACAATGGAAATCAAAAGCGTTTAAAGTTGTTCCCGAACGACCTCACTCAAAAGTGGAATGAGAAGCTCGCTGTCGATGAGAGGCGATGTAATGTCATTTAAATATGGGGATATCATTTTCTAAGTGAGTTTAAGAGAAAGGTTGGATTTTGTAATCATTGGACACCCAGCCTCATATTCATAGCGTCAAGAACTGTGAGTGCTGCTGATATTCTCCTTTGATTCTCAGCAAGAAAACAGTGTCAGCAGTGACATTCAGAACAGTCTTATTAATCGGGTGCTGAGCTCCAAGAGTTTATCAATTAATGGGCCATATACTCGGCTCTAGTCTTGACTACACGAGAGATTAAAAAAGAAAATAGATGGGATTACAAGTGAAGAATGGTGGGATTTGGGGGAGGGAGAGAATGCCACATCAAACTTCTGTAACCACCAAAGAGCAGAATGAGAGTCATTTTGTGAGTTTGATAACACTTCCAAAGCTGCATTGCATGACCTTGAGCCCTGAATGTGTCCGTGTGTTTGTGTGTTTGTGTGTGTGTGTGTGTGTGTGGTTTTGAAGCCGATCCAAAAGCCGAGCCAAACAAGAAGAATAGTGAAATCCTGTTCCCTCTGCGCCGGTAATGGAGCGAGCTTGTGTGGTGCATTCAAACAGGGCTTTTTAAAAATGTTTTTCAGGAGGAGATGAACCGAGGGAAGCCCAACTGGGAGCACCTCAGCGAGGACCTCCACGTCCTGATCACAGTGGAGGACACGCACAACCGGGCCAAGATCAAACTCCAGCGGGCCATCAACGAGGTCAAGAAGCTTCTCGTGCCAGCTGTGAGTACCCTTACCCCTCGGACGGCAGACATTATGGTCTGTACTGATGGAAAAAAAGTGCGTGTGACTGGATGAGAGTTCACCGCGTTGGTATGCACGGGAGGGGGAAAGGGAATTGTCAACCCAAAAACTGTGTGTTTGTGTCTTTTTTTTGTGTGTGCGTTGTTGTGTGTCTCTGTGTGTATGAGAGAGTATGTGTAAGGGGTTAGGGTAATTAGGGAACACGTATAAAGGGGTTTCCATGGTAACCCCGGGTTGTTTGAAAGGCTGAGGGAATGAATGGAGGGTCTGTTCACTTGTTCTCCCCACTCCATCACTCCTTTCACTCGTTCACAACTCACTTCATCCCCAGCTACTGGCTACAGTATTCCCTTTTCTCGCTGTTTTCTTTTTTTGTTGTCCACACAAGAGGACATTTTGATTGCACTCTCCTCAACATTTCTCACATTCTGCGGCCCACCTACGTGCCCCCCCTACAGACTCACATACGTGCATAAACGTGCACAAACTCGACAAACAATGAACACACTGCGCACACTAAGAATCATCCTGTTTTACACAAAAGCACATGTTTTTGTAAATTACCATTTTCCCTTCTGCATTATTAGCAACAATAGAAAACTGAAAAGGGTGTTTTTTATCGCGGCACTCAGCCGCAACTCTGAGCAGCAAACCGTAGATTAAAGGATGTAACAAGTGTCGATCGGCAATCAGCAGCTGAACACCTGTTCATTTCTGTTTCGTAAATCTGTGTGTGCGCGGGGCCAAGTTAATGATATATGTTAGTTTAACCCAGCCGACCTCGCTGTCCGACTGTAAATCAGCCGAGCTTTTCACCGAGCTGTAACTGGAGCTGCGAAGTTAAATATGTCTTGTGTGGTTGGAGCGGCTGTGTACAAAGTCTGGTCATCTTCCTTTCAGTCAATGTTATTGTTCGGGGTGGGAATCTTTCCGTATCACACGACTCCATTCAAAATCACTTCTCGATTCAGCACATTGGGATGCTAATCCGGAGCGACTCCAGTCGGCTGTGCGGTAATGACGGGGTGAAAGCAGAGATAAGTGTGTATGAGAATATGGAGTTTTTTTTACACACCGAACACAAAAAGTCAAATTAGTTCATGCTAAACTTAAAAATAAACATTTTCGTCACACTAACACTTGAGTTATGTTAAAACAAATGACAGAGTGAGAATAACCCTTGACACGACTCTTGGTTTTATGAATTTGAAATCTAGCAAACGAAACCGGTTTTTCCCCGTGCGTCATAATTATTGTGAGCTTACTGTAACATTTGCTGCCTTTTTGAACCGGACTCCCACCAAAGTTAATTCATTCACTTGTCAAATGGCTGAACGGCCGTCCTGGCCAAGTGAGCTGATTGTGCCGCTCTGCCCTGCTGTAGGCTGAGGGGGAGGACAACCTGAAGAAAATGCAGTTGATGGAGCTGGCGATCCTCAATGGGACCTACAGAGACGCCAATGTCAAGACGCGTAAGGATGACATCATAGTTAACATGTGGAGGAGGGTGGGTGGGGGACAAAGGAGGGGTCTCGGTACAGGAATCCACTGTACATTTTGAACAATGCCTCTGTTTCTCCTGTTAAATAGACCGTTTGTCCCCTCTTCTTCTCCCCTGTCTATTGTGCGTGTGTGCCGTCCTGTGGGTGTGCGCATACTTGCGTTGTTGTGCGTCCGTGTGCTCGCCGCACAGCCACCGCCGGCTTCCAACTAGGGACGCCTCAGGGGCCTCGGATCATCACGGGCCCGGCGCCCGTCCTGCCTCCTTCCATGCGCAACCCCACCCCCGTCAACACGCCGACCCTCATGCCTCTGATTCGTCAGATCCAGAGCTCCGCCCTCATGCAGGGAGGCAACCCGCACCCTACGCTGTTGCAGCAGGGGCCCGAATCCGGAATCATCTACACGCCCTACGAGTACCCCTACACACTCACGCCCTCCATATTGGAATACCCGATTGACTCAACTGGAGTTTTAGGTATTTGGAAATCGAACGTTCATCAGTCGTTACAGAGTCAATGGATGTATTATGAGAACTGGATAGCGGACTCCAATGGAAGGTGCTCACCCATCGCGCGCGTGAAACATCCTTTCTGTTAGTCTTTGTCGACGCCCACCTGTCCCATAAACGACCACGCAGCAAAAAACTATTTTAGACCAAGTAAGAACTATACAGTTATCACATGCAAATACATGAGAGTGAGAATTTGCTGTGTTTACATTTGTAAATGTGTTTAAACTAAAAAAAATTGTACCGACGCACCTTCTTGAAAAATCCTGCATATTTACGCCTTATTAAATTGAGTGTTAGACTTGTTATGCAGTCATCCTCATCAATGGACTCGACTCCAGACAGCTTACATACACCGATACCTGGCAAGTTTGAGATGCGAATTTCATCCAACGGTACACTGTTAGCTTGTGAGGCTAAAGCTACACGTTGGCTTTTGCTTCTTTATTGCATCGAAGTGTGAGAAAGAAACTGGGAAACCTCTTCGCTTTTGAGAATAACCCAAACTGAGACGAGCACGAAACTTTACCCAGATGTTCTCTGTCATCGGCGCGTTCGGAAGCGCAGCTTGCGGCCGCATGAGCTTCCCGCGTTGCGTCACCACGGTTTCCCACTGGGGACAAATTGGCCTCCATATCCAGCTCTCGTAATACATCCGCAGCATATCTAAAAGAACGCCGAAGCTCATTGCTGGGCTAACAGTCCCTTCTTCCTGTGTTTTTGCAGGTATGGCTTTCCCCACCAAAGGCTAGGCGATAGCAACCCTTCCTAGCACACACACGGACTGGCTTGCAGAGACCCCCCCCCCCCCCCTTCCAACACATACTTGTCCCACAGAGCAAACACTCAAAGTTTGCTCATTCTTTAGGATGACAGATTCCTCGACAGTCATTCTGTAGTCAAGTGTCCATTCCTGTTCATTTCCTCTTTGTATTAGCAGACTAGTGATGTGGTGTGACAGCTATTTAACTTCTTTTTAATAGACCAGCTTCTGCTTGTAATTTTAACACATTTTAGTGAACCGATAGATATTTTAGCGCCGCTGTTTGTGATTTTAATATATGTTAAAGCTTATTTTAATCACAGAGCTATAGAGTGACTTTGCTTACAGCCAACGTTGAATCTACTAGTGAAGCTTATTAAGAAATTAGTGGTTTGGATTAATATTTTCTTTAGAGAACAGAAGACCACGAAACAACGAGAACTCTGTCTCTTAGAAGTGAGATGTTTTCATTTACTTTCGCCCTCGGCCTTGAACACTTTTTGTAAATTCCCGGTTTCACTGATGTTGGTGCCATGGGTGGACTGTTTGATGTCTTTCTGATGAGTAACCTTCTGTGTTCTGTTTTGGCAATGTCAATGGCTGTTAGCAGGTGCCATGACCACTAAGGTACGACGCCACGACAAGAGAATCCATCCTTACCAAAGGGTAGTGACCCCAGACAGAGGTTAGTTAGCTCACCAGCCACTTTATGTGTATGTGTATGTGTGTGTCAGTGTGCGTGCATGCATGCAGACCAATGGACCAAAATCAGTTTACATGCGTCTGTAACACGGCATGCCTTTAAAAGAAAGACCGAAGGAAAGAAATAACCGCATCAGGCGAAAAAAAAGCTCACGAGCTGAAACGGCTTCGGGGCAGAAATGTGAAAGGTATTTGTTGCAGTGAAAGTGTAATAAGTGAGCAGATTGGGAGGAACCATGTGAACCGTGACAGCTGCGGCGGGTTGTCTTTGCTCTCCTGGTAGATAAACTGGACGGCTGGCGGGCCGGGACCCTCTCAATTAGAATGGATCGCTCCGTTCATGTGACTCGGTCCTTGTGACTCTGGATTTGAAGTCCTCTCTCAGAACCGATTGGTTTCGTTCCCGTTGTGGTTTTTATCTCTTCTACTACTACTTTTGACTCGACAAATAACTGGGAGGTTTTATTTATACCCAACTTCATTCCTTTAGGTTTCCACAAATGTTTTTTAATTCAATCCTGTGTTTTGCCCAACGACTATTTGACACTTAAAGTAGCAGTGTTTGTCTTTTCTCTGAAGGTCATTAATTTCAATATGATCTTTGGTCTTTACTACTAAAACACAGAGTGTGATAACTACTGAAGTCTGTGTTACAAGCTCTTTTGTATGAAATACTGTTGTTTTGGTCTTATCAGTTGCCCACTGGACTTTATCATTGGGGCTGTTTACATCTTTCATATATATTTCCTAGCCAGAGGGGTGCTGTTACCATGTATTTAGCTGCAAAATAAATTTGTATATAGGGATTTTAAGGATTTAAGTGCTTATATGAAGCTTATGGAACAAGATCGCTTTGGAAATACTTGTAGTATTTTTCTTTTTTTTTTCTTTCTAGTTTTTTTAGTTTGTAAAATTTTATTTTTGTTTTTACAATACAACGCTTTTTATAGACGAAGTGTCTCCATGTAAACTTCCAACTTTTGTTCAAGGTGTGTAGCTACTACTGTTTTAGTCGCCACGAAAGGTGACAATGAAGGCAGTGTTTTGCTGTCTATTTAAGATGAGGCGACCTTCTCGATTCACAGGCCTCGCGACTGTTTTATGCAATAGAAATGGACTAGCTAGCTACATTATATGTGTGTGTATATGTGTGCGTGTGTGTGAGTGTGTGTGTGTGTGTTCTTGTGAGAGCGGTGGTGCTCTTGTTGTACACGATGGACAAAAAACACTAAAAGGCAATAAAGATGACTATTGAAAAAAAAAAATCTCTAAAGAAAACCAAAGCCTCTAAATTCTTGTAGTTAGTCTGTCTATTGATAGATTGTTTCTTTAGTCCTTCTCAAATCACCATCTCTTAACCTCTCATCGCTATCTCCTATGTGGCCTCCTTGCTCACTGTAGGCAGTAGGTGCTCTTCTAATACTTCACGGCAAATTGATCAAACCATAATCAATAATCTTTTAATCACAACTCTTAATCATCCCGATTCTACGCCTGCTGCTAAACAATAGCTCGACTTGTCAGTGAGTGGAGGAATATATCTCTGAGGCCCAGACAGTGTTCTGTGGACATAAAGGTCACTGTCTCGCCCACATGGAACCACGCTGTCTCTCTCTCTCTCTCTCTCGCCGTCCGTGGTTTCACTGTCTTGTCTGTAGCACGAGTACAATCACTCGACAGGAGGGGCGTCTCTCCTGAAGCTTGCCCCCTCAAACACCTCCATGAGCCCCCCCCCCCTAACGAGAGCATCGCCCGCCGGGCCGGCCCTTTGCGGGTCTCCTGGCGAGCGGTTACGGCGGGCTCATGGAGGCGTTGTGCGGCTTGCAGGCAGCGCCCCTCACGCTGTGTGACTGCAGTAGATCTGCCTTGTTGTCATCCTGACGCCACTAGCTGACACTAATCTCTCTTCTATCTTTTTTTCTTTTTATGTCCCCTTTTATGTCCCCTTTTATGTGCCCTTTTTGTTTCCTTTCCACGTCTGTCCGTCTCTGTCTGTCTAACTCTAGCTGCCACGGCAACTAACCCATGACCCCTTGACCTTCTGACCTTTCCGCCCACTGATGACCCGCCCATCTCTGCCCGCTGGCCTGCTCATTGGCCCGCGGGCCCCGTCACTCTCCCGGCCCGGCCAACCAGACCAGCACATTAGGATCATCCCGGCAGCTTCTGTCTAACCAGCCAACCGGACGACAGCGATCATGGGAATAAAGCTCAGGACTCCGCCCATCACCAAGTCCCAACCTAAACGTTACCAAACGTGCCTTCCTTCCAAAAGCCCAACGCCAGTCATAAATCCTAATCTCATAACAGTTGTTGCCATCATAACCAGTAGACTTAACCGGGGCCAGGCCCGAACCTGGTGAAGAGCTCCTAAACCGATCCCCGGCTCTCCCCTCATTCTATGTGACGCAATAATTATGACTGCATCAATAACATGGTAACTGTACGGATAATAGTGATACTTGTGTAGCGCGGAAACCCTCCATGAACACTAAAAACAAACGAGACATGTTGATATTTTTAAACATCTTTCCAGTTCAGGCACCTCTTACTTCCCTTCTCTATCAGGGGGAAGCTTATTTTCAGGACCAACCGTTTTAATTATTGTATATATCAAAGTTGGTTTTAGGATAATGATATATCAACCCACTTCCCCTTCACTTGTATCGACAATATATGGCTCCGGTAATGTCTGAAATGCCACTAGTGTTTTTAAAAGTGTGTCAGAGACTCCCAGTTGTCCTTGACGCGTTGGGAAAAAAAGAAAAAAGCAAGAGGTGCTCGTTAAGGACAAACTAGAGTTCAAAATGCCAAAGTATCTCTTACTTTTTCCTAATAAGTAATGAATCCCAATACTAAGTCAACACACGCAGTGTAAAGGCCAAGTCTGTACGGTGCAGACCGCGCACACAGAAGGAAGGTTGCAATTCTTTTGTCTGAGCCGAGGAGACCTACACAACGATGCCTTTGCCTTTTTCACACTACAGTATTGTATGAGCTTGAACAACAGTGCCTTTATTTATTTTAGAGCAATGGAACAAAGATACACCTAAATCTCCTGCTACCACATTGTGGGTTTGTGCCCAACATGAAATTATGTCCTTTGGGTTTATGCAGATTATTTGTAATTTCTGCATTTGATGTCTTTAAACCCATAACTCTTCTTAATTCAGATTTTTGTGCCAAAAACGAAACAGTGGGTCATTTGAATCGGAGGTTTGATGCGGTATTGCAGCTACATGTCTGAATTGTATGAGTGAGGTTTGGATACCTCGAGAGGACAGTGTTATATTTCATCTTTTTTTGTTTGTTTGTTTGATTGATTGTTTTGTTGGAGATTAAGTCGTACTATATTCATGCATGAGTATCCTTTGATTCAGAAGGTGTGGTTCATTTATACACACGTAAACACACAAACCAACTAACGCCTTGACGTAAAAAAAAAAAGGAGAAAAGAATCATGGAGCCGTGATATCTGTAACAAGTTTCTAATGTATTTTTATATTCTATTTTGTACCTGAAAATAACATTAAATGAACTTTTCAGATAAGAACATTATGCCTTATTACAAAGAGTAATTGGATGAATATAACTTTCCCGTGTGTCATAATAATCCTGTCCTGATATATTGACTCTCTGTATTAACTTGAGCCTTTGAGATCCACATTGCTTGCCCTCTGTGCCTTCTGTATACTATGAGTGTGACAATTAACAGTGTAGTACAACATTAATATACTCTTCAGTGCCAAGGTTACTAACGGTTACCACTTCTGTGATTATTAACCACTTTACTGGTATCTGTCTCTGCTTCGGATTCCTTCCAAAAAAAAAAAGTGTGTCTAAAAAAAAAAAAAAGATGTGTTGAACTATCAACGTTTAACTTTTAAAGTGAGAAGGAATAACTTTGTACACTATTAAACTCATAGTTGTAAAACTAACAAACTTTGTTGCTTTGTCTCTGTAGCGTTTAATTATGCAAATCAGCTTCCTTTCTGCATACTAATCACCAAACACGCCTTGGAAACCAAATGGGGAGAGAAACCCAAGGAAAAGGCCACAACATGTTTTTTTCCCACTTCTCCTTCTGCGCACTCTTGTCTCTGGTTCTCTCTGCTCCCGCTATTTAAGTAGACATTACACACAGCGATGTGTGTAATAAGAGAGAACAAAACACACCCAACTCACCATGGTTTCTTAGAGGCATGCACATGTATAACAGGGGAGGGGGTTGGGGGGTGGGGGTCAGCTTTGGAGGACTAGATGGCTGGGGAATTAAAGGGAAATTGATTGTGCAAGCTCTCCCTCAAACATCTGCAGAGTAAATACGCCGCAGTCGGTCCGAAAACCCACCGGCAACAACCTGCATGTTTCATGGTAGCTACATTGGCGGTAATCAGGATCCTTTTCATCCATGGCTGCACGTATTAAACATGGAAATATAAAGGGGGTTAGTAAATCTGTGGGTAATTGGAGCCTTTGACACTTGAAGTTCCCTTTAAACTGCACATTTAAGGTTTCACACGCCAAAGGGAAAAAAAAGAAGGATAAAATCACACGGGGGCTTTCTGCGGTGAATGCAGCAGTGGGTGGCTCGTTCGCCCCCTGCCTGCCCTTCCTGCCTTCATTGTGGAGTCGAGGGGCGATATTGAACTTCAAGCTTGGAGTTGAGCCGGCTATGTGGCCGCAACCCCAACACCCCCTGATCACAGAGAGAGAGAAAGGACATAATGTGACCGCCGCTGACAACCCTCTGGACAGGAAGAAGCAGAGCGGAGACGGCGAGAGAAAGTATAAGAGAGAGACTGTGTGGAGATAAACGGGTGGGGGTGCATGATGTGTGTGTGTGTGGATGTGGATGGGTGTGTTCTCTCCTCTTTGTTTTTCCTGTTTTCAGTCAGGTTTTTGTGCCGTTTCTTTTTTTTTCCTCTCCTCCTAGTCTGGAATGAGACAGTCTTCAAGCATCTGGTAATGTATTCTGCAGTCAGCTTTTCGCCATTGCCAACACTGGGGCCCGGAGCTCCCATCGCTTACAATCAAAGTATGGTTGGGGTGGGGGTTAAAAGGGGGGGGAGGGAGGGGAATAAGTAGGGTGAGAGGAAAAGACAGGTTGATTTACATTACTATGTATGCACAACTTCCTCCACATAATGAACAGCTCCAGATCCTCTTGCGCTTGGTAAATATTTGATGGCCGAGCGGCGGAAGGATTTTAGCAGAATAACAGGAGTCCTATAAGCTGCTCAAAAGTTGTATTTCAAACCCGTCTCTCCCTTGTCCTCTTCCCATGTAAATAAGGCCAACTCCCCTTAACTCTGCACACCGCTCAGAGGCAGTTTAAAGACCCAACACTGTCTTCTCGTCTCCTTGACAACCGCTTACACTGGGGTCCTGTCGTGGCCTCTCTGTCTTTTGTGTTTGGGAGCTCAGAGAGACAGAAAGAAAGAGAGAGGGAGAGAGAGAGCGAGAGAGAGAGAGAGAGGGAGGGAGAGAGGGGGGGGAGAGGAAAAGAGGAAATGAAGGATGAAAACCGGATGAAAACCGATAACAGAGATGACATCACGGCTATTTTATGCCACAACTGAAAATTTGGTTTGTAGCCCAATGGGGATGATGATTAGCCCAAGGAACAAAATGTGTGGCAGCTTAGTGTGAGAGTGTGTGACCAGAGTTACAGAGATAGGTAGAGAGAGAGAGAGAGAGAGAGAGAGAGAGAGAGAGGCCCAGGACTGAATGGAGCATTGTGGGGAAGACAGTGGGCACACTGGGCAGCAACACAGAGAACACTAACTCACAGATCATGCCAGGGAGTCTGAAAACACCCACACTGGGCGACAATGGCAAACTTCATCGCTCCACTTGGCCCCGTCTGAATACACACATACAATGGCAGAATCCAAATAAGATGCTCTGTTATTCGTGAAATTCAACACACTGAATTCCTTCAGTGCCTCTGTCCCTTTGACTGGCACCAGATGGCCCGCTGCATAGACATGCGTGTATGTGTGCATGTGTGTGAGGTCTTGTCTCCCTTTTGCATCATGCGTGAGCACCCTGTAGGTTTGTACGGTGATAAATGCTTCTTCCTAAGGCCCGAAAGGTTTATTTAAGTCAGATCTACCTCTGCACTTCAAGTGACAAAAACCGTCTAATTCAACTTGCATCTCTCAGGACCTGAGAACCAATCTAACCAGATCATTCCATTAGAGCAGGAGCAACTGGATAGAGGACTGAGGAGCTCCAGGACCGCTAGCAGCTCTCTGACGCCTCCCTGTGTAGCTTGTGAGGAACTATTTTCATCCGATGTATAAACCGCAACAGACACTTTTTGGGGGGGAAATTAAACATTCAAACTGCTGAACATCCCGTGTCTTGTTGTCAGTCACTCAATGTACAGTAAATAATAATGGATGGATGGGATCAAATATTAAATACTGCAGGAGAGCTATCATACTTTACCTTTTAATGTGAACATCCACCATTGTATTTGTAATTCGTGTATTATTTCAAAGTGTTTGATATTCAATCATATTGTTCATTTTTATTTAATTTAGTGTTCTTGACATATGTCAATGATTTGTGCATGCTTTTCGTAAATTCATGCGCGGTTCAAACCACTTGAGTAAACAGATCCCAGATCTGTTGCGGTGCCGTAATGTCGTAGGAATTACAAACATTATTGAAACGGCTTTGAAGCTTTATTCTTCACCCTCACATTTGTTATGGTCTTCAAATCACGAAATTGATTAAGTTGATGTTTATGCTTTACAGCGTTTCCGACATGTCGTGATTGCTTGTGTTGACGTAACGACAGCGTCACGTTCCGCTTTACGGCAGAGCGTGCTGCTGGAGGTCAGGGTTTCGAAGAGAAGCTAGCGCATTAGCCTGTAACGAAAACCCCGTGTTTTTACCCGTTCGACGTAAGATTCAACGTACACGTTAACGGGACGACGTCCGTTTGTCTCGGTCTCCCCGGCCGCTCGTCCGCGTGTCAGCTTGTCTTGTCTTTTGGGTATTGCGTCACAGCTAGCGCTTGCTAACGTTAGCCAGCTAGCGGATCCAGTTTCCACCAGGTGACCCGTCCGGAACCCTCTGCAGCCATGGACGGCAGCTCGCAAGGCTCGGGAGGAATGAAGGGAGGTATCGGCGGTCTCTTTGGAGGCGGCGCACCCGAATACTCCAACACAGAGCTGGCCGGTGTCCCCCGTAAGCGTTCGCGTTAGCGTCCACAGCTGTGCTGTTCGTGACCTTAAATGCTGTCGCTATATGAAGCGATCTAATGCTGTCAAATGTCATTCCAGTGACCGGAATGAGTCCTCTGTCTCCTTACCTCAATGTCGACCCGCGTTACCTGGTGCAGGTGAGACACAGCTGAAGTAGCATGTCCGCTGTATGTGGGTGTTACATGAATGAGTCTTTTTTTTTATCTATTGTTGATATTTTGTTTCAGGACACGGATGAGTTTATTCTACCCACCGGCGCCAGTAAAACCAGAGGGAGGTTTGAACTGGCTTTCTTCACCATTGGAGGATCCTGCATGACTGGTAGGAGACGAGTAACACCAGCACCATCAAACTGTCACACAATTTCCTTAAATTGCACCTATAATGACGTGTAACCTGTTTGGTTCGAATTGTCTTGTTGCCAATCTGTAACAGTGAGTCAACATTTAGGGGGAAATGAGGCTGGGACAGGTTAGCCAGTATCCAAATATAAAAACCTTTCCCAGAAAAGAGGAGGTCGTTACAGCAGCAGATCACGTCTCGTGGTTTGTGAATTACATGTTGAAAAGTCACATCGTTTTTGTTGAAATAGCCGACCGGTGAACGCGATGTCTCACTCGGCCTCTCTGCCTCTTCCTTTTGACTTCAGGAGCCGCGTTAGGAGCTGCAAATGGTCTCCGAATGAGCTTAAAGGAAACCAGAGACATGGGCTGGTCAAAACCTCGAAACGTACAGTAAGTATGGAGACAGTTAGTAGTATTTGTCCCAGTTATTACACCTGGATCACGTGACCTGTCCTCTAACTGTCAGCTTACTCTCCCCAGGATCCTCAACATGGTGACCAGACAGGGTGCTTCATGGGCCAACTCTCTGGGCTCTGTTGGTAAGACCGTTGTAATGTAGACAAAAAACAAGCTTAACTGGTGAATTCTCTCATCTCGTGGGTGATTTTGCGTTCCGTGCCTCTGCAGCCTTGTTGTACAGCGTGTTTGGTGTGGCGATAGAAAAGGCCAGAGGAGCAGAGGACGACATCAACACAGTGGCTGCTGGGACGTTAACTGGGATGCTCTTTAAATCAGGCAGTGAGTGTATTTTCTGCTTTTATGTCTTCCGTTGCTGTGTATATGGTTATTGACTTCATACGATGTGTTTTTAATGAGGTGAAGAAGACATGTCCATTTAAATGTCTCCTGTTTAAATATTTGTTTTCACAAGTTGTCGTCTTAATCAATAATCTTAAAGGACAAGGCATGTAAAATGTTGAATAGTAGAGCCACGAGTTACGTCTTCAAATGAATGTTTGAACAACTGTACCATTTCCAAAGCTTTCTGCTTTACAGTATTATCACCAGTGAAAAGCGGAAAACTAAAGATTATTTGGCATTTTCGATCAATACATTTAGTTTACCTTTTTTTCTGTCGCTGAACTCATTGATTTATTGTCTAATAAGTGAGTGATTTGACATCAAGGACCTTGAGTAGTGAGGTAAATACTTCTAACACTGATACCAAGATTATGTTCTCACCACTTTTATATATTTATTTTATTGATCTAGTTTTTCTACAAATTTCAGTCGGCGGTAAAATGAATGTGCAGACGTTTACTGGAACACACACTTGTTTTTCGTGGTTAATAAAGCAGCTTACACTCACTGAAGTCATTCTGTTGAGCCCCAGTCATGTGATACTTGAGTTAAATATGAATGATTTCCTGAAGTCGGGCTGATGGTTCTAGTGCTCGTCTATTTCATGTTCCCTCACACCTGCTCTGTCACCACTGTGTGTTTGCAGGTGGCCTGAGGGGTGCAGCCCGAGGAGGTCTGGCTGGTTTAGCCTTGTCTGGTGCCTACGCTCTCTACAACAACTGGGACCACCTCACAGGCTCCTCTTCATCCTCCCGGCTTTATTAACCCCCCCCTCCCAGAGTCACCTGCTTCTGCATTAGAGCCAACAGTCACGCAGCCTTTAACCACAGCGCTAAGAGGGATTAGACGTGGGGTCAAATGCCGTGTGCTTTTCAGGGAAGTGTGGGGGGCTGCTCCCAGTTTGCTGGTTCTCCCCTTCAGCCACTTTCTTTTCCCAGGATTACTCTTGAATGAAAGGAGAAGATTGGACTAAATTCTCCTGGACATCTAGATTAAGATTGTCCCCCCCCCCCCCTCTTCCTTTTGTCTTTACCCTCTGAGGCCTGTCACTCATCTGATCAGAAACGAGAAGACACCGTGAGGATGTCGTTTGTTATATCATTGTTTATGGGAGACTTGGTCTTCTTTGCTTGTCTTCAAATCAATGACCCAATCAGTGAGAGGACATCTGGTGCGTGTGGCTCACCAGGTGAATGTACCTGAGTTCGGACCAAAGGACTTTGGCAGGAGAGCGAAGAGATTTTCAACTACAATCCACGAACGAAGAACTAAGCCTTTGGGTCAGCTCTACTCTCGTATTTATTGACGCGTATCTGCGGCGGGTTCTGTTTTACTTTACAGGTGGGGAATCACTGTAATGCTGTTTGTGGCTCCATCAAACCAGATGTATCAAGAACTCATATTAAAAAATGACAAATATTGACAAAGATATTGCTTTTAACCCGTTTTTATTGAGTACATTTAGACTGTAAAAGGACGTGAGTCGTGGATACTTTCTTCAGCTTGAAAACCCCCCAGTAGTGCAGACGTAAAATACGGTGTGTTTATAGAACAATCATTAAACAGAGCGTGTATTAAGAACGTGCAGGAGTTGTCGAGTGAGACTTTGAGGAGAAACGGAGAGCAGTCGGACATATAATTGGGAGCAGAGTTCATGTTTGCTGTCGGCGCTGGTCGGACGCCCGCTCAGTGCAGGAAGAAGTCCCTGATGCGCGTGGCCTCGATCCAGGGGATGTAGGCGGCAGTGCGGGTGAAAACGCTGGGTTTGTTCTCCACGGTGCAGCCGATCGGGCCGAAGCTCACCACGCCGTGGACCTCCCAGCGGTCCTGCCCCTGCTGGCACAGCAGAGGGCCACCAGAGTCGCCCTGGGGGGGGGGAGAGAGAGATGAGTTGTGAGGTAAAACTTCCTTCTCACTTCTACCTCCAACACTGTAAAGGTCAGTCCTACCTGGCAGGCGGCGGGCGGGCCCTCGGTGTCCCTGAACCCGGCGCAGATCATGGAGTCTCGGACGCGGTCGCCCCAGAACTTCTTCTGCCGGCAGGTCTTGAAGTCAATGATGGGCAGGCGGGCTTGATTCAGGGCCTCTGCGAGGGACACGTTCTCCTTCCCACCTGAAACGTGATTAGAATTCCAGCCGCCGTGTTAAGGCCGTTTCCTTTTTTTTTACACACATTCATGATCCCCCAGAGGCACTTCCGATCCCTCTCCTCCACTCACCCCGGGTGTCCCCCCAGCCTGTGACCCAGCAGTAGTGTCCTGGAGTGAGGCCGGTCTGCTTGCGCGGCAGGCAGGCGTAGCGGATGAAGTTCGAAGGGACGATGTCTGCGGCGGCCTTCACCAGGGCGATGTCGTAGTCCAGCTCGCTGTGAGCCGGGTAACGGAAGTTCTCGTGCCGGTAGATTCTCTTCACGGGGAAAATCCTCTCTGCCCTCTCTGAGCGCTTCAGCTGGTGCTTCCCCAGGACGATCCTCCAGCTCCCAGCGTCCTCAGCTTTACCCCTGATGGGGCCCAAAAAATTGTTAAAGCATTTTGAAAAATCAAAACCTAAATTTGCTTCTCAGCTCATCTTTTCTTACTTCTGAAAGCAGTGAGCAGCGGTAAGGACCCAGTTCTTGTGGATGAGAGTTCCTCCACAGACGTGGATGTAATGTTTACTTCCCCGAGGACGAACCTACGAGAAACAACCAGACAGCTCAGAGATGACTGAGATTCTTTGCACAGCACTTTATCATAAGGACACATATCCTGTACTTACGTAATGTGTAACTATTGGATGACAATTCAAAGTTGCAAAGTTTCTTTTTGACGTGCATTTGCTCGTAGATGTTCTTGTAGAAATATTTGGTGTGTGTTTATATCTAATATCTAATCATGTACGCAGTGAGGTGAAGGTATTTCATGTAAACGTTTAAATCGGAATGCAATCAAAACCAAGATAAGGCTCAACTGGGGCACTAGAGCTGCTGACGTAGGGACACTGACCGAAAAGTCACAGCTGTTTAGTCGTCAATACATCACCTGCTGTTTTACATAAGTTTAAAGTGAATGTATTTTCTGTTTTGGTCGTTCTAGACAGTTGGCCATCTTGGCCTGTGGGCTCTCTTGTGAGGTTTTTTCACTCTATTCTGAGGTGATGCACACTAAAGTATTAATTGAATACATCAACCAACACAAAATGATGAGAGTTAGTGTCCCCGTCTTTGAGGGGATACAAATTGCCGGGTTTAAGCGCATTGGAGTTTCATGCATTCCCTTCAGGTCCTCCCACCACTGAACCGAACACCGAAGGCGAGTGTACCTGCAGAGAGACCTGCCAGGGCCAGGAGTGAGGCCGGGCCTCGTTCCCAGACACGATCCGCTCCACCATGTTGGGCTTGAAGTGAGCCATGCCACATTCTCCGGGCCAGTCTGAGAGGAGAACAAGAGGAAGCTCTTCAAACACACCAAATAAACCATTCAAATAATTAAAAAAAACGTTAAAGGATGTGTGAGGAGTGCGTGCCTGTCTGTGCGTGTGTGGCTGTCTGCTCTCACCCAGTTGGAGGAGCTTGTGCTGCGGCTGTTGTTCGGGGGAGAGCGTGTATGCAGCTGCAGGAAGAGATGCCTTGCTCAACAGCAGCGGCAGCAGCAGGGAGAGAAGGAGCAGCGGCGGAGGTCCGGGTACGGCCATCGTCGATCACAGAATCAAAGGTCGGCGCGCGTCCCACGCTATTTATACCAGGTAGCCATCGCACGCAGATGTACACATACAGTAAACACACACACACAGCAGCACGCACAATGACCAGTGTCACAACAAAAGCAGAGCGCTGGATTGTTCTCCCGTAGCTGCAGCTGAGAAAAGGGCCATTTCGCGGAGTCCCATCAGCACTTTTGCACACGTATAGTGTGCTCACAGGACACCCACGTGCACGGCCCACAAAGGCGATACAGCGCCGTGCACAAACATCACGTCACGTCATGTGACTTACAGCAGTGACACAGTGACCTGTACATGAACTACCTCAGTGATATCGCACATTTCCACAGGTCGTCCTGCGTAAACATGACTCAGTGGAAAAGATGTTGTTACTGTGTGTTTTAACCGGTAAGGATGGCGTGTGCGGGTTACCGTTGTTGTGGTTATCACCTGTCAATCAAAGCTGGGAGACCGAGGAGTCGACTAAGAGGGCTTATGACTGACTTTGGCTGATGCATTTTAAAGAATCCTAACCCGTTGACCCTTTCAAGACCAGAAAAATATAAGGATACATAACAACAACAGCAACAGTGACCTTCATGCCCCACTGCGAGCACGTCTGTGAAAATATGACAAGAACTGCAGTGGAAGCCACTAGTGAGTTTGTGGTGAAAGAGGGAGAATGTGCCCGCTCATCTGAACGCTCCAACGTCACCAAGTTCACCAAGTTTACACGCAACTCAACTTTGTGTATGTTTTCCACAGTTGAGCGAGTGTGTGGGATGATGAGTGAGCGGGGGGGGGGTTCAGTGTGGGTTTTTCTTTGTTCAGTGTTTTCCAACAACATCATTGAACTTGATTCACCTCCCGTGTGTAAATGTTTTTAGAGTAAATCCTGACATGTGCTTCGCGCAGCTCTTCCCTTATTTTGGAAGGAAGACATCATCTCAGGTTTAAAGATTAATGATAAACAAAAATGCGCTCACTTAAAGGTACTTATATTTTAAAGTATTTTAAAGTATTGTAACTCTCACATGGTTCTATTAATAAATATATATATATAAATGACAAATATAACAGACTCCGCAGGGTATAAAATTAATATATATATATATATATATCTATATCTATATAGATATATATATAGATATATATAGATATTATGGAAAGTCTAAATAGAATTTCACTGACTGACGAGGCGGAATTGTTTACTTTTATACCCTGCTGAGTCTGTTATATTTGTCATTTGACACTTTGTTTTGAATTTGTACTTGAATATAACTTGAATAATGCTGTGGAGTAAAATTGACCTCGTCCCCCTCTGAAATGTAATGAAGCAGTTAAGTAACAAGACGGTGCAAGAGACGTTAGGTCATTTAGTCTCAATTATTAAAGATTTGAAGGTTAACAGGATACCAAAAAATCCAGTATCAGGCTCATGTACATCACAAGTTTACTTTCTGAATTTCTAATTTCTGAACTTATCTTAAACAAAACAGAGATACACAAACCAAATGAGAAGGTTTTATTGAGCATCCTCATGAATAACTGTATTGCCTCCTGTTGGTTTTGGGGTTAGAGTGACTAATTTGCAGGTCATTCTTTAAATTAATGAGATGGTAAAATGCTAATGATATGCCTCCTAAATCAGTCATCTTCCCTTCGGGAGCCTCCGCACCAGCCAGGCTTCTTCAGGGACCTGATCACACCCTTTTTGCAGCTGTGTCCCCTCCCACTAGAAGGTGATCCAGGATTGGTGGTGCCTTCGCCTCCGTACACCTCGTCGTCTTCTTTGACATACGCGGCCTCCGCTCTGCTTATTCTACGAACCGCTTTTGTTCTTTCCTCCTTTTTCCCTCCGTCCTCCTCTGGTGTCCCCTTGTTCTCGCGCTCCTTGCAAGTGGAATTGACAATCGCCACCGGCGAATGAAGATCCGGGGCAATGGCCTTCACCACGTTCCCCATGAGAGGAGGCTTAGGCGCTTTGTTCTTCTTCAAAGAAAGTCGCGGCGTGCGGGGGCTGTTCTGGAGCTCCAGATGTTTCTGTATGGCCGTGCTCAGCACCTCCGGGTCCAGCGAGGCTCCGTGAACGTCCCATGTCATGCCGTCCTCGTCCCACTGCACCTGCTTCATGCTGCCCCTCCTCCCCATGACCTCCCCCTCCTCGCCCATCTTTATCTTCAGACACGACCGCCTCCTCTCCAGATCCTGCGAGGAGGCGGAGTTGATTTCCCACGCCGGGTCGTCTCCTTGCCTCGCCTCTTCGTCGCAGCTGCTCATCGGGAACATGCTAGGGGACGGGGACACCAGGTTGGTGTTTGACCCCGCTGAGGACTTAAGGTTTAGCCTTGATCCGGGCGGCGAGCCCAGGAGGGAGTGGGAGCCCATGTTGGAGTTGGGCATCTTTCTCCCGAGGACCCACAGGGAGGCGACGGGGGAGATCGTCTGCACCGCCGCGTCCACCAGCTCCGGCTGTGAAGTCATTGTACCTGCCTCCCGCAACACCTGCGCCCTCACGATGCCCTCTCTGGTGTTCAAGTTGCACCTGCAGCAGTCCCCCAATAGCGAGTCGCTCAGGGAAGAAACCAGGGGTGATTTCCAACCGCGGCCCGCCGGACAGCTTGGGCCCGGCTGCCATGGCAGCTCGAGGTGGCAGACTGAGGCTCCTCTTCCCGATTCCTCTTCATCTTCTGGAGATGTAGCCGCCGAATGATTTAACACGTTGTCCGGGCTTCTCTCTCCTCCAACCCCCAGTAGCCCCGAGCCCCCAGGACTGCGGAGATCCTGCATCACGTTATCGTCAACCGGGTATTCAGCATCTGATGGCAAACCCGCTTCTGCTAAACTAACAGACGACGGGATCGGGGATGGGAATGTGAAACAATAATGGTTGTGGTCCAGGAAGCCCTCATCCTCTGCGCTGGTGAGCTGCAGGTGATCGGGGGAGTACGGCGGTGAAGGTGAGGAGGGTTGAGCCTGCGAGGGTGACAGCGGTGTAGAGGGCTTTGGGAAGACTTCCTGCTGATGTGTCCTCAGCGTTTGGGTCGAAAAAGAAGAAGTCAAAAGATCTTCCAGTGGTCGAGTCGGCGTCTGTAAGGGGGACGTAAAGGGCGAGGGCGTCGTCGGCGAGGGGGTCGTTTTGGACACCGGAGACCAAGGGGTTTCCTGGGTTAAACTCGAGGGCCGCGAGGTCCCGCCTCTCCACACAACCGTGTCCGGAGTACTGCTGCGGCTCAGCGTGCCGCTGCACGCGCTCCAGCGATGCATGTTGGCCATCCACCGCTCGCTGAGGGCGGGAGGCACGTGCACGTCCGCGCTCTCGGCCGAGAGCGACGACTGGCAGCGCCGGGTGGAGTTGATGTGCTGCCACATGTGAGGGTGCAGCTGCTGCAGCGTCACCGAGTTCCGCTCGGCGTGCGTGTTGGTGCTGGAGCTGCGCTTCAGGTCCACGTGGCTCCAGGCCGAGTCCCGCTTGTGCGTCGGCCCCGTCGCCGTGACGACATCCATGTAGCTCTTAGAGAGGGAGAAAATGGGCGCGTGGTCGTCGCCGTCCTCCGGTCCCAGGACCTTGGCTTCGCTGGAGTAAGAGGCGGACTGGCTGACGGAACAGCCTGCGGGCTGGCAGCTCTCAGACACGGGGCGTCCGGGCCTCGCCATGGCAACAACACCAGCCTGCAAAGAACGCGCCGATTTGTCAGCGTTTTCAACCTTCTGTCGCTAGTTTGTACCGTTACAACCGAAAACATCGACATATTCACTCCTTTCAGGTTCCTCATTCTTCATTCACGCCCACATCTCTGTACTTGTACTCCTTTTCCCAACCATCACAGCCATTTCCTAACTCCAAACCTCACACTTTCTGATAGCCTGAACCCTAAAACCAAATCCTAAACCCTCAAATGAGCCTTTAAAGACATGAAGACTGGTCACAATGTCTCTGCCCCCCAAAAAATCTCCTCTCCCTAAAGGTTAAACTTAAACTGGTCCTCACTAAGATAATAATACAAGTCCAAACGCACAGAGACTCCTCAAGACGGGCACTCCCAGATTACCCTAATGGGATTACACAATCCAGATTAATTGATTATTGAGAGAAAATGTAGGTTGATTGGGACAGCTTAAGTAACCATTTGGCTTTGAGTTAACAGAAGACTAAGAAATGCAGGGGCAGGAGGAATGATTAGTAGAGATCATAACAAGTTACAACTAAAGGCTGTGCATCATTTTATTTTGAATTGAATGAATTTTATTTTCATTTTATATCCCTAATCATCTTCCCTTACTAAAATTGGATATTCTAACTCAGTGGATTTAAAACATATAATTACTTAATGTTGAAACCAACAGCCAAAATGTCAAATCCACTTCCGTCCCAAACTGACCCAGTCATTTTAACCACTTTTATACCTTTTATAATGTTAACTAAAAGAATAAGCAGGCAGTTAACCCACATATATGAAAACAATGAGCATCTTACCCCTTTAAGTTCACACCTTTTCGTTCTATCAAAGATATGGTCAACTTCCTCCTGTCATTCCTCCCACTCTTCCTCCCTCGCTTCTTCAGAAACTCATTTTCCAGGCGCCCTCCGACCCTCAGGCGCACGCTGCTGTGACTCGGTTCCGCTTGATGTCTCTCGTCTTTCCCTTTTCTCGTAGCACGACCTCATGTGAGTTTGGCATGGAAGTAAAAATGAGGATATCTATCGTGCACATATGCGTGTGCAGCTGAGAGAGGGCCATTACTCTGCCTTTAGCTCTGAGGATTAGCTGTCATCCCATTAGCCTCCATCCAATCTCTGAACAGTCTGTTTGTGTGTGTGTGTGACAAGCTAATGAGCATTTTGATTCTGAGGTAAGCTCAGGTCGAAAGTGGGAGCAGCCATGTTGCTTGTTGATCATTTAATATTATCCTCTCTGAATGAATGATGTGGTCCTCTATATCTAATATATATATAGTTAAAATGTCGTTGACGGGAAGATATCAGGAAAATAAATACTAACCATTATAAGTGTTAATAAAATGACTTAGATTTTGAAAACACTACAGGTCAATAGGGTAAAAAAATGTACTATGAAACTTCCTGAGTAGAGGACTACATGGTTATTTTTGTATTCTTTAAGTGTTCTTAAATGTTATGTTTAGATAGGCAATACTGGCAATACAAAAAGACAAAGAAGGGAAATAATCACCTAAATGTGGATTTTGGAAGTTTTCCTCCTATTATTTGTAATGGTTTTATAAATTAATAATTACAAAATACTTCAATAACTGACTCATGCATGTTTTCACCAGTTACTTCTCCCCCTCAAAGTGCAGCCGCCAGATAACCGCATGAGATGGTGAGAATCCTCCAGCTGTGCCGCTCTCTCTCTCTCTGCAGGGTGACATCACTTCACAGCCCGCTGAAAAGAAGCTTCAGACGCTCAGGCAGAGGAGTACTCATGGCAGGTCAGTGGTCAGCTGCACTTCATCGGTATATTTGAGAGAACTCTGGGCTTAATTTACCCGTTAATGTGTTTTTTTTTCTCTCTTCAGATCGGGTGTTAGTGCTGGCCGTTGGTTTGTCTGTGGTTCTGCTGCTGCTGCTGCTCGGTCTGATCGTGTATTATCTGTGGAGGAGTAAGAGGATGAAGGCTCGCAGTCAGTATGAGGAGCTGCTCCCTTCAGCGCCTTCAGTACCAGCCTGCTCTGCTCCGGTGATCCTGGTGTCTCAGGACTCTTTGCCCACGTTAGTACCTTGAGATAAACGTGCACATAGTCCTACATATTACCAAGTTTTTTGCTTTTTCTTTCCCAGTTATCCATATAACATATGACATAACAGGACATGCAGGACAACCTTTAAGTCCAACTTTACATAAGTGTGTATGTGTGTGTGTGTTAAAGGCTCCGTGAGATCCCCTTCACGGTTCCTCCTCGCTTCACCACACAAAACCAAGGTGACCTGAAAAATGAAGAGGAGGCGGGGATGAAGATGGAGACCCAGAGAGACATTCTAGCTCATCGTGGGTCGCTCTCAGTAAGCAGTAGGTCATCGCTGCCTCCACGTGACTAGATGGGTTCAGTCCTTTTTAAATTAACGTCATTGGCATTGTAAAGTGAAGGGTCATTCTGGGGCCTTCTGTGTTGTTAGGATGGTACCCGGTGGGGACGGTGCTGGCCGGCCTCTACTCTCTCCCTCCTCTCAACGAGGTGGTGGCACCACCTCCCGGCATGGCCACCCGTCTCTGCTTCTCCGTGGAGTACCGGCACAGCAGCGAGCAGCTCGCGGTCTCCTTGCTCCGCCTCGGTAACCTCCCTCCCCGTTTCCACGGCAACGTGACGCTGGTGGAGCTGCGGCGTCTCCCTGACGACCGGCGGCCCCGCCAGGCCAAGGCCCGGGGCACGGGGCCCGACCCCGAGTTCAGCGACCGCTTCGTTTTCCAGGCGAGGAGACGGACTGAACGACGGAGAAAACAAAAGAGCGATCCGTATCTCACGCGCTTCCCCCGTGGTTGTCACTCCGCAGGTGTCGTGCGTGTGCGTGCCCCGCAGCACCCTGAGCGTGTGTGTGCTGAGCGTGGGGCAGGACGGCAAACGCCACGCGGTGGGCAGGGCGCTGGTTCCTCTGGAGGGGGAGCTCGGGCAGGCCGGCAGGGTGCTGTGGAGGGACCTGGAGACAGAGGACCACGTACAGGTACCATCCGTGCAATGTAGTGAAGTACTTTGAATCAGGGGCTCTTTTTGAGTAGTGAACTGGGGATTCTCACACAACAACCATCTCTAGGGTTTGCAGACAATGGTCCCAAAAAGAGAAAATCTCTAGTGAGCGGCAGTTGTGTGGACGAAAATGCCTTGTTGATGGTTGACCGGTTAGAGATGATAGCAAGGTGATAAGCAACGATACAACCGAGGACTGCAGAACACCATCTCTGAACGCACAACACGTGGAACCATGGAGAAGATGGGCTGCAGCAGCAGAAGACCACACCGGGTGCCTCCCTGTCGGACTACGATTTGCACAGGCTCACCAAGATTGGACGATAGATGATTGGAAAAAAGTTTCAGCTGTGACATTCAGGTGCTCGGGTCAGAATTTAGGGTAAACATGAAAGCATGGATCCCTCCGGCCTTGTACGAACGGTTCAGGCTGGTGCTGGTGATGTAATGGTGTAGGGGATATTTTCTTTGGGCCTCTTAGTACCAATTGTGCATTGTTTAAATGTTGCAGCCTTCCTGAGTCTTGTTGCTGACCAGTCCATCCCCTTAGGACCACCATGTACCATCTTCTGATGGCCACTTCCAGCAGGATAAAGCACCATGTCTCAAAGCTCATATCATCTTAAACTGGTTTCTTGAACATAATGAGTTCACTATACTCCAATGGCCTCCACAGTCAACAGATGTGGAATGTTTTCAAGACCTTGTTGAAAGAATGCCATCAAGAATTAAGGCGTTTGTGTTATAATGTGTTCTATATTGTCAAGAAAATTGTGTGTTTAATTTTACAGTGTTGTGTTTGCACTTTTACTGAAGTAAAGGATCTGAATACGTCCCCCACCACTGACCGGTACACACAGAATACATGCACCTGCACAAAATTACAATCGCTTCGTCCGCTCTAATCCTCTAGTGTTCAGAGCTGGGTGACGTGCAGATCTCCCTCAGCTACAGTCCGTCTGTGCAGCGCCTCTACGTGGTCGTTCTGAGGGCTCGAGGGCTGCAGCTGCTCACCGATGCAGGTGAGTGTTTCAGGTTAAAAGAGGCAATAGCTGCACTGCTGACACCTTCACGTGTTTGAAAATACAGAACCAAATCTGCTTAAGCCTATGTTGAGTCGCCTGGGTAACTGCATCTACACGTTTCCCCAGGTGTGTGTGTCCAGGCGAGCTTACAGATACACACTCAGGTGGTGAAGATGAAGCGCAGCTGCGTGGTGAAAAGTCAAAACGACCCCACCTTCCACCACAGGGTGACCTTCAAACTGCGCTCGCAGCACCTGGACGAGGCCTGTCTGAGATTCGAGCTGCAGCAGCCAAACGTCGTCCCCTCAGGTGAAGGAGTGAACTTGCGGTGCATCTGATGTCCTGCAACATGATCGGCTGTGTATTCACCCTCTGCTTCGTACGTGTTGTTCTCCCAGAGCCCCCGGCCCTGCTGGGAGTGCTGGTGTTGGGGCCCTTCATGTACGCCAGGGGCCAACAGCTGCAGCACTGGATGGACATGGTCAACACGCCACAGGAGGCTGTTGAACTGTGGCACGGACTGGGCAGAGCTACTTAAACACATGCCAACGCTGTGTTGAAGGGGAACTGAATGGGTACAAAGTCACTTTGGAAGCAACTTTAACCCATTTTTTAAAGACAATTTAATTGTCATCCTTAATCTACAAACAGATCTTTTATTAATCACCCTCACCTGAATCATACTTGAACCTTTCTACAGCTTATAATCTTTTTCTTGATTTGACTTTTTCTTTTTCGACTCTATTTGGCAATCACTAATTAGATATTTTGCAACTTAAAAGTGGATAGTTCATATTTAACACCTCAACATTTCGTAGTATGTTTCATTAAAATGTGTATAATTTTGTAAATAAATTTAGATGTAATAAAGTTACCGTGATTTTATCAATACTTTTTCTTATTCAGCGTCGTCATTGCTGATTGTTAAATTCCCTTTACAATTTTTGTTGATGCGTTTCTTCTATTTTTGTTCGAAGAAAGTCAAATATAAAAACGTTTTGTTTTTTAAAGTGAAAAAATAAGCCTGCAAATGTCTTGAAAAGGTCAAAATGTTATGTAAAAAAATAAAAGTATATATATATATATATATATATACACAATATGGTGGTTCAAAAAAACAATCATGGAATGAATAGTAAAAAGTGCAGTGTTTTTTTCTCTACTCCACACATGAATCCTGCAACTTTAGCGCGTAATTACAGAAATGATAAATTCTCAATACCTTTTTAACCCTGATTACAGGCACACACTCATGAAAGGTACCTCTTGGTGTCCGCTAGGTGGCGACTTCTTCTCTTACATCATTGTGCGCAGCCGCAGTTCAAGCCGCCGAGTGTTGAAGCGGAAGTGAAAGACAGAGTCGACATCGTGGACGTGGAGATGATTAGAATGTCTTTTTTTCTGGGTTTGATCTGGTTTTAACACCATGAAGATTAATGAGAACACTTTGCTGGAGGGCAACAAAGTCGTGTTGGTCCCTTACAACGCAGAGCACGTGCCCAGGTAACACCAACTCTGATCGATGTCTATTCATTCATTATTTGGATTGAGATGATTAAAACTAAATATCAATCAACTAAGTGACAATCTTGTAATATAGGTTTAGCCACACTGCAGAGTTCAGCGTTTTCGAAGGGATTAAAGGGCACACTTCACTAATTGTAATCTAACGATAATGTCTAAACTATTCTTAATTGGGTCGTTCTGCATAATGAGTACTTACATTTTTGGTAAATTCTGTATCTGTACTTTGATATTTGATTTTATCGTGAAATGGATTTTTAGATCCAGAACACAAGATTTTACTTTACTTTATTTTTCCAAAACTGGATTAGTGAAAATGAAATAAAAAAATAAATAAAAAGGGCATCCACCATTCCGTTAGCCTGCATATCTGAAGTCTGACTATTCAGATCCAAATCATTCTTAAAGTATACCTGACACATCAAGAGCCGTCTCAGTTGTCACATCGATGACTAACGCCTCCTGTGTTTTTTTTTTTTAATTTAATCCGTTTCAGGTATCACGAGTGGATGAAGTCTCCTGAGCTGCAGCAGCTGACCGCCTCCGAGCCGCTGACCCTGGAACAGGAGTACGACATGCAGAGGAGCTGGAGGGAAGACGACGACAGTAAGCGGTCGACTTCCTGTCACGAGCTCTTTCGGTCCTGTTTAAAGCGACCACATGAATTTAACAAAAATAATGCTTTTGCCCGTAATCTGTCTTCATTCCAGAGTGCACTTTCATCATCTTGGATAAGCAGCGTTGGGCAGACAGCCGTGTGGACGAGGAGCAGTGCATGGTGGGAGATGTCAACATCTTTCTGACGGACCCCACGGACCCGACCCTGGCCGAGCTGGAGATCATGATAGCAGGTGAAAGCTTCCTCCAGAATCAACCCGTGCTCTCATTATTACATGTAGCTCTCCGTTTCAACACCGCAGCTATTCGTATGTTTCCTCCCTTCAAGCTAATGACGTTTCTTTTTTTGAGCAGAGCCCGGTCACCGTGGCAAAGGCATCGGGAAGGAGGTGACGCGCATGATGATGAGCTACGGTGAGCATTTCAATACCATCGGTTCACCAGACACATGGACTAAACATGGCAGGTTGTGTCGATTTAACGAGTTTCTGACCTCTTTGCAAATCGGGAGTGACGGCGGTCTCGTCTTCCACCAGGAGTCGCCAAGCTCGGGGTCCAGAAATTTGAGGCGAAAATTGGGCTGAACAACAAGGTCAGCATCGCCATGTTCAAGAAACTCCACTTCCAGGAGGTGAGAAGACCGGGGGGGGGGGGGGGCGGGACGTGAGACTGGACCGGCGGCCGCTCGGCGAGTGAGTGTAACCCGGTTACAGGTGTCTGTGTGCCAGGTGTTCAGAGAGGTGACCCTCCGGGCGACGGTGGACGAGTCCGTCCGGGCGACGCTGCTGGAGGACTTTGCCCACGTGGAGGAGCGGGACTACGGACAGACACGCAGCGGCAGGCGGGGACACGTCTCACGGCGAGGAGCACAGAAGACTTCCAGCTGCGGCGCAGAGCCTCCTTCTCTTAGCTGAAAACCAGCGTGTGCTTGTGTGTTTTCTGGTAGTGTTTGAGATACTCCTGAATGTGAGACGGTTCTGGGAAAGCGCTTCACAAGACTCGCCCTGGTTCCGCCTCCAGAGCGTCGATGTGAGGGGGCAGTGATGCCGGGTGGCCCGGCCCGGCTTCCTGTTCCTCCCCCGCAAAAAGGTTGTTGCGGTCGGTGCTGATCAGGACCTTGTAAAAGTTGTACTTGGAATTTTTTCTTTTCCATTTCAGTAGTATCACTTATTTTCCATACGAGAGCTCGTTGAACGACGTTGACTAAAACGTGTAAGTGCTAAATAAATAATGGAGGTATCGGAAGCATTTCCATTTAATGGTACATCACAACTGAGGCCTAATCGGAGTGAACATCTCTCACATCGCAACAAACGCATTAAAGGTCTCGTGTTCCTCCTAATTGCCACATCCGTGTGCAGCATTTCTCAAATGACTCCTTGAAAACTGAAAGGCTGGTCGTTGGAAGCGTTATACCCAAACCGCAGTGTTCCCTCCAATTGCAGTCCAGTAATTTAAAGAGAGAGAGATTATATACATATATAAAAAATTGTTAGGGGGCATCCAGCATGTAGGTCAGTTTCTTTAAAAAAAAAAAAAAAGGTACACTTTTTCCCCCATTTATTTAATGATGAACCCGCCCCTACAGATCGGAGAGTGAATTAGGTGAGTTGATGTTGAAATGACCATCGTCCCTCAGACAATTCTCCGGTTTGGTGTTGAATAAGTAAATTTATGTTTACAGTTGATTAACTACTGGAGCAGGACGTCGGGTGCTCTCTGTAAAGATAGAAGTGCACAAGAAGGGAGCACAAAATGTCACAATCGGTAAATCTTGACACGTTATAACCTAACTTGCCACCATTCTTTTGTTACAAAGACAGACCAAATGTTCAAGCGTTCCTCGCAGTGCGTAGCCATTTATTAACGCAATGTTTGAGATCAACGAAGACGAACGAGAATTAGGAAATATTGTTGTGGTAAAGTTGCTTAATGGCACATTTGGGTTTAAATATCATTGTTACAGTCAACACATGACACAGATTTTTCTCAATGCATATCCAATCTATACAGTATCTCAGCAGGGTGTACGTTACATACAATTTAAAAAACAATAAGTTGATTAATCGATCGTCTGATAAACAGACTAAATTATTATTTCAGTCAGCTGGACATTTTCACTTTTTCTAAATCACCTCAATCACATCTTTGGCATTTCGGGACTGCTGGAAGTTAGCTGATATTGAATGAAATGTTACTGTTAAACGTTACAGATCTAAGCTGTGAGATCAAGCTGGTTTGATTGATTTAAGACTATAAAGACAGGAGGCCACAGACGGCCGGCCTCCACGTCCCCACATGCTCAGACTGCCACAGCCGACACGCCGGCTTATGCACAACTCCGACCGCCAGCTCACACGTGACTCGACACTGCAGTGCAGCACAGAAAGGGCCGCCGGATGCATCTCTCAAACACGACCCACGCTGGATGCAACGCACCTGAACAAACCATGTCTGAGGGGGAGACATCCAAGAAGATTACTCGTTCTTTTTCATTTAAACAGACAAACAATTCCATAGGAATTTAAGAAGGTCTTTCCACCTCTGTCTATCCGTACGGACGTTCCACCTCCCGCCACCGGAAACGGCGCCAGGCGATGCAGGGTGTCCATCTTAATGATATTCATGACATCAGCTTTAAAAAAAGAAAGGAAAAAAAAAAGAAATCCCAGGTGGGAGTGAAAAAACCTGCAGCTCTGGAAGTTGACGGCGGCAGATGGTCGTTTAGTTCTTGGACGCTTGTGTGGATTCGATAAACTCCTTCGCCGCAGACGACAGATTTCGCAACAGCTGTCTGACCACGGCCTCCTGCCGTTTGGCCCAGGAAAAGCCGTCGTCCACGGCGACGTTGACGGGCACGCACACGGCCTCCTTCTGCAGGTCGGTCAGCTTGCAGGCGGCGGCCACTCCTGCCAGTCCCAGTAGCAGCAGGAGGAGCAGCTTGAACATCAGGCCGAGGAGCGAGCGTTGAGGCTTGGGCCTCGTCGCCGCGGCGGCCTTCTTATCTGCTGAGAGAACGCGAGAGGTGGAGATTTGAGAATGACTCCGAAAGGTTATTCGGAGGTAATTTCAAGTATTAGTGCGGGAGAAGAATTCGCACAGCCGTACCTGCTGCCTGTCCGTTCTTTTTCTTCATCTCCTCGCTCTTCTTCTTCTGCTGTTCTCTCGCGGCAGCGGCAGCCATCTGGGCGTTGTACTCCTTCCTCCTCTTCTCCTTCTCCGCCGTCTTCTCCCGTTTACGAGCCTCCTTCTCTCTGGCCTCCCGCTCCCTCTGCTTCACCTCCCTCTTCCTCTCCAGCTCTGATGGTGGAAGTGGGAATGATCACTACGACTGCGCCGTCATGCGCCACATGAATGTGATTAACATACTATTCGATTATTCCCTGTACTTCCAAAACATGAATATAACTTTTTATAGCAGAGCCTGGTTTCTTTTTTCCTTTTTTTCTCAAGAAGGTTTAGGTTTGGAGCAGCTTGTGTAAACAATTACATGTTAAATGTCGTTTTATTTCATCAAAAACTAGCTGATTAATGAATATAAAAGCAAAACTTAGAATCTGACCAAACATTCAATGCCAGCTTTCACAAATGCGCCTTAAAATAATTGTGGACTGATTTCTATCCCTTTTGAGTAAAAGGAAATTAATCTGAGGAATTTATTCGGAGGCCGAAAATAAAAGAAAAGAAGGATTCTGACCTTTTTCCCTTAAAAGGCGTTTCACTCGGGCGCGATCAACCTCTTCGTGAAGACCTCTCATGTGCTGCAGAACCTGGGAAAAAAAAAACTCCTAGTCATTCCTCTTTCAATCTTCAGTTCAAATGTTTATTTTATAAGGGGCTTAGTTGGCCTGAAAGTTTCAAGAGCGATGTATCCAAAGCAAAAGGCGCTGACCTGGGCGGCACACTGTTTGCACTGCTTCTCATCCAGACAGTCTCCTGCTGCCTTGGCCAGGTCTGCCTCCAGCGGGTTGTCCTTCAGATCCAACCACTTCAGACTCTGAGGACAAACATCATGCTATCAGTTAGAGCTGGAAAATAGTTCAATAACATTTATTGTTTCTGAATATGATCACATTGTGATAAAATCGCATATTGTGATACGCGGTTAAATGATTAACTCAGGGAGATCGGCTGCAATCTGTCCCTGCAGGACTTGTTGGCTTCCAGGTCTCTGAAGCGAGCTAAAAAGATCGTGGCCGACCCCTCTCACCCCGGACAAAACCTGTTTGTGCCCCTTCCATCTGGCAGGAGGCTGAGGTCCATCAGGACTACGACCTCCCGCCACACGAACAGTTTCTTCCCGGCGGCAGTCGGGCTCATCAACAGAGCCGGTCCCCCACTGCCTGACTATAACACTCCACCGGTCACTCCCCCTCATACTGCACATGCCACTTTAACTGCAATTCATCACTTTGTCTCTTGTCTGTTACTTGTTTGTTAGTGCACTTTAGGCTTAATATTTTTCTTTTTTACTTTTGAATATTTAATTTTTTTTAACTTTATTCCCTTGTTTTATACTAACCCATAGCCTTAACCTTATTCTACTAACCCATTGCATTAGCATTTCATTCCACTTTATTTTATTACTTGTGCACTGTTGTCTTGTCTGTCTACTGTCGCGCACTAATCGCCAAGACAAATTCCTTGTATGTTTGACATATTTTGGCTAATAAATGTTTCCTGATTCCTGAAATTGCTCAGAAATTCTGATTTTGTACTTGAGTTCTTAATTCAATGAGAAAGTACTTCAAATGTTATGGTAATCTAATTTATGATATATGTGTGTAAATATATATACACATGTATCATTAAACTATATAATATATATATTATATAATATAGCCTTCTCATCTTACTCTCTAAATAAATTCAATAAGCTTATCAAAATCATCCATCTGTTGTGTATTTATTTAAAAAAAACAAGGACATCAGCAACAGACTGGCCACAAAAAAGGCCGACTTTCAATTAAAACTTTCATTTTTTAGAACAAGGGATAGAAAACAGTGGGTGACCTCATTCAAAGCGGGACAGCAGATTACCAGTTTTGTTAATGATTGTGAACTTCACAATCAAAAGGATTCAAAAAAATTTATACTGCACCAAAATGTGTTTGAATGACTAAATCAGCTCTATTAGATCACCTCTATTGTCTGACTGAAGAATAAACACCTAATAGCATCACTCTTGATTCGACAGGCATCGACGTTTGTGGCTTTATGTTGCAGGATCAGTAAATATAAAAGGTAACATGAGCGAGCAGTGCTCGTGTCCGGCACCCACCCTGAGCTGAGAGAAGCTGACAGGCAGGACAGTCAGCTTGTTGTTGTACAGGTCCAGGTGTTGAAGGCTGGTCAGGTTCCCCAGGTCATCTGGCAGACAGGTCAACTGGTTTTTACTCAGATCCACCTTCACCAGGTGGGTCAGGTTGCAGAACTCTGGCTGCAAGTAGAAAACGGAGCCAAAACCCCATAAGGGTCAGTGGTGGTAAATACAGGTGCAGTTTACATTTAGGCAAAAGCTGCGGGTCAAGAACAGAGTGTGTGTGTGTGTGTATATATATATATATATATATATATATATATATATATAAATAAATAAATATGATATAACCCTCGAATCCCAAAGTCTGCTAGACTAAGAGGTCAGAAACCAATTATTGAAGGAAAAAATGATTGGTCAAGTCGCGTATGAGTGCCTTCCAAATACCACCTCACAAATTAGTGTCACACGGGTTTTAAAATATACAAAAGCCTCAGCCTTTATGCTCTAGATTCAAACAAAGAAAACTCCACAAAGACAAATTATTCTTCTGGGATGGACAAGTAACATCCATTTCATGTTATTTATAGAAACACATTCATTTATTTATTATGTGTTCTCTTGACTTTTGTCTGGATACATTTGCGTCTTGGGGCCTCTAAAGATGCTTAAAACTGGATGATGCAATGAAATGTTGCAGAATGTTTGTACTTACAGGAAGGGAGGTGATGTTGTTGCAAGACAAGTCCACAACAGTTGCTTTAGTGAAAAGAGCCTGTTATAAACCATCACGTAGGTCAGTTTCATTGTTTCACAGTTTCATTGCAGTAAATGTACATTTGCTTAAATAGCTTTAAATTGGCTCACCAGCTCTCTGACGGGCACCTCGGTGACGTCACACAGACTCAGGTCCACCTCATTCCCGCAGATTTTATCCTTCAGGTTCAACACTTTGCTGTTTTTACTCATCCTGGGGTCTGTAGCCAGAGAGGAAACACGCCGTGGATTTAATGCGACAAATAAAGCCCGACAACGAGGCATTTGAAACACACCGTAACAGTTGGTCGTGCTGCTACTTTGGACCAGCGGAAACCTCCTCTCGCGTTTACGCCTCACGCCATTTGCTCACCTGGTATTACAGCGGGGACAAAACGGCGTCCGGGGTGCGACAAACTAGCGGTCCCAACTTCGCGACGTGGGGAGAAAGTTACGTGCAAACCTCCGCGATATGAGTGTAATTTTGGGGTGAGGGGGCAGCATCGACTGCCTCAATGAAAATCCACGTCACCGGTTAAACGTCAGCGCGGAGACGCTGGAAGCGAACAGCGCCACCTGCGGGACCGGAGGACACATTACAGCCTGCAGGACACATCCCAGCCCGGAGGACACAGCCTGCCGGAGACATCCCAGCCCGGAGGACACATTACAGCCTGCAGGACACATCCCAGCCCGGAGGACACAGCCTGCCGGACACAGTCCAGCCCAGAGGACACATTACAGCCTGCAGGACACATCCCAGCCCGGAGGACACATTACAGCCTACAGCCATTTTCTTAGTTATTTGTCTTGTTGTCCATTGTCTCACTGTCTTACTGTCCAATGTTATGCACCAACCACCATGTCAGATTCCTTGTATGTCTAACATATTTTCTCTGTAAATCTTCCTGAATAAAGATTTTCCCGGCTCTCCCATCAGCAGCCCGCTGCTGGACACATGTTATCTCTGATAATCAGCACAAGGATTGTATGACATCTTACATTACTGCCTCCAGTTAACTTCTCTTACCCCGAACCCACTGACCTCGCTGATGGCGTATCTTTTTAAACTGAACCATTTCACATTATTTCACCGTGCGCTCAGAAAAACCGATCCGTCCATATTGTGCCGTTTCTCAGTCACTCAAACAAAAATTAAATTTGTCCTCACCGGCCTGTTTGTCCTGCGGGTGTGACAGCGTGTTTGAGATTTAAGTGACCAAGCCCTTCAACAGTTGTAGCAAGTATGAAGGGAACCATGTCAGATGAGGCTGATTTTGACAATGTCCATGTAGGGAAGAGGTGGATCGGTCAACAAAACATAGGACTTTTACACAGCTGAAGCAGCTGTTAGTGTTAATATAAAATAGCTTCAATGTGTTCCTGACTTCCTCCATCAGATCCCATCAGCATCCTCCGGCTGTTTCTTGATACCGCCACCAGGTGGTCAGCCTTTTTTTTTGCAGAAGGCCATCTTTGTATTTTGACATTTCAATGGTCCTTTTCAATAAGAGTGAGATCAAAGTTGATGATTGCAAAAATAGATAAAGCAATCATTTTACTTAACTGGAAACTCCAAAATGAACAACTGAATCAGCTCATGTCACCTTTTTTTTACCAATTTATTTTTGCATTTTCAACACCGACAGGATACACACACATACATGAACACATAGATACACACACACAGGGCGAAGAGGGTATGAATGGTTCTGTACTTTCAATAACAAAATAAATCCTGAGAAAACATTCATGTGTTATTCTCCTATATTATCGTTGATGTGTTGAACTTCTTCCATTTCTACCATTTGTCACAACATTGTTCCTCTTTGGTTGTGATTTTGTGGGTTAACAGTTCCATATTGTATAGTTCAGTTACAAACCTTCATCCATGCCTCTATTGTTGGTGGTTCCGTCCTTTTCCATCTCTTTGTAATGACCTTTTTGCTGGCTGTTAGAAGGATTTTCAACAGATACCCGTCTTCTCTTAACACCTCCTGTAATATTACCGAGGTAAAGAAACACACATGAATTAGGTACGTCATAGCCCAGGATTCTGACAATGGTGGTATGAACATTTTCCCAGAATTCAATAATTTCTGGACAAAACCAAAAAACACTGGAGTGATTCGCATTTACAATTCCTACAACATGGTTGGGCAATAGACAGGCACTTGTTTGTGATTTGGGGGGTAATAAAAAATCGGGGATGTTAACCTGGATGCGCCTGAAGCAAAACAGAATCCACCACCAGCAGCTGATTAACATGGTTATGCAACTTGTGTGTTGTGAAAATGAGTTGGTTGGTGACGTGACTGCTTCTTGGATGGTAGAATGTACTGATGCTGTGCGCCTTGTATAAGAAGATGAATAACCTTAATGTTTGCTCACTTTTATTAAAATAAACACACAACATTGTTTATACTATTGTAGGGAGACATGATAAGCTAATACCACCCTGACGTGGTGTCAGGTGGAGCTCCATCCTTTCATTCAGGTCGTGATTATTGTGAAATGGCGTGTCCCTCTGCAAACACAACATGAAAAGATTTTTTGTTCATGCGTCATGAAGGATTAATCCCCTCAGAATTTGGAGGTACTTAAATTTGATCTTGAATTGCAGTGTGATGTAAACGATATTGACTGTTTTCCAATGGTTGGAGTCAGCAGGTGGATGCTGAGGGTTTAAGCCCGTCGTTGGCTGTGGATCTGACCTTCTTCAGATGCAAATGACGCACGTAAATATTTCTTTTTTAAAGTTGGATGGAGCTGCTACACAACAACCTATTAGCCAAGTACCACAGAATTCATTATTGTTACTAAGGCATCATATCTATTTCCACGTAATTTTTGATGTAATTTAGGAGAAAGATTAATTGCACCAGCTGGTTCTCCATGGCAACTGTAAATTCACACGTATATACCAATCAGAATAGCACACTAAACTCATTAGACATAAATTGTGTTATGGTGTGATAAGAGAAAAACAGCTAAATATGTATTAGTTGTTGTAAGTGCACTAACAGCAACATCATTACGGCACATTTAGTCTCCACCAACCTCTTATTTCTCCCCTCAAAAACCACTCAAGCAGGATGTACTGACCACTGGGAGTGACCACCATCTGACTGTCGGACTAATGACATTATAAAAAGAATGCAGAAACTATCATTGATCCAGTTTGCCCGTTCTTCCAGTGCCAGACGGTGGTTCTATTACCGGAACATTCTCGGTGACATTTCCAGACAGCGCTGTAAAGACGGAGACACAGAAGACCTGTGGAGACGTCTCACTGAGTTTGGAGTTGCAGTCATGATTCTTGCTGGTTTCTTGTCCGTGCTCTTCTTCACTGGTAAGCTTGGACAATATTCGGCATCTCCTGCAGGATGGAAGGAGGCTAAAGTCACTTCCTGAACATTGTTGTGGTTCGATGATTACAAATGTAAACCTTTTGTCTTAAACTTAGAAAGATAGTAAATATGTCTATGACATTCACTGTTGTTTTAACTTGGTGTTTATAATGAAGGAATGAAGAAAAATGCTTCTAGTCTAAAGAACCAAGATATTAAAATCTAGATTTAATATCTATCTATATATATATATATATATATAAGCTATTTCAATTTGTTTACAAAAAATGTACTGCAGTAATGTTGATTTTTGAAAGGCATTAGTGAACTGAGATCAACCCCCCTTCCCTTTACCCCCCCAATCCTCCCCCCTCCCCCCCATTCTGCACACACCCTCAAAATGGATTTTTAGCAACGAGAAGCACTCTGATTGTTACTTTAATATTGATACTGATTCTGGTGATTGTCATGGCTTTGCTAAAGGTTTCAGAAATTATGCATGTCTTCCTATAGAAACTAACGTCCGTAATACGTGTTTAAAGTGCACACAATGCATTTCTGAGCCAGCCCAACATGAGAGAATTTTTAATAGGAGTCTGTTTCCTTCACACAGAATGATCTGTTCTCGTCTGTTTCTGCTGTAGATGGAGTTTACTCCGAGCGTGAATGTAGTTATCAGGATGTTGTCAATCACCTGAATCTCACCCAAAACAAGGAAATGTACTTCATGACCCGGCCCGTTAAAAACTACAAGCGCCCCACACAGGTGTCCCTTGAAGTTCTGCTGTACGCCATTCTGGATGTGGTGAGTGATTCCACCTTTATTCGTCCACAGTTCAAATGATTAGCATTTGTCAGAATAGGTCCTGACAACTTTTAATATTTCTGGACGCTCCCCATCCAACCTGATCGAACTTGAGAGGTTCTGCAAAGAAGAATGGGAGAAACTGCCCAGAAATAGGTGTGCCACGCTTGTGTAATCATACCCAAGAAGACTTGAGGCTGTAATTTCTGCCAAAGGTGCTTCAACAAAATATTGACCAAAGGCTGTGAATACTTATGTACATGTTATGTTTTCGTTCTTTATTTTTAACAGATTTGCAAAAATTTGCAAAAAACAGTTTTCACTTTGTCATTATGGGTTGTTGTGTGTAGCATGTTGAGGAAAACAATGAATTTAATCCATTTTGGAATAAGGCTGTAACATAACAAAATGTGGAAAAAGTGGAGCGCTGTGAATACTTTCCGGATGCACTGCAACATTTTTTTATGGGGCATTCTCTGAGTGACCTTTGATCATTTATTTGTTTATTGCTAATACAAAACCAGATTAAAATATTCAATCTATAGATTGAGAACATTGTGAGGCCTTGGTAGCAGTATGGGCTGCTTGAGAGGTTTTTAGTTTAGATTTTTTGTTTAAAGTGTCTCACTGGCTGAACAACTTCTCACACTTTTTGTTTACAGGTTGAAAAAGACCAAAAATTCATCCCTTATGTTTGGACAGTCATGGTGAGTTCTGTTTGTGTAGATTAACTTACACTGGGCCACTTTCTTCTTTAAATGGTATATTTCTTTTTGTAAAAGCTGTTTAAATTAATTGTTTCTTTCTTTCTCTTTCCCTTGTTTTTGATGTATTTAAGAGGTGGCACAACGAATACATTTCCTGGAATCCAAATGACTTTTGTGGAATCCAAACAGTTTCTCTTCCTGTCGAGATTCTGTGGAAGCCGGATCTCACTATTGAAGAGATGTAAGTAGGAATGAACAACACTCACTCACACACTCACAGTGCACAGAACATACATATATATATATATATATATATATATATATATATATATATATATATATATATATATATATATATATTATGAGACATCGGTGTCACATTTCCAAATTCAATAGGGTTTTTAATCTACCCATCCCAATAAACCAACCTGATCGGGTATCAGCATCGTGACCGGTTTTAGTTTCTTTGACAATATTTTAATGAAATTGGCTGTTCAGACTATCAGTCTCACGAAGCTGCTGACACAGTTTCAGTGAGTTCCCCATAATGCGGCATACAGCGTTTTACTTTGGAAAAACAGAGTACTGGTATTTGATTATCAGAGCTTCTTTAGTTTTGTAAACGCGTCCTGTGGAAATCGCCGCCATGTGTGTTTTTGCGTGTGTTTGATACAGGACCGAGAAGGACAAAGCTCCTCCGAGTCCGTATCTCAAAATCAATGATAACGGGGATGTTGAGGTCAAGAACGACCAGGTGCTGATCAGCACCTGCAGATTGCACATTTACAACTTCCCCTTCGACATCCAGAGCTGCAACCTCTCCTTCAAGTCCGTGACGCACACTGGTCAGTGCATCCATGTTTAATGAATGAGTTTAATGGGATATTGATGGGAAGTGATGCCGGTTAAAGAGCAGGCGTGTGTGTGTGTGACAGGGTTGGGATTAAGATGCTCCTTAATAGTTTATAAATCTAACTGGTTGGTGGAGGAGTGAATTTATACTATTGTTTGAAGTTACTCTGAAAAGCAAGTTAAAATTGTTTTTTTTCTTTGCGGTTTTGATAATTAAACGTCCATTGAAGAAAATGTTTTGGTTTCTGAATGAACATTAACAAGTCGGTTCTATTCCTTTTGTATATTGAGTGACATTGGGAAGGCCGGCCCCGTTTCATCGCTGCATATGGAACTATTTTGTGCAGTCATTGTATTTTTTGCTGCATCTACTGTTAGTGCGGCGATGGCTTCGCTAAATGTGTTTTCTCTTTTCTCTCCCACCTCAGAGGAAGAAATTCAGCTTCTACCGATAGACAACTCTTCAGAGGCCACTGAGTGGTCTCGTGAGGTGATGCGGACCCAGCACGAGTGGCTGTTCATCGAAATGACGGTTACCACCAGCAACACCAGTGATGTAGCTGACCGACCCATGATTATTTACACTGTACGTACGTGGACTGGCAAAAACATGTTTCATTACTGATTTCGATAGATGTGCACATTTCAATTTCGTTCCTTATTGTTGTGCAGTCTTTTGTCATCCTCTTCAACCACCTTCATAGTGGCAAACTCGCTACTACGTATTATTCCAAGCTGCCTTTCCTTGATGTGGGAACATCTGACCACAAGTGTTTTTTCACAGATCACTATGAAGAGGCGCTCCGTCCTCTACATCGTCAACTTCTTGATACCCGTCATGTTCTTCTTGGGTCTGGATTTGGCCTCCTTTCTGATCTCAGACTCCGGAGGCGAGAAACTCAGCTTCAAGGTCACCGTGCTGCTGGCTGTCACTGTGATGCAACTTATTCTGAATGAAATTCTGCCCTCCACTTCAAACAGAATTCCTCTTATAGGTAAAGAAGCTGAGGCATTCCTTTGTTTGGACAGTCAATAGGCGGTCATTTGTCTACATTAATTATGCTTCTTCCCTCCCCAGCGGTCTACTGCATTGGGATTTTTGCTCTGATGCTGCTGAGCCTCCTGGAGACGATTGTCGTGATGCATTTGATGGCAAAAGACTCCCAAGCATCCAAAGACAACGAGCCAGATGAAGGCCGAAGCAGCAGTGAGGCCGATAACCAACAGGGTAAGGCCCATTTTCAAAGTTCTTCAAGACCAGGAGTCAGCTCTTTGAAAATAATTGAGAATAATACTGAGCACTACCGATGGTATTAAGAAATCAGTTGTTTTCAAAAATATTTTCACAACTAAAATCTGCCACTTAGAGCTGACTAATTAAACTCAGAGAACTATGAGTTAAAGTGGAAGCTCATATGGAACATGGTCCACAATCTGACCCATTTGTTTGAAAACCTTTTTTTAAATAATTACGTAAACCTTTAAGAATTTGAGTACATTATAAAACATTAGGTCAGTACCTTAGACTAAATAAGAAAAGGGTGTAAACTGAAAGGCAAAAGGCAAAAGATAGGATAAGATAATCCTTTATTCGTCCTGCGGTGGGGAAATCAACAGGATTTACAGCAGCCCAGGTAAAGGATAAAAAGGTTCTATATATTTTAGTGTTATTATTTAGTCGTTTTATGTAATTTGTACATTCTTGTTAATCACATTATTTTAAATTTCGGGGGGAATTTCAGAGGTGCGCAAATGGACTCAATGTGCGTGTATCTACGATTGCTCTGTTGGCGAAACTCCGTCCCAACATCCGCAGCACGAGGCCAAAGAGGTTAGAATCGACTCACGTATGAACCACAATCCACACAAAGCGCCTGATTTATAGCCGCTGATGATGTTCCATACTTGTATTTACTTGTATTACTTGTTTACTGGCCCTTTTTTGCAGGCAACCAGCAGCACGCTGACAGATCACCATGCCTTGGAGAAGCTGTCTGACGAGCTGAGAGAGATGGAGAAAACATTGTCCCTGCTCCTTAACAACGGGAAGGAAGAGGTGAAGCCCGCCTACTGGACCGGAGTGGCTAAAAAAGTCAACAAATATTTTTTTATTTTCTATGTAACAGTGGTCAGTTTGTTTTTAATAATGGTCTTTTTTGAATGGATCAATGCACAGATGTGATTACTGCTACTTGTTATTATGGCTATATATGTATATTATCTCAAAGGCCTTAACACACTACACATTTATTGTGGGCACAATAATATTCCATTTAACTGCGTTCATGGTGAGGAATAAATTACCATTAAAGGGGAAAAAAGCGAATGATTTATGAATTTTTAGAAAATCCCCCACTTTGTGTGGAACAGACATATAATACACACAATGCTGTACAACAACACAAAAGCTACTTTATCTGATCACAGAGGTCAATCCTACTTTTCACAATAAATCATACCAACCACATAAAGTTTACCGCGAGGGTCAAATTAGATGAGATTGGATTGTTGTTGGTCTTTTATATCAAAGAGAATGAAGCCTGCCTTTGGCTGCAGTCATTTCAAATTCAGCTCCTTCCTGCAGGTTTAAGAGGGGATGTGTTCACACAACCAATGCTGACACGTCCTAACTGCAGATTCTGACAGGGGTTTTATCTGATATGGTTTTGCAGTGCCGGAATATGATCAATTTTAAAAGACTCATTTCCCACACCTGTTTTGGCAAAGCTTCTGAAGAAATGTGTCCTTAGTTCAATGTTTTGTAAATGCATTTTGCATGTTTAACGGCAAATATATAAAGTATTGTTATCTCTGGTTGTATTGTAAAATTCTAGTTCACTGGTATAACATTGGATATTTGCATGTCTATAGGCATATTGCACAGCATTAAGTGCATTATATCAAATGTGTCAGATAATTGAAGAAGGGTTGAAGATCTCTGTTTTCTGAATAAATTCAATGCAATGATGCCTTTTGCTTCAGTCATCATGTCATACAAACATTCATTATTTGCTGGAGCTGATCTGTGATCTGTTGTATGTTAAATGTGCATTAGGCTCACAAATAAACAACAAAGTCTCTTCCTTAAACAAACACAGACATATTCATGTTTTTTGTCAGTTGTGGAGACCAGTCTTTTTGGTGACTTGTGAGAACCTCATAAAAAATGTCATCTTTTTTATTTATTTTCTATGTAGATGAAGTGTAATTACAGTGTGTTGGGCTCCCACCAAAGCATAAAACCATTGCTGACTTTCGAATGCACTTGAGCTGCAGGTCATAAAACAACCAATGAATGTGCCTTCACACCCAGGTGTGATTTCTCCCTCTTGATGAAACAGCCCTGATATCTGATTGGCCAAGCCAGAGACACCACAGGGGTCCCACTGCTGTGGTCTGTGAGTTCCCGCTCTCAAACTTTCTTTTTGAACTGACTCTGGTCAGTGTAAAGCCTAGTTTATGCTTCAGCGTTTTCAGAGCGACGCAGACGCAAGACCCCCTTGCGTGTCCCTTGCGTGCCTTTTCACACCTCCTTGCGTCCTTGCGTGTGTCGTCCCATTTTTCTAGGCTTGCGTCGCTTTCGACGTAAGCGACGCAAGCCTCCCGCAGCGCACCAGGCTGCGATTGGTCCGCTAACTACGTCCTTTACGGAGTCTCACATTTCCGTTTTCATAGCCCGATACCGCCATTATTAAAACGAAGAATCTTTACGAGAGAACAGATCAGATTTAAGAACTTTTGTCGGAAGAAATGCGTAAATATGACATATTTATGCATTTCTTCCGGTTGGATTCACGGAGGGAGATCGCCGCAAACGCCGGTTTGCCGGTCGAGAGATGCACAAAGTTGTGGAGGAAAATATGGAAAAAATGTGTCCGCGATGAAAAGCAGCAGTGACGATGCACAGGGCCATAAAGTCTATGATAAATAAATAAACAAACCATCAACTTCCACACACAAAGAGGTGAATTGCTCCGCAACACACGCAAGACTTTTAGAACCATGAATGGAAACGAGTGCGTTAAGATTAAGATTAATATATACGCAGACGCAGAAGCATGCGCCAGACTTAAGGAGAAAGATCTCTGTTGAAAGAACCTGTCTTATTCCCTGTCTTATTTTGTAGTTTTCTGCCACTCGTGTCCCCGGGTAACTTCACTTCCTGCCTTGTCCCGTCATCCCCTGTGATCGTCTGATAGTTTCCACCTGTGTCCAATCACCTGCACCTCCCTAGTGTATTTAAGCAGTGTGTCTCTTGTGTCACTTGTCGCGTCATTGTCTTATGTCACGGATGTCCCTGTCTACCGTCTGGATGTTCCTCGTTCCTGCCTGCCCTTTTTTCCCCCGGTTCGTGTGTGTGGTTTTTGCCCGTTGGCCTTTTTACTTTGTTGGAATTTTTGACTATTAAAGTCTCTTTTGTTGCTTAAACTCTGCATTTGAGTCCTGCCTCCCACGCATCCCTGACAAACATGGTCTTAATATTATTTATTAAGAACCACAAAGTGTGCAGGTTTTGTCACTGCAATGGATTTCGTCTTAACCTGCAAACACATGAACTGTTAGGCTTTAAAATTGATAGTTCATAGCTTATAATAGTGATCGCTTAAAGCAGCAAATTGTGAAAAGTTTGTATTACCCAGTTTATGGCGGAGAAGTCACTCTCACAGTTTACACTGCTGACCAGGACTGTCCAGGCAATGGCAGCACGCAGGCTTATTGTTGGATACATAACCCCAAACTCTTTTGAGGACAGTTCTGACAGTATGGCCAGCTGTGTCTTGTTCTCAAAAGGTTCAAAATGATATCAGTAACACAATATAGTGTTCATGACAATGTGATTTGATAATGAAAATGTCTCAGGTTACCCTTAGTGGACCAGAGACCACTTGCTCCTTGAAAGAGGTCCATTCTTCAAGAACTGTGCCAAAATCCACACGGGAACAAAACTTCTCTATTGGTATATGAAGTTTTGAGTGTGCAGTGTTGTCAAGAAGCGTAGCTGCTTGTGAACCAAGTATCCCAAATGCAGCGACAACTACAACCTCAAGAAAACGTCTCCCCCGGATAGTTGGTGTGGTGGGCTTTTTCACGCTTTATTAGCCAGTACAAGCACTTGAATGCCCCCACCACAGCCTCAGGCTCCAGGACAACTGTGTGCTCAAATGACGTAATGATGGTGTTCCCTGAAATGACATGCATCAGCATTGAAGAGCCAAAGATGTTATCAAATCATGATAGATTAAATCTTTTTTACCTGCTGTCAAACTTGACTGTTGACGACAGGCCAGTCTGTAATGCTCAGACACACACTGTCAATGATTTAATTTCACACTAGCTTTAAACCAACACATTGACCCTATGCCCAACAAAACGGTGCCCCGTGTGACGCCGTGCCCAACAAGCATATTTGTTTTAATTTCATTTAGCGTGTAGTGTCTAATGTGGGAGTGACTGCTTTCTCAGTACGAATGTTTAATTAGAAAATTACCTAAACAAACAAGCTCTGGGACACTGCTAGATTTTATGGTTTCAATTTTCCTGGTAGTGATGATAATTATATTAGTAAAGTCATACGTGAGCATACTCATGTTAACATTCAGCTGTAAACATCTTTGTGCCCAAGTACCGTATCAGAGCTGCTTGTTATTCAATTATAACAAAAACAAAGAATTATGAATGTGATATTACTTGGACATTTACCAATCATGGGTAAGCTTGTATTATTCTGAAGACCGTCAACAATACGAATGTATCAAAAGGCCTAATTGTGAGGAGCACAGGGGGGTGAAGAGCTCGGAGCAGTAACCAGTCACACCTGTGATTAGATTAGTAGATAACTATATAAACGGTAGTTTGATAGTTTGTTTCACATAAGATCTCAGAAGAAGCACCTGCATGTAACTTTCAGCCGACAGCTTGTGGGGGATGATTGCAGTTCCCGGGAGTTTTGTTGGACTAAAAAAATAAAAAGTCACAAAAACAAAGGGCTGGCCATAAAAATTGTCCGTCCCTGTTCCAATAAAAGGAGGGGTGGTGATTACACCTTGACAAACGTTTCCAGACACCATAGAGGACGAGGTCACAGTCATGATGCTCGCTGGTTTCTTCTTTCTGTTCCTCGTCTCAGGTAAGACGGAACATTTCTGTTGGCTGGAAATGTCATTCTTCATCCCAGCACAATTTAGGGGAATTTGGTTTGGTTAACGATACATAATTTGTCAGAATACAGAACTTGACTAAAATTACTTTAAGCTGTTTCCCAAAACTGTTCCCAATGTGTTTTTTAACACACTTCAGAGCCTTTAACCCACTCAGTGGAATCAGGTTAAAGGCTGTGACCTTCTTTTGTCAGGTGGGAGCACCTCCAATATTTCGGAACAAACAGCGCTTCAGGATGATCAACCAAACTTCAATCCGGACAATGATGAAGGTGTGTAATCAGTAATCATATATTTATCCGATTTTTCACAAAAAAAACTATATATTTTAACAAATGATTGTTGAATGTATAAGGATTAACATGGGCTGACCTTAGATATCTAGTTCCTAAAACCTTTCAGGTGCAGAGGATAATTCTCCTAAAAGGGGACAGTGTTCCTGAATGATGATATTAACATGTTTGATTGTTATTTTACAGGGTTCAACATCTCAACGACAGACCTCTTGAAACCACCAGAGCTCAGTGGGAAAATATCTATTCAAAACATTCTGTTTACCAAGATAATTTTCTAAAAGGAAAAAAAAAGTCATAACCTTTTTTGAAACAAAGTTTATCATGTGTTCGTAGAGAGATTTTGTTTAAACTCCTGCAATTAAATCAAAGTTGAACCTGTGTACCTGTTTAGATGGAAGTACCAACCAGAACTCAAAATATCCCGAGCTTCAACAGAGAAACCAGAATGATACAAACACGACTCTCGTAAAACAACAATCTCAAGGTCTAAGAGATTAAAAACATTTTGTGGTGATTTCTTTTCTAATTAGACTAAACCTTCTAATATAATATAACGACATAACATGTCATGATGTTTTCACTGTAGGTGTGACAAACCACAACTCAAACTGCTCCGATCGGGCTGTTTATAACCACTTGAACCTGGTGAAAAACAACGACAACTCCAAGATCCGGCCTTCTCGTTCTCGATCAGTCACATTGGTGAAACTGGATGTGCTGCTATATGCCATTCTAGACGTGGTGAGTGGCTGCTTAAGAGTATAAATAAAAAAAAAAATTCTATTTAGTACCAATTCTGTGTTTGTCTGTAATGTTTCAAGATATTACTAAACCATGCAAGAGTTTGCCTGTTTTAGTGTTTTCCAGTTTCCAGAATAGTTTCTGTGCTTTCTCATTTAAATTTGATGGGCGTTAATTCATGTTTCTTCAGTCCCAGTATCTGACTGATCTGAAGGGTCATGTAAAAACTAGGGTTGTTAACATTAACGCATTAATCTATGCGATTAATGTAAATATATTTACACAGTTAACTCAACTTTCTTTACTTCCGGTTTTCCGGTGTGCCAGAAGTAAACAAAGTTGACCCTGGAAACGAAACAGCTGCTAGAGAGCAACTCTGTAGCTGAAGATGGAGAGAGCTTTTTGCATTGCAGTAAAACAGAGGCGCGACATACATTGGACAACTGTGCTGAGGAATTCGATCACGTGTCAAACAGAAGGGGCGTCAGTGGCAAACGGACCACCCTGCAGTGTCCAACTACCCCCCCCCTTTAATCACAATTAATTGCGATTAATGTATTTCAAAATGTGCAATTGATAAGTTAATTTTTATTGACAACTCAAGTAAAAACTCTCTGTCTGCTTGCAAACTTTCATTACCACTGAATTTGTGTTGAGTTTTAGGACAGTTACCCCAATGTCTGGATGCAACAACTTTCTTTTTACATGTTTTTCTTTTTTCATAGAACGAAAAGGAACAGCAATTTGTTTCCTACATTTGGGTTTTTTCGGTGAGTACTCTCGGGCAAAGAAATCACATTTTGACTTGAATTAATTCTCACCTCTCCCTTCTTTGGGAAACTAAAATGTCTTTTGTTTCAATGCACTTTCCCATGTTTTCCTCTGTAGAGGTGGTACGACTATGACATAAATTGGAACCCTCAAAATTTCTGCGATATTTGGAAGATTTATCCCCCTTCGGATGTATTGTGGACTCCAGATCTAACAATTGAAGAGATGTGAGTTTTAATGTGCATACTCTCATCCACAACCATCCACACATGTCCACAACACACGTTATTGTTATGTTGAATATCATTGCGTTTAGGGATCTTCATTTAGTTCAAGCTAAGAATAAAAACATTTTTTGAGTGGAGCTACCATGGTTTTCTTTACATGAGCTACAGGATAATATGTAGCGTGAAACCATTTAACATTTGTTTGTCTCTTGCTGGTACTTGGAGATGGTTTGGTAACTACTTTTTTTCTGGGTGGGAGAGTTTTTTTCGGTGCAACGGAAAGTGCTACACATAGTTTGGCTTCTTTCCACGTCAAAGTTGTATACATTAGCATTTTCACACTTGTGATTTCACTATATGAAGCCCTTATTGTCATTTTAGCAAATGTATATAACTTAGAACTATCCTTTTCAATTTACTAAACTAACACTACTATTGCGATAGCACAGAATGTCTAATTTTTTCCATAACTTTGAATTTGAATTTTTTTTTATTTCTTCTGAAATCCCATATTTTACACCAGTTTAATATTTATTATAACTTTAACCCAGCAAAACCCCTTCAGTGTATTGAATTGAGCTTTTTATGTTTGTTTTGAATTTTTCCTCTGTAAAAAAAAGACGATGTGATTTTTTTTCATAAGTTAATAGGCAACAATGGAGAGTACTATGACTCATATTGTATAATATTATAGATAATACATAATGTGAAAATAATGTAAAATTCAGTTAAAATAACTTGTGTTTGCTGTCATTCAGGATAGAGGATAATAAGGTTCCTAAGAGTCCTTATCTCCTCCTTGACTATGATGGAGAGGTCTTTCTTCGGAGCAACATGGTGGTGGTCAGCAGTTGCAGCATGGAAGTTTACAAATTTCCCTTTGACGTCCAGAACTGCAAACTGTCTTTCAAGTCCGTTGTACACTCATGTGAGTCCTTAACCTTGTGTTCAGTTTCATGAATTCCTGTGCCTTGTTGATGTGTTCTCATCACTGTTCACTGAATGTGAATGTTTCAATGACACTGTCTTTTCACCTGAAAACAAATACCATGCAGTCCTGTCTTAACAGGCAAGAAAACTTAAAAGGCTCTTTTTTGTAATCTCCCAAATCAGCTCAGGATTTGATGCTTCAAAATTCGGCTGACCACAAATGGAATATTGCATGGTCTCTTGAAAGGATGACCCAGTCCGAGTGGCTGTTTGTCAACTTGAGCTCCAGCGAGGAATTTGTCGACAGTTTTGGTCTACAACAAACTTTGCTGGTTTACACTGTAAGTATTTCTGGATACACACTTTTATAAGCGCATGAAGAAAATTTGTGGAAAATGTAGTGAACAGATACATTATGAAATCTTTGTCAAGACCAAAATAAAGGAAAACTAGGACAGGGAGTGATAGATAAATAAAAGACTACCTAAGTTTTGATTCAGATAAAACCCAGTGACTGAAAAGCCTGGATGATTGTAAGAGCAGTTTCGCTCATAAGCCCAAACAACATTTCGGCCCTCACGTAGATCTTCAGTACACCTGAAGGCAGCAGCACCTTGTCACATCTCTCTGCTTGTACCAACTCCGTTACTGGAGAGATGTGGTGTCCACTTTCAGGTGAGGTCGCTTTCCCTCAAATATGCAGCTTTCATTTCCAACCTTTCACTCTTTGATTTTGCATGAGTGACCCGAAAGCATCTATCGCTCCTGACACCTGTGATCAAAAAGCATAATTCAAATTTCAAGAAAATAAAAACTGTGGGTTTAGTGCAGCGCTAGTTGTAGTGCCGACATGACAATGACAACGGGTCTGTAAAACTCAACAATTAAATTCACATTTTTCTTTGTGCTTTACTTTTGTCCTTCTTTGTTTTAGTTTCTATAATTATGTCCCGTCTTTTATATGAATTTCTTTCCCCCCTTCTTTTTTCTTTAGTTCTTTCTATCCCCCCTTTGTTGCTTAAATCTAAATATCCAAATGTTCATGGATCTAAAGAAATATGTTTTAGACTCTGCTGATCTTACCTATAAATACTTACCTACCTATAAATAAGTACCTTCTAAGTATATTGTTGTTTTCTACCGTCCCATACCTATCTAACGTCTTGAACACGTTTTGCTCTGCTGTTGAAGACAAGCGCATGTTGGGTCCGATTATCTTGTTTTACCTGCATGTGACTGTTTTTGGCCGTTGCAGATGGAAGCGTTAACTGACCTTTGTCCGTCTTTCACAGATCACCATGAAGCGGCGGTCTGCCCTCTACATCGCCAACTTCTTGCTTCCGATCATGTTCTTCTTGGGTCTGGACTTGGCCTCCTTTGGGATCTCAGACAGTGGGGGCGAGAAGCTCGGCTTCAAGGTCACGGTGCTGCTGGCTGTCACTGTGATGCAGCTTATCCTCAATGACATCCTGCCTGCCTCTTCAGACAGGATTCCTCTCATTGGTAAGGAGGGTCGCAGTCTACACTTCACATGAGCATCAACCGTACTGATTCAATATGTCCACATTGACGCTGCCTTCCCCCGTTAGCCATCTACATTATTGATGATAACTTCTCCCTTCAGCAATCTACTGCATTGGGGTTTTTGGTCTGATGATGCTGAGCCTGCTGGAGACGATTTTGATGATGTATCTGTTAGGAAAAGACGCTGCAGCCAAAGAAAACAGGGAAGATGAAGAGCAAAGACGGAGTGAGTACTGATGAGACAAATTGGGCAAAGCTCACTGCTGGTCAGGTGGGATGAAGCACAAACTCTACAAATTCCTCATTCAACTTCACATTCTCTACTGTCATTGAATCTAACGTACTCTTTTAGATTTGAAGAAAAGGACGTCTGCTGATGAATCTCCATCCGAACAACTGTCAGTCGCCAAAGAGGTAAAGGTTGTGTTGCATCTTGTGCCCCTAAATTACAAAACAAAAAGTAAGAAAACTGTTGAGCACAACTTGAAATCAACTCTAATAAATTGAAACATAATGCATAGAAAAACCAAGTATCAAAACTTTTTCAATATTGAATTGTCCATAATCTCATTTATTAATAATCTACTGAATCCTTCCTGCAGGGCGACAGCAGCAAACCGACTGTGGAGTCCATTGCTTTGGAGAACATCTCAGATGAGCTGAGGGATGTGGAGAAAACGCTGACTCGGGTGCTTAACGGAAGGAAGGAAGGAAATAAGCCCGGTTACTGGACCAAGGTGGCTGAAAAAGTCAACACGGTTTTCATAGTTTTCTACGTCTTAGGTGTCATTGTGTTTTTAATTGTTCTCTTTTTACTGTGGAACAAAGAAGATGAGGTGTAGTGCTCGCCAAGTTGTTCAAATGAACATGGGCATCCACTGCAGAGCTGCCTCAATGAAGTGATTATTTATATTATCAATATTTTAAGATGAGCAGACATCGTCTGTTCCTCGGCTCACAATTTGCATGTCAACATTTTCTGATATTCTATTGTTTGATGAATTTGATATGATTTTACAATACCATACAGGGCATTTGTAAATCAATACTGAGTCACCATGATGTCGATATTACATTCTGGGTCTTGGTATAAACCACAGCGGAGGACGTCCTCGCTGTGATTGTAATGTTTTTGGCCAATCACATATTGGCATTACAGAAATTAGTTAAATTGTGAAGTCTCGCCAGGAGGAGCCCTTGCTCCTCTATCCTTAACCACTTTGCTTTCTATGCTGTAAATATAATTTTGAATCAATTGTATCAGATTTAATTATGGATTTACTTATTGGATTTTTCTGGGATTTGGTAATGTTTTTTTTTTCAATTAATTACTCTTTTATGTATTCTGGGCTTTATATTTCCTCTCAACAACAGAGGGTGGCGGGGGGTTCTGTTTGTTCAACCATCATACTCTACATTCATACTATATAACTAATATACAAGCCATTGAAATTTTTTCTTTTATATTTGAGAGATTTAATTTCTTTATTTATGCACATTTATCCACGTCTTCAGTACAAGCTTTACCAGGTTGTCTAGATTCTTGCAGGAAACTTTAAATATTGAGATTATGATGTAATGTTATTTGCTATCTTTCTATTCTATTTTTCTAAGTTACTATGATGTAACAATTGGCGTAAGATAACGCATTTGAAGTAGCAACTAGAGCACCTCAGCTGACTGACATTAATGTTTTTACTATTGTATTGTTATATCGGGCTAATAAATTCAAAGCTATACATTTCTAGTTTGGTTTTGTATACATTCAGTGGTTTCAGTTCCACTGGTGACGTGGTCCAGTGGATGAAGAATCATTTTATTGAGTTGGGGATCACCTGATTTTTTTCTTGTGCCACCATACGTTTGTAATTTGTGGTTTTGAATGAAATATTAGAAATTTTGTTTGCACTGCATGTGCTTCTGAGGGTGAATTTTGATGGACTCCTATAACACCATCATCGGGTCTTTTATTCGTCTAATGCTTTGGCTGATGATCAGAGACAGAAACTCTCGTCTCCTTCATCCTCAACTATATTCTGCTGGAAGTGCTGTTTTGTAGAAGTTTGCAGGCTGACACCAGAAATAAGACGCTGAACATTGTAAATCGTACTCCTGCTAGACATCCGTTTCTCAGCATTGTCTTTGTGAGGATGTTAGCTTTGTGACAGAATTTAGTTCAAAGCTGCTACGTGGAGCATCTAAGAGCCGCTACTAGGGCTGCAGATTGCTCATCTTGTTTCTAAATTACAACAAAAAGCACAAATTCTGAATTTGCTATGGCTTTGATTCATGTGATTCTTATACAACAATGGCAGCTGAGACTCGTGGGTGTTATACTTTAAGCCATTCTTCACATTTAAAGGTAAAAAGAAATCATCAGAAATCAAGTTGAAGCATAAATACTGATACTGGCCGTAAAATAGATCAATAGTATTATTGAATTATTCCAGAGACTGTTGACTTGTTGGACACAAGACTCCTTTGAGATGTATCCCCCGCTTTGAACTACTTAACGTGGAAACCCACACCGCAGCAACAGCAGCGGAAGCAGGGAATTCAGCTTTTGGGTTTTGAGAGCAAAATTGATTGTTTACTGTTTACAGGCGACTAAGTGTCTTGGGTGTTGAGGTTCCTAGAGCTTAATTGCTTTAGGCGACTCTAATATTGACTGAGATTTTTAGTATCCTCCCGTCATTCTTCCAGTAAAAGGCAGTGACACTTTAAATGCAAAAATATACAGAGGAGAAGGAGGCTCATCAACTGGGCAGATCTTTCCCAGTCATGATGCCTACTGGTTTCTTCTGTCTTCTCCTCATCACAGGTAAGCTGGAACAATTCTGGAACAATTCTGTGTGATGTTTTCAGGTATTATTTTTCTTTTTTACCCCAATACAAATGAATTGAATGTGCATTGCACATCCACAATGAGTTTTTTAAAACACCTCAAAACGTTTCAACCGCTGCAACGGAATCAAGAGCTGTCAGCTTCTTTTGTCAGGTGGAAGTACCTTCAATTATTCGGAACAACCAGAGCTTCAGGCTCAACCGGACTCCAATCAGGACAGTGATGAAGGTGTGTAATAAATATTCATTTCAATTTAATTTTTGAATTTTCTAGTTTTTTTTTGTACAGATGTCTTAAAACTAAAGACTTTTATTTTAAAGTATTTGTTAAGATTCTGGAAGCAGTTTGCATGTGAAGTAGTAATTACAAGGAAATGTTATTTCTATTTTAAATGTTATTTATTTATAGTTTAACAGTAAACTGAAAAAAGAAAGTTAACAAATGATTATGGTCTGTATGAGGATTACATGGGCTGACCGTTGATATTCCATAAAACTGCAAAAGATGAATATCAAGTGGAGATCCCTGTTCAAAACCTAAATGACTGCAAAATGCTGTAAAAATTCTTGACGGAATGATTGCATGATCCCTTGCAGACCTGCCAACGCCCATCTCATGATTACAATTCAGTAGCAGATCACTGGACGCTGCAAATATTTGAGAGATGGTATTTTTCAAGCTTTGCTAATAAATTCAGAAGTAGTGGACAGACACTATTGTTTGTTATTTCAACCGAATTATGAATAATTAGGAATACAAAATAGTAAAGTGACTTCCAGATAAACATTAGAGTGCCACCAGTTCCTATATAAAAGCGATAAAGTTTTTTTTAAAGAATACACTCATTGATAGAGAATGTTTCTTGATGTCCTTCCAATAGACGTTGTGGACTCTGAGGGTAACTGCAGTTATCAGGATGTTTTAAACCACCTGAAACTGACCAGAAGCACCGAGCTGTACTCAATGACCAGACCCGTTAAACATCACAAATCGGCTACTCAAGTACACCTTCAAATGGCGATCTATGGCATACTCGATGTGGTAAGTTTTAAATAGTCTTTATTCCCTTTTTGCTGTTAATAAACATTTCCTCTTTTTTGTTTGTATCTTTTCATTCAACTGTGTGAACAAAGCCACTTTCGTGAAAAGCAAGAACAAACCATTCTCCATCTTATGCTGTTGATGGCACTCTTGGCCCATAAATTGTTGGTTTATACTGTTACAGGCCTCCTGGGAATTGTGCTAACATTGTCAATGTCTGATACCCTACTAAACTGATATGCAGCTTTTTTTTTACCAACTTCAGTGTTTTTAACAAGGTTCAGTCTGTGTTCAAAAAGCACATTCATCTGGTCCCAATCATGTTCATAATTTTGATCAGAGATCCTTGGTCATCCACGGTCCTCTTGCAAAGGGGTTGGACTCTTTTGGTTTAAAGTAAATGGATGCTTAATATTTGCTTCCAATCGCAAATAGCAAAAGGTATGTGGTGAGACATGCAGGGAACAGTAACTCAAAGGCTTGTGTCGCATATGTTGATGTAAATATGAATCTGGTTCTCACCGGTCAGCCGATGGAACACTCAAGACATCTGCCACAAGAAACAATTGGAACCATGGCCAACTTTAATTTATACCGTTTTGTATTATAAAATAGTGAACAATATTGCAATTGTAATTTATTTAATGTAAGTAGGTTGATGTTACGTGTTACGTATAGGATCTATTAGTATTATATGCATAAGCCACAATGTAAATACTGTATGCTTTCAGTTTTCTTTCTTTCCACGTTTTATAGAAATTCTGACTTTTAGAACTTCTATTTTATTTTCACAGCAGCCTAGTACTATGTTTGATGACAATTTTGCCCTGTGCATGGAATGGTATGGAAAAATTTTCACACATAGACCGTTTCTTTGCTCATAGAGGGAGATTGACCAGACTTTCGTTCTTTACGTTTGGATCTACATGGTGAGTTGTCTCTGAGTTGTCTCAAATTATTTTGATTAAATTGCACCTTTTGATTAAATTGCACCTTTTCTTTCTGTTTCCTAAATTCTTCGTCTGTGCTTCTTGAACCTCTCCATCCCTTCATTGCCCTGTAGAGCTGGGGAAATGATCACATTCGGTGGAATCAACATAAGTTTTGTGGACTTAAACATGTTGTCGTTCCCACGGAAGCATTGTGGAAGCCAGATCTAACTATTGAAGAGATGTAAGTTTGAATTTACATGCAACAGTGTGTAATACCAACGCACATTTGGTGTGCGAATGCAAATAGCGGGGCAAGATTGAGCATAATGCTTTTTCCATGATGAGTGTCTGTTTTCGCTCTACTACAGGACAGAGAAGGACAAAGCCCCTCCGAGTCCTTATCTCACAGTTACATATCATGGTCTCATCGAACTGAGGAACGACTTGATGCTGGTCAGCACCTGCAGGATGCAAGTTTACAAATTCCCCTTTGACATCCAGAGCTGCAACCTCTCTTTCAAGTCTGCAGTATACTCTGGTGAGTCTGTGAATTGGCCGGTTTAAACCTTTCTGGACATCCATGTAAAATGTTTTCTGCTCACTTTGACAACGTGTCACTTGAGCAAAATACCAGCACATGCCATTGCTGCTTTTTGAGAAGTTAGGAAACCTCACAGTCTCACTTTCATTTTCCACCTTAGATGACGAAATCAAATTTGCAGCCATCCTCAACGCTTCAAAGTTCACAGAGTGGTCTCGTGAGGTTATGCGGATCCAGTACGAGTGGCTGTTCCTCAACGTGACAGTCCATGAGAAAACTGTCAACAATTTAAGCTTCAACCAAAGCATGATTGTTTACACAGTAAGTATTACGTTTACTAATGAAAATGTTTTTCTTTAGATCAACATGTGGACTGTATCTGAGGTGGAAGATCAGACACCTAATCCTGAAATATTTCACAGATCACCATGAAGAGGCGGTCTGTCCTCTACATCGCCAACTTCTTGCTTCCGATCATGTTCTTCTTGGGTCTGGACTTGGCTTCCTTCCTGATCTCAGACAGTGGGGGCGAGAAGCTCGGCTTCAAGGTCACCGTGCTGCTGGCTGTCACTGTGATGCAGCTTATCCTCAACGACATCCTGCCCTCCTCTTCAGACAGGATTCCTCTCATAGGTAAAAAATAGTCAGTTCTTTATTGGACTGCAATTCTTATGAGCATGAGCAGCACATATTCTGAGACTTGGTTATTGGTTATTTATCATTGTTGATGATGCCTCCGCTCTTCAGCGGTCTACTGCATTGGGATGTTTGGTTTGATGATGCTGAGCCTCCTGGAGACCATTTTGGTGATGTATCTGATGGCTAAAGACAACGAGGCAGATAACAAACAAAGCCTGAGTGAGGACTGTGGGGACAAAATGGGAAAGGTTGTCCTCAACAACTCTGATCAAGGTGACAGTAAGTATAAATTCTAACAACCTTTGGATGTAAACTAAATGTTGTGTTATTATATTGTATTGCTTTGATTTGACCACAATCAGACAAATTCCATTAAATTATTTTAATACACTACTAGAATATTTGTGTAAACACCCCTCATCTTTTCAGAGGTGAGGAATTGGACACCATGTGGCTGTGTGTGTGAAGTCTCCACCGATGAACCTCCATCTGAAATGGTGTCGGTGGACAGAGAGGTGAGATCCGGGTTGCATTGTCTAGGTTTGGTTCACCAAAATAAAACAAGAAAATACAGACAACAACTATGAAAGTATAATGTATTCCCAATTATCCATTGGAATAAATGTTGCTGTATTCTGTTTACATTATTTAACCTTTATTTAACCAGGTAAAAGTCCCATTGAGATTGAGATCTCATTTTCAAGGGCGACCTCGCCAAGAAGGCAGCAGCACACATCGTTAAAAAACAGCCATAAAATACATATACATGACATGAGTAAAACCACAATACAAATTAAGTTAAAAAACTAAAATACAAAGAAGAAATAGTCAAAAGCAGAGGCACCATTCAACAGAAGTTCAGACAATTTCAGTTCAGCCTTGAGATTGTTCCATGTTGATGGGGCGGCAAAACTGAAAGCTTTTTTCCCCAATTCAGTCCGCACTCGTTGAATGTACAAGCAGTAAATATATATATAATATTATGTTTTAAAAAACGTAATTTCTGTGAACAAAATAAAATGTAATCATCTCAGAGATTCTTGCAAAAATATGTCAGAGATGGAAACCGTTAAACCAAATTCTTAATTACCTGGAAGACAAGATACCACATAATGTAAGTGAGAATATAGGTCTGTTAAATATTTGGATGAACCAACACTTTCATTCTCATCACAATGGGAACAAAGCAGGAATGTCAAACGTAGCTTTTTTCATTTATCTTTCATCGTCCCCAAACTTGTTAATTACCAGTCTACTAAATCCTTTCTGCAGGGCAACAGCCGCCAACTGGTGGAGGAGTCCAGTGGCTTGGAAAAGATCCTGTATGAGATGAAGGAGGTGGAGAAAACACTGAATCTGCTCCTCAACAGCAGAAAGGAAGAAGGGAAGCCTGGCTACTGGACCAGGATGACTAAAACAATCAACAAAGTTTTCTTCATTTGCTACGTCACAGTGGCCTGTCTGTTTTTAGTAGTCATCTTTACAATGTGGATCAATGCTCAAGATGAGTAGTAAAGTAAGATCAAGTCAAAACAGACATTAACTCATCTGTATTCTGTGTTCACATCATGTAGTTCCATCAGTCTGGAGCAGATAAATAAAGCATACTGTGTACCAAGTGTTGATTTTCTGAAGGCTATAGAATACTCAAACTCCGATGCTAGATAACCGTTGTTATCTCTGCTTCCAGGTTGAGGTGCTGCTTTTTCATTCATGTTAATACAACAGATGAACTAAAAAAATGGTTTAACGGCTGAGCAGGTAGTCCAGATGCCTGCATGCCAACATCCATCTCTACCACATGTGCCACGTATTGTTGTTATAATACAGCTAAACTGAGAAACTGACTAAACAACACATACAGGAAAGGCTCTGAAGTTAGCGTTTTATTGCGTAGCTTCAATATTTCTTTCTGTTTAAGATCATCTCTCTCATTATAAATGTGTCCTCCGACAATGTGAACAGAGCAACTTGGATTAAAACTATTAGTAGCTGCATTCGTCTAAACGACCACAAAAGCTCCATGGTAACATGCAGTGGTGGGGGTGCGGGTTTTTGCAAAGGGTCAATTAGTATGGAATCGACTAGGAACTTTGCAGTCACAGTACATGTACAGTATGGGGCATGCATGCTGTGGTTTTAAATGGATCTCCGATGGATAGACAATTTAGACGTTAAGAATTTTGCGGTTGAGGAGTGCTCATCCACCAGCCCGCCAACGTAAGCCTGTTTCATAATGGTCATTACATGACCACAATCACTACATATCACTGCAGATATTTGTGAGCTGGATTGATATTTAACGATTAAAGGCTCAGTACAAACGGCATGTATTTCACAAGTGTGTCAGAAAAGATAAGACTCCATAAACCAATGAATGAGAATGATAAGTTGTCTATATACAGTGCTTTGCACAGGTACTCATCCCCTTGGAGCCTCTCTTCTGTCAGAAAGAGGGAACCGTCACAACCATTAAACACATTCTTGGTAATTTACTCCAAGGGTTTCGCTGTATTTGGTTCCATCCACCTTTCCCTCAATTCTGACAAGTTTCCCTATAACTGCGCCCCCACAGCATGGTGCTACGACCACCATATGTCACTGTTGGGATGGTGTGCTCAGGGTGATGCGCATGTTCAGCAGTTTGCATTGAGGCCAGAAAGTTCAGTTTGTCATTCGTTTAGCCGTGTAACACAACAATATCTCGATATACGAGTCAGAATCCTTAATTTTTTTTTTCTCCAGCCTCAAAATAAATTCCTCCGATTAATTTAATTCTACTCAAATTGAGATATAAATAAAACCACAATTATTTTCAGGTGAAAACTGGCATTGAATGTTTGGTGAGATTCAGTTGAGTGATCATAGTCTGAATGTGTAGATGATGTATTTTTTGATGAGGAACCTCAGGAAAGGAGGGGCACTAGATAAAGAAAAAGACGGGAGGGTTGAAAGGAATGATGAATCCAGTGGTGAGGTTGGTAGTCCTTACTGTAGTAGAGGGGAGTCCAGATAGAAAAGGAGGGTGCTGGCTGTATGCTGAGGCTAGAGTCCGTGGTGGGGCGAGCAGGCAGGGGGAGAAACGGAAGGCTCCAAACGTGTAGCCAATTCCGGCAACAGGAGGTAGGCACTCTAGAAGCGAGAATAATCTGGCGAAGACTGGAGCTCCTGCAGATCCTTAAGAAGGGTGTTCAGACGAGGGTTGATTATTACCTAAGACTCAGAAAACAGCCAAGCATGATCGTGACACCATCAGCTTCGGCTGCATTTTCCATAAAACAAAATGCACACAAACCTTTTAACAATTCAGTGGCGTTGATTAATTTCAACAGCATTTGCTTAGAACACACGGCCATCTAACGGACATTGCCACGAACAGCATGCGTACATTTTTCTTTTTTATATAATAGCGATATAAATAATTTTAATAGATGCTTTGATACTTTAATCAATAGGTCACTCTGTCTAGGCGGCTGGACGAAAACCAAAAAAGATCTGTAGAAACATATCAGTGTAGAAATGGATCTATCACTATCGCCAGGTATTCAGGATCAATCATCGTTATATATTCATTTCCAGGTGCTATCAACTAAACATGACTGTCATGGCAGTAAATTAGAAGATGAGTATTGCTGTGCAGCTTAATGAAAATGAATCTGCGTGTAGTCAACCACTGTTGCTGACGCACTCCCATTGGCCACAAATGATTTATTTATATTCATAAAATACCTTTTCTTCTAATGTTACGCTTGCATCACAGACGAATTTCTACCATATTAACGTTCTGTTGCTGTTGCTTTTACTATGAAAATCTAACGTGCGTACTTCTGATTTAACTGCTGCGACTCATATTTTGTTTTATGACGTTAGGTAAAGAATGCATGAATTGATTTAACACAGACCCCATACCGCCACTTAACAATTCAATGTCACGTTTGATTGCTATGTTTTGGTCTAGTTTTGTTTTTTAATTAAACCGGTGATCCTAACGTTAGCTGGCGTCCTCCAGTCCATTCGAACACACACAAAGTAAATCGTCAGCGACGAATAGCATCCAGATTGCACCTTCTTTCACAGCTGAGAAAAAGTACGATCCATCGAACTTCTTTAGTTGTGACGCATTTTGTAACGACGATAATCGCTCTGACAGTATATCAGCTGTCATTCGGTGACGCAGCCGACCACCTGGCGGTTCACCCCGACGGGCCGGGAGAGGGCGGTCGGCCGGCCACATCACCGCAGCCCGTCCCCACGCCACGAAGGAGGGCCCCGCAGCCGGTCGCAGCTCGGGCCCTGCCGACCCCGCGAGATCCAGCCTTTCAACGGAGTAGTGATCCACCCGGCCTGACCGGCACTCTCTGAGGTGCGGGCAACCCGGACACTACCGGCGGGAGTGCCCGCTGAGGGAGGTGGGCCAGATAGTGCGGGTTGCCGGGCCTCCGGCACCCTCTCCCGGTCCAGGAGCGATGTACTGCGTTCCGGTAAGGATCCAGGGGGGTACACATCAGGCGATGGTGGATTCGGGCTGCACGCAGTCCATGATTCACCAGAGGCTGGTTCGACCCGGGAGGCATGGAGGCATCCCGGGTGAGTATTAAGTGGGTGCATGGGGATATTCACGACTACCCAGTGGTGCCGATAGAGATTAGATTTAGGGGTAAAAAGGATAAAGTAAAGGTTGCGGTTAGCTGCCGCCTGACTCACCTCCTAATCTTGGGGACAGATTGGTCGGGGTTTCATAAGTTAGCGGGGCAGTGCGCGGGGGTGCGTTCACGACCGACAGGGACATGCGGGATGTGTGCAGTGCTCAGTGGTGACGCAAGGCTGTACGACTCTGCGGACGGGGAGGGGGAACCGGCGGAGCTCCCCATGGAGCCGCCGCTGGTTCCGGAATTACGCTCCACGGAAGATTTTCCACTGCCTGCTTAGGAAGGTCCGAGCCCTGGTAAGAACGAGATTCAGTACGTCCTGGACCTGCGAGCCAAACTCCACACACTGGGTGAGTTATCACGTGAGAATTTGCTCCAGGCCCAGGAGCGTCAACAACGGCTGTACAACAGAGGGGCCAAGCTGAGTAGATTTACACCGGGAGAGAAAGTACTTGTATTGCTTCCTTCTTCTAGCTCAAAACTACTCGCCAAGTGACAAGGGAGCTTTGTGGTCTCACTGCGGGTAGGGGACGTCGACTATGAGGTGATGCAATCTGACAGGGGCGGGGCCACACAGATCTACCATCTCAACCTCCTCAAAGCATGGAGGGAGGCGGAGTCCGTGTCCCTGGTGTCTGCAGTAGCGGAGAGAGAGGAGCTGGGGCCAGAGGTCCCAAAGTCACCACCGATCTGACTCGGCTCCCGTTTGACGGCCACATCTCTGCAGCCCAACAAGCGGACATAGCCCGGTTGCAAGACCAATTTAATGATGTGTTCTCCTCTCTGCCAGGTCGCACGGATCTCATAGCATATCACATTGAGACGTCCCCGGGCGTGAACCACTGCTCCATACTCCTAACTTCTCTCTTCCTTTTGTCTTGCAGACTGATGCGTCGAACAGAGGGCTGGGGGCCGTTTTGTCCCAGTAGGTGCAGGGGGTGGACCACCCGGTCCTCTACATCAGCCAGAAACTGTCGGAGAGAGAGGTACAGTACTGTGGAGCAGTGTTAATTTTGGCAGCTATTTTTGATTTAGTCTTAGTCTTTAGACAAAAAATGCATATTAGTTTTAGTCACATTTAGTCATTTTAATCCTTCTTAGTTTTAGTCTAGTTTTCGTTTAGACGATCACGGGATGACAGGACAAGGCAGGAAGTGAAGTTACCCGGGGACACGAGTGGCAGAAAACTACAAAATAAGACAGGAAGTGAACCACACCGTGACAGTATCCCCCCCTCAAGGGCCAAATTCCAGACGGCTCTGACGAGAGCGGACAAGGGGTGGGAGGGTGGGAAACCCGAGACGTTGGTCGGACCACCCGGGAAACTCTGGCGGGCGGCCGGCGGGCGGCCAGACGACCGGGGAGCCTCGGAGGGTCGGCCCGGCGGACGGTCATTTGGCCGGCTCCGGAGCGGCGACTGCAGGGCACGGAACGTCTCTGGAATGGCAGGCTCGGGGACACGGGAAACCTCCGGGGTAGTCGGCGGCAGCTCGGGGACACGGGAAACCTCCGCGGTAGTCGGCGGCAGCTCGGGGACACGGGAAACGTCCGAGGTAGTCGGCGGCAGCTCGGGGACACGGAACACCTCCGCAGTCGGCGGCTCAGCCTCCCCCATAACCTCCCCCTCAAGGGTCGGATCCTAGACGGCCCTTAAATCACCAACGGGAGGGTGGGAGCGGACCTACCCTAGACAATCACACGATGACAGGACAAGGCGGGAAGTGAAGTTACCCGGGGACACGAGTGGCAGAAAACTACAAAATAAGACAGGAAGTGAACCACACCGTGACAGGAGGTTGTGGCGATTTTATCAATTACTTAGACTTCAAATGATGTACTTAAATAGTCCAACGTGAGCTCAGGTTTGTTTTTTGTGTGCACGATTTCCATCGAATACGTATGTGTGGACAGAACTCAATCTAAGAACATTGAGGAAATAGGATTAAATTGATTTAGTCCAACTCATTTTGATCAAAATCATCTCAAATGAATAGATTGATCAAATATAAAAGAATGTTGTTCGTTCAACTCAATCTGTCAAATCTTGTACCGATCTTATAAGTCTGCATGCTTGTGTTAATGTTATTGATAACTATTTTTTTTTTTATGTCTACAGGACAATTTGGGAGAAAATGTTCCTGCATCGGAGGGTCTCTCTTGAAATCGACAGACTCCTATCCTTATTCATTTATTTGATTTGATTGTATTTTGCTCCTTCCATAGGACATGTGCACGCTGGACTGACTGATAAGAAACACAATTACATCAACTGTTGATGTTCAACTGGCAATAACAAGTATGTGGTTACCAAGTAGTGATTTATCACAATCAGAAACAAGTATGTTGTACATACAATATTTTACTTGTTGGGATTGTGACTCTTAGGATGAATTTAGCTGTGTATTTTAACAATAAGTCTCCAATAACTATGGCAGGAAAACTTTACAGATACAAGATGTGTATCCCTTGAAGAAGGAAACAGTCTCATCCGTCACGGCAATACACCATTAAAATACATCGTTCATTTTATTTATTTTAAGACAATGGAAATCATAAAATTATTTTTTCATCCAAGGCGTATGATTCATTAGGACGACCTGCAAATCCATAGTCCAGGTCAACTAACTTTACTGGATTACTGCTGTACCTCCTCCCCTCTTTCATTCATTTTGAAAAAGAAAATAATCTGGCAACAAGGTCCCATGGTTGTCTTCAACGCTCAGAGCAGCAGATTACGAAAATGGACAGAATATGGTGTAAAAGAATAAGTTGGTGGTGGTGTTCACTATGACAAACATCTTCATCCATAAAGGACTTTGGAAAGAGATGTTTGTGCTGAAACATCTTTGTCTTTGCATGCAGGACAACTGTGCGGCTGCAAGTTATTTACACATTGCTTAGTTTCTTGCCAGCTGTTCTTCCCTTGGTTCCTGTGTTTTTCGTCCGTTTGACTATTAAAGTCCTTTTGTTTCCCGCAAAGTCTGTGTGAGGGGTCAGGACTTCGACTCAGGTGCAGAGCAATAAGGCAACAGAAAATTCTTTCAAGGTTTGGAATCTTTTACTAGGAGAGTAAACTATGCAAAACAAAGGGGGCACAGGCAAAGGCGGAATCCACACGCTCTTGTAGAAAACAAAAAGGAAGAGAGCCTGGCAACAAAGTAGAAACAAGATTACAAAAACAGCACTGGGAATTTAACAACAAACATGTACCTCTAGGAACGACAAAAGATAACCTGACACAGACAAGTGGGGGAACTGAGGCTTAAATACAGGTGGGGGTGATTACAAACTAAACTCCGCTGTGGGGGGGAAACTAGATACAGGAAGTGCCGTGGTTACAAAAATAAAACAGGAAGTTTATCTTCAGTCTCTTCGAGTCGTCACAGTACCCCCCCCTCTAGGGGCGTCTCCAGGCGACCCAGCGTGCTCGGGAAAGCGTCGATTGAAATCCCTGATGAGGGATGGGTCCATGATGTTGCCCGCCGGTTCCCACGACCTCTCCTCTGGGCCGTACCCCTCCCAGTCCACTAAGTACTGACAGCCCCTACCCCGCCGTTGGACTGCCAACAGTCGCTTCACGGTATACACGGGGCCCCCGTCGACGAGTCGGAGGGGGTCTGGAGGATGGGACCAGTGGGCTCTCCTTGACTGGCTTGACACGGGAAACATGGAACGTGGGGTGAATTCTCATGGTTCTGGGGAGGCGAAGACGGACGGCTGCCGGGTTGATCACCTTGATTATTGGATAAGGGCAAATGTACTTCTGGGCCAACTTGCGGGACTCCACCCGAAGAGGTAAGTCCTTTGTAGACAGCCAGACCCTTTGTCCAGTTCGGTAACGGGGAGCGGGACTCCGATGCTGGTTTGCCCGCCTCTGGTACTGCGCCGACGCGCGAAGTAGGGCGCACCTCGCTCTTTTCCAGGTGAGGTGGCATCTGCGGACAAGGGCATGGGCCGAGGGAACCGAAACCTCCCCCTCCAGGTTGGGGAAGAGTGGGGGCTGATAGCCATACACGCACTGGAAGGGCGAAAAACCTGTGGCAGAAACGGGTAAAGAGTTATGGGCATATTCAATCCAGATGAGATGCTTACTCCATGCCTTGGGGTTCTGCGAGACTATGCAGCGCAACCCAGTCTCCATCTCCTGGTTGTATCGCTCTGTCTGGCCATTGGACTGGGGGTGATACCCAGATGATAGGCTGGCCGTGGCCCCAACCAGAGAGCAAAACTCCTTCCAAAAGTGCGACGTGAATTGCGGGCCCCGGTCAGAAACAACGTCCTGCGGGAGACCATGTAGCCGAAAAATGTTAGACAGGAGAGCCTCTGCCGTCTCCTTGGCGGAGGGTAATTTTCTCAGGGGGATGAAGTGAGCCATCTTAGAAAACCGGTCAATGACTGAGAGGATGACTGTATTACCTTCAGAGGCTGGGAGACCAGAGACGAAATCAATGGAGATGTGGGACCATGGCTGCCGGGGGGTGGGGAGAGGCCGGAGTAAGCCAGCTGGTGGACGACGTGAGGGTTTGCTCTGGGAGCAGACAGGGCATGCAGCAACATACTCCCTCACCTCCTTCATCATGGCAGGCCACCAGAACCGTTGTTGAAGAAAGCTCAGGGTTCGGCCGCTGCCCGGGTGGCAGGTAAGTTGAGAGGTATGTCCCCAGTGAATGACCCGAGAACGCAGCGACTTGGGAACAAATAGGCGGTTAGGTGGGCAACCCTTGGGGACTCTTACCCTCTTGAGAGCTCCCTTAACCTCTTCCTCGACTCCCCATGTCACTGCCCCAACTGTGCAAAAAGGGGGCAAGATGGTGGACGGTGCAGTCAATGGAGCGTCCGGGTCGAATAGTCTTGAAAGGGCATCCGGTTTTGTGTTCTTAGATCCTGGACGGTAAGAAAGAGAGAAGTTGAAACGGGTGAAGAATAAGGCCCACCTGGCTTGTCGGGAGTTGAGTCGCTTAGCTGATCTGATGTACTCCAGGTTCCTGTGGTCGGTCCAGACCAAAAACAGATGTTCTGTCCCCTCGAGCCAGTGCCTCCACTCCTCTAGGGCCAGCTTGATTGCTAGTAGTTCTCGATTGCCCACATCATAGTTTCTCTCTGCGGGCGACAATTTCCTGGAAAAGAACGCACATGGATGAACCTTATTGTCGACCGCAGAGCGTTGGGACAGTACTGCTCCCACCCCAAGATCAGAGGCATCGACTTCGACAATGAATTGAAGCTTGGGGTCAGCATGAGTCAGGATTGGGGCGGAACAGAATAGCTTCTTCAGGCCCTGGAAGACCTGTTCCGTGGCCGGGGTCCACTGAAAGCTAGTAGCCGTGGACGTGAGAGCATGGAGAGGGGCGGCTATGGAGCTATAATTCCGGATGAAACGTCTATAAAAGTTAGCAAACCCCAGGAATCTCTGCAGTTGCTTGCGGGTTCCGGGCTGGGGCCACTCTGCTACAGCACTAACCTTTGCAGGGTCCATCCGCACACTTCCTGACGACACAATAAAACCCAGGAATGACACCTCTGGGGCATGAAATACACACTTTTCTGCCTTGACAAAGAGCTGATTCTCGAGCAGTCTTTGGAGAACCTGGCGGACATGTTGAGTATGCTCCTGCTCTGACCTGGAAAAGATCAGAATATCATCCAGGTAGACAAACACAAATCTGTTTAGCAAGTCCCGGAGTACATCGTTCACTAAGGCCTGGAACACCGCAGGGGCATTAGTCAGACCAAAAGGCATGACCAGGTACTCATAGTGTCCGCTGGTCGTGTTGAATGCAGTCTTCCATTCGTCCCCTTGCCTAATACGCACAAGGTGGTATGCATTCCTGAGGTCGAGTTTGCTGAATATGGTTGCGCCTTGTAACAGCTCAAAAGCAGAGGAAATTAAAGGGAGGGGGTACCTGTTTTTGGTGGTTATTTCATTAAGACCCCTGTAATCTATACAGGGGCGTAGGGATTTGTCCTTCTTCAACGAAAAAGAATCCAGCTCCAGCTGGAGAGGACGACGGCCGGATGATGCCGGCAGCCAAGGAGCTCTGGATGTAGGTCTCCATGGCCTCTTGCTCCGGTGCAGACAGGGAGTAGAGACGGCCTCTCGGAGGTGAAGTGCCTGGTAGGAGGTCAATACCACAATCATAGGGACGGTGCGGTGGCAGGGAAGTAGCGCGAGCCTTGTTGAAGACCTCCTTTAAGTCCTCGTAGGCGGGGGGAACAGAAGTAATGTCGGGAAACTCTGAAACAATGTTAATAGGTTTCGGAGAGGCTGCAGCAGAGGTTAGGCAGGTGGCATGGCATTGATTTCCCCAACCCAAAATTAACCCAGACGACCAGTCAATATGGGGGTTGTGTTCCTTTAACCAAGGATTACCCAGAATCAGGACAGCTTGCGGTGAATGGATGAGGTGGAATGATATTTGTTCAGAGTGATTACCTGATAGTAGAAGGCCCACAGGCTGGGTGCGGTGAGTAAACCGGAACAGTAGTCTCCCATCCAGCGCGGTCGCCACCAGAGGGTGAGGAAGGGGCTCTGTAGTCAGCCCTAGTTCCTTTGCCAAACTGTGGTCCATAAAGCTAGCGTCAGCCCCAGAGTCTATGAAGGCCGACAGACTTACTGACTGGGTCGCGGTGAACACCCGGGCACGGGTAAGAGGTCTGGATCCAGGAGGTTCGGACGTGGCGAGGCTCACCAGTAACCTCCGGTCTACTGATGAGCCCTGTCTTTTGCTGGGCAATGGGCCTGGATGTGGCCAGGTTGTCCGCAGTAAAAGCAGCTCCCCTCTTTGAACCGGCCCTGTCGCTCGCCCGGAGACAGACGAGTGTGTCCCACCTGCATCGGCTCCACAGAGAGAGCATGCGCTGGCGCACCGCCTCGGGATGCTGTAACCTTGGGGTGGTGTTCTCCTTGGGCAGGGGGACGGACAACGTTAGAGGAGCGTTCCTTGCTTCTCTCCATGAGTCTATTATCCAACCGTACCGCCAGGTCCACAAGGGAGTCCAGGTCCTCTGGGAGGTCCAGAGGGGCTAGCTGATCCTTGATGTTGTCCGCTAGGCCATGGTGGAAGACGTCGGCAAGCGCGTGGTTGTTCCATCTGCTCTCTGCTGCTAAAGTGCGAAACTCAATAGCATAGTCCAGTACTCTTGTCTTGCCCTGCCGAAGACTAAGAAGAGCCCTTGAGCTCTTGCGGCCGGGGGTTCCATGGTCAAAAACCCTTGTAAGGGCTGAAGAAAAATCTGCATAGGACTGGCAGACCGGTGACTGTTTAGTCCATTCGGCCGTGGCCCATTCCCGAGCTCGGCCGGTCAGGTGGGTAATGACCGACGCCACCCTTGCCCTCTCCGTGACGTAGCATGAAGGATTAAGTTCAAACAGTAGCAAGCAATTTGTCAGAATAAGAGCGGCAGGTGCCTGGGTTTCCATCGTACCTCTCGATCTGGATCCCTCTGGTGTCGTGGATGGGATAGCGGCGTCTGAACGGCCGGCCCCTCCCGTGGAAGGGGGGCCCGGAGGCGTCCGTTCGCTCTGGGTCAGCAGCCCCTACCACTCCTTGTGCCTGGTGTGAGAGTGAGCTGATCATGTCCTCCAGGGATGACTGGAAACGCCCCTGATTGGCATGAAGCTCCTGCATGGAGGCGGCGAGGGAGTTTAGTAGGTGCTCGTGGTAGTGGAGCTGTTGGCCCTGGTTCTGGATCACGGCTTGAAGTGGCTCTGCTGAGTCTGTCATGGTCAGGTTATGCTGTGAGGGGTCAGGACTTCGACTCAGGTGCAGAGCAATAAGGCAACAGAAAATTCTTTCAAGGTTTGGAATCTTTTACTAGGAGAGTAAACTATGCAAAACAAAGGGGGCACAGGCAAAGGCGGAATCCACACGCTCTTGTAGAAAACAAAAAGGAAGAGAGCCTGGCAACAAAGTAGAAACAAGATTACAAAAACAGCACTGGGAATTTAACAACAAACATGTACCTCTAGGAACGACAAAAGATAACCTGACACAGACAAGTGGGGGAACTGAGGCTTAAATACAGGTGGGGGTGATTACAAACTAAACTCAGCTGTGGGGGGAAACTAGATACAGGAAGTGCCGTGGTTACAAAAATAAAACAGGAAGTTAATCTTCAGTCTCTTCGAGTCGTCACAGTCTGCGTTTGAGTCCTGCCTCCCACCCGCATCCCTGACAGTGTTTTAATATCTTGTGTTGTCAAACCCAACTGCGAAATACAAAAAATACTCAGGGGACTTTCAAGTATGGGGAAAATAGAAGCAAATCATCACATATTAGATGATTGAAACAATTATTAAGTTACCAAATGCATTGCCATGTATTCTTTCAACTCGTTCAATACGTGTAGTATTGATAAATGTTAAATCTTTTTTGAATTAACTTAAACAACTTTAATCCAAAAAGATAACTACAACACGTCATGACTAAATACAATATTTTTCTTATTTATTTTTCAATACTTGTATCATTTTGATTCTTGGTTAACTCTTATTACTCTTTCCCTTTCATTAAATGATAACGCATGCACAAACCCATGCTAGCCTGCACAGCTGTCCTCAAGCCCCAGAGATCCTCATTGCTTCTCAGTGATTTGCCTCGCCGTCTCCACATAGACAATGTAGACACAATAATACACGATCTGATATGCTGCACAGGGATAGAAAGCAGAGGCGATGCCTTTAGCTGGACACAGAGCGGCGCAAGAGTCTCAGAAATGCTGGTTTCATTTTGGAGGTGAGGAGCTCAGTGACGCGCAGCTCGGATCCCCCCTGATATTATCATGTCGTACCCCATTAAACGTGCAATACTTAGTAATATAGACATTGACGCATAACATATAAAAGAAACTCGCTAAATCGGTCCAATAAAGTACAAGCTTTTATAACAAATAAAAGAAATACTCCTTTAAATTGCAAAACAGTCTCTAATTGAAGTGCGTATATTATATTGCGGCCTTCTCGTGCATGTCTTTAATATGTAAATCTCCTCTATTGTCATAATTACCGACCAACAGCCGACAGCCGTTGTCCCGATTCAGCAGCTGAAATAACAGTAATTCACTGCGGTCAACTCAGCCGACGCTTGAATATTAGTGCACGTATATGCTGACAATTACGGTGTTGAATGAGTAACCGGGGGAAAGGCTATTTAAATACCAAATTCCGGACAATTATAGAACTATGTGTGTACAGGAATACTTGTGTACAGTAAAACAAATATATGTACAGTACAAATTTGGAGATTTCTCCAAAGAAAAAGCCCTATAATTGCAATTTCAAAAACACCATTTCTCCATATTTGAGCTGCAATAAAAACAGATGTATTGATAGTTCCAAGGCAAGACCAATGTACCTGTGTTAAGGACCTCTCTGACTACTACCATGCTGAATATCAAGTATTTTTACGGTACCGATTTGGAGATTTCAGTTAAATATGTTTAAACATAAATAAATTACCTACAGAAGTAGTTATGTCTCGTTGTATTAATTTGTCCTGTTATTGACGTGTCTAATGCGGATATAAACCAGATATTCGAATACATTCGAATTTTGACAGCCCTAACCCTGGTCACTGGGCAATAATCGAAAATATATGTATACACATGTGTATATATATATATATATATATATATATATATATATATACACATGCGTATACATATACATATATTTTCTTACATTATTACATACTGTACATCTTTACATCATGGGGGTGAGAAGTTCGGGAAGGAGGGGGGTGGGGAGAAGGAAATCTGTGTGTGTTGGGGGTGCAGGGTTATTTGAGGGGGGGTGGTGGTTTGGATAAGATAGTAGAGGGGGTGTATAGAAGGGATTTGGGGGGGCTGCTAGTCGAAAGAAGTAAGGGGGGAAGGAATTGAGGGAGGGGGTGGACTTTTGCCATGGGGGGTGAGAGGTGAGAGGTTAAGGAAGGGAGAGAGATAGGGAGAGAGCATGCTTCCCTATGAACTGAAAATCTTTTCCTTTAACATAAACGATATTCACCGATTTCCAGCACAAAGGTCTCGTCTTTGCAAGCAGCAAACTGCTCAAGCCCTGTCTCTCCGTAGGCATAATTTATTAAGCTTTCAACCAGAAAATGAATAAACCAAGATATTAAACAAGCAAGAATGTTTCATACTGATTTAAAGGTGCCCAACTACATATATTTGTGTTAACAGAATTCAATGTACCACTCAGACTAAAAGGATGGTGATTAATGAGAATGGAATGAATCATGAGTAGTTCATGAACTTCAGTGTGAGCTGAAGGCCAAAACCCTTCTATACCAGCAATGTCACGTGCTGTCCAAACAGTTTACAGACGATCAATCTGCTTTCTTCCCTGATGTCATTACCACGTTGTTTTGCTGATCAAGTTTCGCTTAAATTGAATTCTACCTTCTCATATGATGTAAACTGTTGAGGTTTACACCCTCTATCATTCAGTGTAAAACAAGATCACATTATGCTTTCAGATGGATGAATCCTCTCCACCTGCCTTTCCCTTAGTTTTATTATTTGTTCCCATCCATCTCGTATGTGAGACAAACCAGGGCCTGCTGACCAGCTCCTGCTGTCCGGTGTGGGAGGGGTTTCTCACTACAGGAAGAGGTCATTCATTCATTAAGCGAAGCCCTCGTCGGTTGAAATCAGAGAATCACAGATCCGGTCTTGTCCTACAGAAGAGACACACACTGGACACAAAGCTGCTCCAACACACACAAACAAACACACACACACGGCTGCAGATATGATGCACCTGGCTTTTCTCCTCCTGATCATCTTCACAGGTAAGAATCTGTGCTGCGAGCATTCTTGATGGTGTTCATGTGTTTGACGTTTGACATTGGACATTATTTCTGGTTGTGTTTGAGAATATGGAGCTTGTGTTTGTTGTTTTGTTGTTTGTTGTCACAGAGCAACGATGCAAAGCTCAAACCCAAAATGGTCAAAGTCAAAAGTCAAAGCCAAAACATCATTGGTTTGCCTGCCTTAAATTCTTTTATTGTTTTGATAATAGTGCTTCATTTAAAGGAAGAAGCCATCCTCCTATCAGGGCATTTATGATCTGATAAATGTACAGAGAAGTCTATTCTGCTCCGTGTCAACCAGCTTTGAATATAATGGAAATATTTTTTTGTTTAATGCAAAAGAAGGAAAATCAAGGAAATAAAAGCTAATAATAACACCACTGCTTGATAATGTGGTGATTTTCTTATAAAACATTTTTTTTATAAAACTTCTTTATAAAAAACGTTTTAAACACAGATGGCTCGTCCTCCCAGAAGGTGTGTAGCTACCAGGATGTAGTGGAGTACCTGAACCTCACTGCAGACAACAGTGTGTTCAGAATGACCCGACCCGTTCTGGACCACAAACGCCCCACGGTGGTGCAGCTGGACATCATCCTCTTTGCCCTCCTGGCTGTGGTCGGTGCAGCATTACCGTGTTTGTGTGTCATTCACCTGATGGATGATGGATTCAGTTGAGCTGTTTTGAAGTTTGGAAGTTTATTAACCCGTCTGTTTATCCCCAGATTGAGAAAACGCAAACCTTTGTTCCTTTTGTCTGGGTAATAATGGTGAGTTTGGATTTTTTAAATGGTGACTCTCCTGAACTTTCTTTTTTATTCATCATCAGCTGACTGTCATTTTTCTGTTAATTGACCTTTCATTTACTGCAGAAGTGGAACAATGAACGCATCTCATGGGACCCGGCTCAGTTTTGTGGAATCACTCAGATTTCTATTCCTAAGGAAATGCTCTGGAAACCAGACCTCTTTATTTATGAAATGTGAGCCAGCAGCACACACAGACACACTGTGGTTTATTAAAAGATCTGTGCACAACAAGCACCTACATTGTTCAGCAATTACAGCTGCTACCCCAATTGCGGCCTTTATGCTAAGCTAAGCTAAAACGCTGATGTTATACGATTTACATTTGGTAATCCTTTAAAGGTGAGAACTGCAACGGGTCATTTGAAATAAAAGAAATGAAAGGGAACCTAAAGGGAATCGGATTTGATGGACTGCTAAACAAATGTGTACCTGGAGAAGACAAAAGGAAAGCAAATGTTTGGTGGAGAATGGAAGGTTTCTCTTAAGAATTAAAAACACAGCCGCTTTTAAACTATTGTGAAGAGCAAACACAATCTCTTCGGGTAGTGACAGGAGGAGCTCCATCTATTATTCCTTCAGTTAATGATTATTGGGAAATACCTAGTGGTTTAATTTCTTACAAACGTAACATGAAAAGATTTTGAAGTGTGAAGTGTGTTTGTGTCTCAGGACACAGAAGGATGAATCCCCTCAGAATCCGTACATGTACGTGTCCTACGACGGGACGGTCTCTTCCGAAGAGGAAATGAAGGTGGTCAGCACTTGCAAAATGGACGTCCACAAGTTCCCCTTCGACATACAGAGATGCAACATCTCCATCGGCTCTGCGGTGCACTGCGGTGAGTGAACGGCTGTGTGGTTCAGGGCAGAATGGGCGGAATCTCATTCCGGCCACAAGGTCCTTTCACTCAGACTTTCTCCCCGTCTCCTCAGTTGATGAGATTCGTGTCTTTCCGTTCTCCAACTCGTCTCGGGCCACCCAGTTTTCCCGAGAGGTGATAAGGACTCAGGGAGAGTGGGAGTTCCTCCAACTGACCGTAACCAGTCAAAATTTCACCATAGACAATAAACAGTGGGAATATCTCATATACACTGTACGTATGTACTTATATACACACACACACACGTTACATTATGTTCTTGTTTTGGTGTTGGAACTAGTTTTTCTCTGGATACACAATTGAGAATTTGTGTGCACTAAATTCTAATTTGTTTTCACTTTAGTTAACTTCTGCTTTATTAATATATATTACTTATGGTAACCAAAAAAGGAGATTCAAGATTTATTAAATAAAAAAATGAATAAATAAACATGTAATATATGTGTAAATATCATACGTATATCTGTCTATATGCTTATAGATATATATAGAAATATTCAAATGAGTTTACACAAGTAAAATCGTTTTCCCCCCGTCCATCTAGTCTGACCTTTGCACCTATTTTTCCAGTTCACCATGAAGAGGAGGCCACTCCTCCACGTCACCAACTTCCTGTTGCCCATCCTGTTCTTCCTGATTCTGGACCTCGCCTCCTTCTTCATCGAAGACCGCCGAGGAGAGAAGCTGGGCTTCAAAGTCACCATACTGCTGGCCATCTCCGTCCTGCTGCTCATCCTCAATGACATCCTGCCCTCCATGTCCAACAAGACTCCCCTCATAGGTACTGACTCCTGCTTTCAGGGCATTCTGAACGCCGTGTTGTGCTTCATTGAGAGGTCAAGAGATCAACAAAACAAAAAGGCAGTTATTGTTTGTCTCCTCCACTCAGCCACCTACTGCGTCGTGATTTTCGCTCTGATGCTGCTCAGCCTGCTGGAGACCATCTTGGTTACATATTTCATGGAGAAAGACTGTGCCTCCAAGGAGAAGATCAGGCTGAGGGAAAACAGGGAGAACAAGCAGGACACCTTCATCACAGGTGAGACGCAGATCTTATTGGAAGCTTGTTAATTGGAAACGTCTGGAAGACCTTATTTCTGTTTTTCAGTCGTAATTTACATTCTTGAGGTAATTTAGGCCTTGAAAGCTTTTCTAGATCAGCTATTTCCTTATAAATCCACATCCTTTGTGGGCCCTCGTTGACTTATGACTACGGATGTTTTCTCTTTTGCATTTGGTCACAGGAATGTGATCAAATAGAAAAACACAATCCATGATTTCAAGTGCTTTTCCTATGCAGCTTTATAGTGGATCACGTTTCCTGTGCAACCATCTCTTTCAGAGGAGAAAAGACAAAGCGGCTGTCTGAGCATCTGCAAAGCGTCAGATGGTGAGAAACAACATGAATTGCTGCCGATGGTTCAAGAGGTAAAGACAATGTCGGTTCCAATGAAACATCATTATCACAAGACAGGTGGTCAAAACTGGGTTTTAGACCAAAATGTATTGTCTCGTCAGGTTAAATGTAGATTAAAGGTCATTAAAATTGGGTTAGATTTTGAACTTCATAAATTGCTCTGAAGTCGGAGCATCTACTTTTCCCACGATTCCTTTTGCTTTTAGTGAAATTAAATGCTTTGCTTTAAAAGCGACCCCAAATGCTTTGATTTAGATTTCATCCACAAAATAATCCACATTTATGAATTACATGTATATTTCTATTTGTACATTTACATCATGACCTAAGGGCATTAATCTCATTAAACCATCCAAAGTATTAATGAGGTGGCAGACAGTAAAGAAGGCGGTTGTGTCCACCTGGCTTGAGACATGAATGCATTCATAATCCCAGTCATGACTCCTGATGTTTGCAGGTTAACAACAGCGTTCAGGCCCGAGAGAGTGACACGTTGCTGCTGATCTTGGAGGAGCTGAAGGAGTTGCAGAATATTTTGAATCTGCACCTCGTCTGTAGACAGGACGGAGGGAAGTCTGGCCTCTTGGCCGCAAGAATCAACAGAGCTTTCTTCATTTTCTACATCACCATCGTGTCACTGTTCCTCACCCTCATCTTCATTGCATGGACCACTTAAACCTTTTTAACCATGTTAAACCTTTAAGTCAAGACATGCCGTATGAATTTGATGTAGAATCTAGAAGTTGTGCCATGTTTGGTATCTACAATGTCTCATTGTGAATCTATTTAATTCAGTTTAAATGAGATAACTTGAATTGTATTTACTCTATCCTGCAGACTGGTGGCGCCAAAATCTTTAGTGTTGATGAAGAAAAGGTCCTTGCAGAGCTGTCTAGGGCTTTGCCTTTTAATAAGATTGTATAAAATGTGTGGGGAATAAATCACAAAATAATAATAATGTTTGAGTTTTGAAAAAGGCAAAAAGCAAAACAATGACCATTTTAAACATATTTGTGTGCTGAAATAAATATATCAAAACCTTGTGTTGTGTTTTTAAATGGTTAAAGACGCTCAGCATCCACCGGAGGGTTTAAAATCAGCATTTAAATAGTTTTCAGAAGCTGATCCATCAATGGTCACATTGACGTAGAAGCCACAACAAGGTTGATATAATTGTTTAAAATGCAACCCACAAGAGCTCATGTGCAGTACGAGTAGAGACACATGCAGGGGCGGACTGTGGGTAAAAAGTGGCCCGGGAGTTACTGTCAATCCGGCCCACTTAACACACGGAGGGTTGCCCACTCAGATCATCACACATTTTGACCCATACGCAAAATCGGATTGTCGGACATCCAACATCGCCAAACCATTTCACATTATTTCATCTTTCGCTCTGGACAAACATCCGTCCATCTTGTGCCAGACCTCACAGGTCATCAGTCACTCAAACCCTAAACTGATCTAATCCGTCCTGATGCCCACTATGTCGTGGACACATCATCAGACTCTGGCGTTATTGCCGTGGAAGTAAAAACCGGAGGAGAAAAAACATTGTGTATCAATTTATTGAGTTGGAGATACCTGCTCTAAATCAGCACGTGAGAGCATGTTGTACATTCGCTTCTCCCTCTCCTCATCCAGCCACTACCTGCGGTCCCACGCACCCCAATTCCACGCCCCCATGCTCACTTGTATCCAGTGCCAATAAGCTTCTGTACACATTCTCTGTGAATCCCTCAACTCTTCCATGTTTCAATGCGTTTGGGCCGTCCCTCGACAACCTATTAGCCAAGTAACACTGAATTAATTATTGTTACTAAGACATCATATCTATTTCCACCTAATTTTTGATGTAAGGAGAAAGCGTACAATCAATTGCACCAGCTGGTTCACCATGGCAACTGTAAATACACACGTATATACCAATCAGAATAGCACACTATACTCATTAGACATAAATTGTGTTATGGTGTGATAAGAGAAAAACAGCTAAATGTTTATTAGTTGCAGTAAGTGCACTAATGTCAGCAGGGGGACATTGTGGTTTCTGTAAATTATTGGTTTTGCATTTTAGCATGGCTTGTTTTTACATTTTAGCGTGGCTTGTTTTATAACCTTTTAGCATGGCTTGTTTTTACATTTTAGCGTGGTTTGTTTTATTACATTTTTGCATGGTTTGTTTGATTACATTTTTTTACATATTAACCCACCTTTTAGTAAATTACATGCACCTGGAGGGACTAATCAATTACAGAGAGCCCTGGCCAACCACATTACACAATGAAAGGACCTCCCCTCTCCAATTAACACAGCTGCTATAAAGGCCCCAGAGAAGGAAGAGGCCACAGCGCGGGGGAGCCACAGGAAGGAAGGCAGGCCGGCCACAGAAAGGTGAAGCCACGGGCAGGAGAAGCCACGGGAAATCGAGCGAGAGGGCGGCCAGACAACGGACGAGCAGGCAGGGTGCAACGGGGAGAGGAACGAAACGGACTGGACACCTCACCCAGGAAAGGAACGGAACCGGAAACAAGAAAAAAGGGCAAGACCGACCAGCAGCAGTGGCTGGTCGAATTCTTAAATCCTTTTAGTACCTTGTTCCAACTGGACTTTTAATATTGTAGTTATTTATGGGTTTTTAGTTAATAATAAAATCCTCCTTTTAAAAACCACGCTTTTAAGTCTTGTGATCCATGCTGTTCTTCCTCTGGTGAACAAGAACCTGTTTTATGGAGACCTAGACTCCGCAACTAGGTGGCGTTGCTGGTACCTTTTTTATAAATTTATCTTCTTTTTATTACATTTTAAGTCCCCCGCCTCACAGGGCTGACACTAACAGCAACATCATTACGGTACATTTAGTCTCCACCAACCTCTTATTTCTCCCCTTAAAAACCACTCAAGCAGGATGTACTGACCACTGGGAGTGACCACCATCTGACTGTCGGACTAATGACATTATAAAAAGAATGCAGAAACTATCATTGATCCAGTTTGCCCGTTCTTCCAGTGCCAGACGGTGTTTCTATTACCGGAACATTCTCGGTGACATTTCCAGACAACGCTGTAAAGACGGAGACACAGAAGACCTGTGGAGACGTCTCACTGAGTTTGGAGTTGCAGTCATGATTCTTGCTGGTTTCTTGTCCGTGCTCTTCTTCACTGGTAAGCTTGGACAATATTCGGCATCTCCTGCAGGATGGAAGGAGGCTAAAGTCATTTCCTGAATATTCTTGCGGTTCGATGATTAAAATAATCAAACCTTTTGTCTTACAAATTCAAGCTTGGAAAACTACTATGACTAGTTTCATCGTTGTTTTATCTTGGTGTTTATAAAGAAGGAATGAAGAAAAATATGCACGTCGAGCCAAACACCACCAAACTGTTACATTATTGGACGATAAAGTACAGCCTTTCGTGCTTTAAAAAAGTATAAAGATAGCACTGGTTGTATTGTGAAATTCTAGTTCACTGGTATAACATTTTATATACAAAGTCCCTTTGCCCTTAAACAAACACACACATATGCATACTGTCAGTTGTGGAGACCACAGTCTTTTTGCTGAGAAACTCATAGATATCGAATCATAGAATAATTTAATCTCTATGTAGATGAAGTGTAATTACAGTGTATTTGATTTAATTGGTTCTAGGCTGTAATGTCTACTGTGGGAGTGACTGCTTTCTCAGGATGGATGTTAGAATTAGATTAGAATTAGAAAACTACCTAAACAAACAAGCACAGAGACACCGCTGGATTTTGTGATTTCAATTTTCTTGCTAGTAATGATAGTTATATTAGTATTGTCATACGTGAGCATACTCATGTTCACATTCAGCAGGAAGCATCTTTGTGTCCAAATACAGCATCAGAGGTGCTTGTTATTTAATTATAACAAAACAAAGAATTATGAAGCACCTGCATGTAACTTCACAGCCGGCAGCTTGTGGGGGATGTTCCCAGGAGTTTCTATTGCATAAGTTCTGTTGGACTCTTCCAATAAAAGGAGGGGTGGTGATTACACCTTGACAAACGTTTCCAGACACCATAGAGGACGAGGTCACAGTCATGATGCTCGCTGGTTTCTTCTTTCTGTTCCTCGTCTCAGGTAAGACGGAACATTTCTGTTGGCTGGAAATGTTTTTCTTCATCACAACACAATTTAGGGGAATTAGGTTTGGTTAATGATACACAATTTGTCAGGATACAGAACTTGACTAAAATGGCCTTAAGCTGTTTCCCAAAACTGTTCCCAATGTGTTTTTTAACACACTTCAGAGCCTTTAAACCATTCACTGGTATCAGGCTAAAGGCTGTGAACTTCTTTTGTCAGGTGGGAGCACCTCCAATATTTCGGAACAAACAGAACTTCAGGATGATCAACCAAACTTCAATCAGGACAATGATGAAGGTGTGTAATCAGTAATCATTTAAATATTTATTATATATTTGCCACACAGTAAACTGAAAAAAAGTATTTTAACAAATGATTATTTGTTAAATGTGTAATGATTAACATGGGCTGACCCTAGATATAATGACCCGAGGGTTCCTTGGGTCATTATGAAGGGTTAATGAAGCCTGAAGGGTTCCTAAAACCCTTCAGGTGCAGAGGATAATTCTCCTAAACGGGGACAGTGTTCCTGAATGACGATATTAACATGTTTGATTGTTCTTTTACAGGGTTCAACATCTCAACGACAGACATCTTGAAACCACCAGAGCTCAGTGGGAAAATATTTATTCAAAACATTCTGTTTACAATGATAATTTTCTAAAAGGAAAAAAAAAGTTCAAACCTTTTCTCAAACAAAGTTTATTGTGTGGGCTTAGAGTTTTGTTTAAACTCCTGCGATTAAGTTGAACCTGTGTACTTTTTATTGCTAGATGGAAGTACCAACCAGGACTCAAAATATCCCGAGCTTCAACAGGGGAACTATACAAACCAGAATGATACGAACACGACTGTCATGTTTCAACGATCTGAAGGTCTAAAATTACATTTTGTGGTGATTTTCTTTCCTATTTAGACTAAACCTTCTAATATGTAACATGATGTCATGATGTTTTCACTGTAGATGGTAGGATCCACACAAACTGCTCCCATCGGGCTGTTTATAAGTACTTGAAACTGGTGAAGGACAACGACATTTCCAAGATTGGTCCTTCTTTTTATAATTTCCCCACAGAGGTAAACGTGGAAGTACGTCTCTATGCCATTCTAGATGTGGTGAGTGGCTACTTAAGTTTATAAAGTAAAATTAAAATATATTGTTTGTCCATAACGTATCACGATATTACCAAACCATGCAAGAGTTTGATGAGGCTGATGTTTTACTGTTTACCAGTTTCCAGAATAGTTTCTGTGCTCAGAGTGTTTTCTAATTTAAATTTGATGGGCGTTAATTAATGAATTGATGTTTGTTCACTCACAGTGAGTACATCATTCTTTTTACATGTTTTTGTTTTCTCATAGAACGAAAAGGAACAGCGATTTGTTTCCTACATTTGGATTGTGTCGGTGAGCATTTTGACTTGAATTAATTCTCACCTCTCCCTTCTTTGAGAAACTCAAATATCTTTTGTTTCAAGGCACTTTCCCACGTTTTCCTCTGTAGTTTTGGTACGACCCTGACATATATTGGAAGCCTGCAGATTTCTGCAATATTTCGACAATTTATCCCCCTTCGGATGTATTGTGGACTCCAGATCTAACAATCGAAGAGATGTGAGTTTTTATGTGAATACTCTCATCCTCAACCTTCCACAACACACGTTATTGTTATGTCAAATATCATTGCGTTTAGGGATCTTGATCTAGTTCGAGCTGAGAATAAAAATATTTTTTGAGTGGAGCTACCAAGGTTTTCTTAACATGAGCTAAAGGATAATTTTTAAAGTAAATCCAGTTAACATTTCTCTGGCTCTTGCTGGTACTTGGAGATGGTTTGGTAACTACTTTTTTTCCCCTCCACTCTCTTTGAGGTGTGAAAGTTGCTATACCATATTTTGTAATGCATTGTGTCCATTTGATTTCAGTAGTTATTTTGGTGCATGAACGGAAAGAACTACACGCTTCTTTCCACTTCAAAGTTTTTGTAAACATTCACATTTTCACAGTTTGGATTTCACTAAATGAAGCCTTTATTGTCTTTTCAGCAAATTCATGTAACTTAGAACTATCCTCTTCAGTCTTCTACACCAACACTACTATTGCGAGTAGTATTTAATGTGAAATCATTGTTTGTATTTTTAATCCCATAGTTTACACCAGTTTAGTTTACACAAGTTTAAACACTAATATTTGTTATTACTTTTGTTTACAATGAATTATAAAATAACTAACCAAGTGCCCCAGAATATTGCTTTTGCCTCCTTGTTTTACCTGCACTTTGTGTTGGCCACCTGTCTGTCTGTAACTATTTAATATGCAGGGAATGTAGTGTGACTTCTGGTAAACAGCAGCCGCTGCTGACACAAGTTAAACACGTCCAACGCTAAAGTACATTATAGCAGTAGTCTAAGTAGAGAAGAGTTGCAAACTCAGCAAACTGACTGATATCAACATTAATTACCATGAGAAACTCTACTGGTCACACCAGACCGACCAAAACCCCCTCAGTGTATTGAATAGAGCTTTTTTGTTTCTTTTCAATTTTTTCTCTGTAAAAAGAAGACAATGTGGTTTTGTTTTTTATAAGTTAATAGGCAACAACAGAGAGCACTATGACTTTGTAACTGTCCATTGTAACTGGTTCAACGCTGCCTGGAGAAATTTGCATTTACATAGTTTTCTGGTCCAGACTTGTCATATTGTTTAATATTATAGATAATACAAAATGTGAAATTCAGTTAAAATATTTTGTGTTTGTTATCATTCAGGATAGAGGATAATAAGGTTTCTAAGAGTCCTTATGTCTCCCTTGACGATCGTGGATTTGTCGTTCTTCGGAGCAACATGGTGGTAGTCAGCAGTTGCAGGATGGAAGTTTACAAATTTCCCTTTGACGTCCAGAACTGCAAACTGTCTTTCAAGTCCATTGCACACACATGTGAGTCCTAAACCTTGTGTTCAGTTTCACGAATTCCTGTGCCTTGTTAATGTGTTCTCATCACTGTTTGAGTTTGAATGTGAATGTTTCAATGACTTCAATGGTTTCTTGTCACCTAAACACAAATATCATACAATCCTTTCTCTAATCGCCCAAATCAGCTAAGGATCTGAAGATTACAAATTGGATGGAAAAACAATTGAATTTTGAACGGTCTCTTGAAAGAATGACTCAATCCGAGTGGCTGTTTGTCAACTTGAACATCAGCGAGGAAGTGGTCTACGATCTTGATGGATATAAAACCATGCTGATTTACACTGTAAGTATCTGTGGAAACACACTGTTATAAGAACATAAAGAAAATATGAAGTTGTATGAGGAAACAGTATTAAGGAGATACATTATGAAATCTTTGTCAAGACCAAAGTAAAGAAAACTACGGAGAAAAGTGAGTGATAGATGAACAGAAGACAACCTAATTTTTTATTCAGATAAAACCCAGTGACTCAAAAAAGCCTGGATGATTGTGAGAGCTGTTTGGCTCATAAGCCCAAACAACAGTCCGGCCCTCACGTAGATCTTCAGTACACCCGAAGGCAGCAGCAACATGTCACCTCTCCCTGCTTGTTCCAACCGTTCTTTCCCTCTTTATTTTTGTCTTTATTAGTTTGTAGTTTTCCATAATTATGTCCTAGCTATTTATTTATTTGTTTCCTCTCTCCTTTCTACTTTTAGGTCTTTCTATCCTCCCTTTGTTGCTTGAATAAGTCAGAATATACAAATATTCATGGCTCTAAATATGCCTGTTTTACATGGACTCTGCTGATCTTACCGATAAATACTTTCCTGTTTCATTAATACTTCTACCTAACTAACGTCTTGAACACGTTTTGCTCTGCTGTTGAAGACGAGCGCATGTTGGGTCCGATTATCTTGTTTTACCTGCATGTGACTGTTTTTGGCCGTTGCAGATGGAAGCGTTAACTGACCTTTGTCCGTCTTTCACAGATCACCATGAAGCGGCGGTCTGCCCTCTACATCGCCAACTTCTTGCTTCCGATCATGTTCTTCTTGGGTCTGGACTTGGCCTCCTTCGGGATCTCAGACAGTGGGGGCGAGAAGCTCGGCTTCAAGGTCACGGTGCTGCTGGCTGTCACTGTGATGCAGCTTATCCTCAACGACATCCTGCCTGCCTCTTCAGACAGGATTCCTCTCATTGGTAAGGAGGGTCGCAGTCTACACTTCACATGAGCATCAACCGTACTGATTCAATATGTCCACATTGACGCTGCCTTCCCCCGTTAGCCATCTACATTATTGATGATAACTCCTCCCTTCAGCAATCTACTGCATTGGGGTTTTTGGTCTGATGATGCTGAGCCTGGTGGAGACGATTTTGATGATGTATCTGTTAGGAAAAGACGCTGCAGCCGAAGAAAACAGGGAAGATGAAGAGCAAAGACGGAGTGAGTACTGATGAGACAAATTGGGCAAAGCTCACTGCTGGTCAGGTGGGATGAAGCACAAACTCTTTGTGAAACATTCTCTACTGTCATTGAATCTAACGTATTCTTTTAGATTTGAAGAAAAGGACGTCTGCTGATGAAACTCCATCCGAACAACTGTCAGTCGCCAAAGAGGTAAAGGTTGTGTTGCATCTTGAAGATCTATTAAATTACAAAACAAAAAGTAAGAAAACTGTTGAGCACAACTTGAAACCAACTCTAATAAATTGAAACATAATGCATAGAAAAACAAAGTATCAAAACTTTTTCAATATTGAATTGTCCATAATCTCATTTATTAATAATCTACTGAATCCTTCCTGCAGGGCGACAGCAGCAAACCGACTGTGGAGTCCATTGCTTTGGAGAACATCTCAGATGAGCTGAGGGATGTGGAGAAAACGCTGACTCGGGTCCTCAACGGAAGGAAGGAAGGAAATAAGGCCGGCTGCTGGACCAAGGTGGCTGAAAAAGTCAACATTGTTTTCATCATTACCTATGTCATAGCTGTCATTGTGTTTTTGATTGTTCTCTTTTCACAGTGGACTAAAGATGACGAGTAGTGCTCGCTAGATTAACATGGGCATCCTCAATGAAGTGATTACTAATATTATCATCAATATCTTGCTGAGCAGACATTGTGAATCGGTTGTCTTCTTTATGTGAGCGGCCCCTTTAAAGTAGAAAAAAGTTAGAATTATCTTTTGTTCATTATATATTAATGTGACAAACACATTAAATGAATTACAGAATTCTTGTTCTCTTCACCGTTCCCTCCCAAACCTTAGCTCACAATTTGCATGTCATCATTTATTTTCTGATATTCTATTGTTTGATGAATTTGATTTGACTTTACAATACCATACAGGCCATTTGTAAAACAATGCTGAATCATCACGATGTCAACATTATATTCTGTTTGTTTTTTTTACCAAATCACATATCGGCATTAAAGAAATAACGTTAAATTGAGAAGTCTCGCCAGGAGGATCCTTTGCTCCTCTGTCCTTAACCACTTTGCTTTCTATGCTGTAAATGTCATTTTGAATCAGCTTTAATTATTGATTTTTTTATGGATCATTCTGGGATTTGGTTATGTTCTATTTGAATCAATTACCCACACTGCATGAAAAGTGAGATTTTCGTCCCCGTTAACGCCCGGAAATCTCCCTAATTTCCGACAATTTGCAACCCGCGCACGTCGCGTTTGTCTGTGCCACAAATTGTCGGAAACGAACCATGACGTAGGTGGAGCGCTGGCGGAGGTGCGAATGGCCCGAATTAGCATATGAATGCAGCGAGACCGCGGGTGGCCGAGCGGGCTTAAATATCCTTACTCCTTATTGGATGAAACCACAACTTACGAACAAATAAAATAACTCGTGATTAGCAGCAAAACCACACGTGGGCAGACCAGGCTTGAGTTTCCTTGTTCATGATTGGATGAAACCACAACTTTCAATCACTCGTGATTGGTTGGCAGATCACCCGCCTCATTTTATTTATATATATTTATATATTCATTTTATGCTGTATATTCATTTCATTGTTATCATATGCAGGCTACTACACTATTATTAGGATACCAACCAGGACATCAATTAATTTATAGAGAAAATGAACATTTGCCACATGTGTATGCAAAGAAAGAGCTTTATTAACAACACACAAACAACAACTACATACAAAGTGAGGATCTGCCCGCACTTGGGTAACGGCGGTTTAAAAACTACAGCTCAGTAAACTGTCCGTTTGCCTCCTCGGGGTTGTTGACCGTCACTGGCGCCGTGTTTTCAGAGGCAGGTCTGTTGTGCAGGCGGCTCGTGTGTGTGTGGCGACCGTACAATCCACCCCGAGACCCCGCCAACAACGCCGTCCCCTCCGTCCGACGCGAGCTCCACGGTGGCGGATTTCCAGAGTTCCACCTCGTCATCAGCCAGCACACTTTGTCTCGATTCCAGCAGCTGTAAAACAACAATGAATCAGTACTGTGCGGTGCGATGCGTACGGACACAACACATCGATCAATGCACCTGAAAAAAAGTCAGCAAATAAACTCTGACCCGCTTTCTTCTCGCTCGACTCCGCGCTGAATCCTTCGCAGCTTCCTTCGCAATGAGTGTTTTCCGCCTGAACCTGAAGCTCCTGCGTACCGTCTCACAATAAGTCCTACAGGCGGCTGGAAAACAATTAAATGAGTGTGGTATGAATACAAAAAAATCAAACGCAAGTCACAGTAACATTTAACAAGGAAGGAGAAACAGTGTCACTTACACACAATGACGTCGTCTAAATCTGGACTTTTCCCGGAGCAAATACGAGGTCACCGCCTCATTATGAGGCGAGATTAGTCTGTGAAAACAAAATGTACAGTTATGATCGGTATCTATACGTATATATTCCCTTATAGCGCAGAATGAAAGCATATTCTTTAAATCTGACCCTTGCTCCGGTTCGTAGCGCCTGTAATTCGTCTCGGAGTTGTGAAGACGGCGCAGCGCTTCCTGTAAACGACACGGCAAAGAAAACACACTTTAATGAAGCTGTTTCTGCTCACTTGTAAGGCTACTAGGCTACTCTTAGCTTAGCTTGAGGCTACGCTACTTTTAGCTTAGCTTGCAGTCATCGAACGTATTCTTACCGCTATCGTGGGATCGTGCGCCCGTCTCCTCTTCTTTGAGTCGGTTCCTCTCCTCCATGGACACAAACCCGCAGAGTCCCGAACGCTCCAGTGGAGCGAACCGCTCGTTGATATCGGCAGTTTGTTGTTGGCGTTGACGAGACGATCCACTGAGAGCATCAGCAGCTTCTGTCTGTCTGTCTGCGGACCGGCCGAAAGTTGGTGACCGCGGAGAGGAGTTGAAGGTGAGTTGAACGCGAGACGTCGTCCAGCCATTATTCACGAACCAGCAAAAACCAAACAAAGGAACTGGAGATACAGTTCTTCTGAATATAGTAACACACACGTGTCTGTTTGCATGCTCGTCTTGCATGTACTGCTGTATCAGTCATGCCTATGACCTCACACGTGATTGGGCGAGGAGTCTAAGGGTCCTCCAATCACATACGAGGTTATTGTTATACGGAAGGACCAGTATTTTAGGAAGACAAATGGTTGGGACTTTGAAACAGCTGATATGCTTTATGTAAAGCGGCGAACGACTTTCCCTAGAAAACTGTACAGTGGTGCCTCTTTCTCCACCAGACACTCTTGAGTCTGACAGACATGCAATGTTGACAATGTATCATCACATGTACCCTTGTGTCACTGAGGTTGAATGTTTTGCCTGACATGTAAACGGGTAACATACATGAATGTAACTTACTCAATCGATAGATGCAGAGCAGAAAGGTCAGCGTATATTTATGCTAAGTGGTGTAGAAACGCTAACAGTTTTGAGGAACCCGTCCTTGACCCTCTAGCAGAACTACGACCAGCCATTATAAAGCAGTTTATAGTTGTTAATGTTGTGTCAAAGGGTACGGCACTTAAACATGTCAATTACCCGTTCATGTATTTTTTATAATTCCTCCCAAAAACAGAGGGTGGGGGGGTTCTGTTTGTTCAGCCATCATACTCGGCATGCATACTATATAACTAATATACAATCCATTGAAAACATGTACGTTTTTTTTTTTTTTATGGTTTGAGAGATTTCATGCTTTATTTATGCACATTTATCCACGTCGTCAATAATGTCTTGATGTATCGTACAAGATTTACCAGGTTCTCTAGATTCTTGCAGGAACCTTTAAATATTGATTTATGATGCAATGTAGTTAATGTCATTTGCTATCTTTATCTTATCTTTATCAGTATCTCTTATCTTTATCTTTCTATTTATCGATTTGTTTTCCAAGTTACTTTGATGTAACCATCGGTGCACGAGAACGCATTTAAAGTAGCAACTAGAGCACCTCAGCTGACTGACGTTAATGTTTTTACTATTGTATTGTTATATCGGGCTAATAAATTCAAAGCTATACATTTCTGGTTTGGTTTTGTATACATTCAGTGGTTTCAGTTCCACTTGTGACATGGTCCAGTGGATGAAAACAATCTTAATGACTTTGGGATCCCCTGATTTTTTTCTACTGCCACCATATGGTTGTAATTTGTAGTTTTGAATATATTAATCTATTGGAAATTTAGTTTTGACTGCATGTCCTTCCCAATGTGAAATTTGATGGACTTATCCTCTCTCACACACACACACACACACATATATATATATATAGTACATATGCAGTACAGTATTTTTCACGTTTAAGTGACCAAGCCTTTCAACAGTTGTAGCAAGTGTGAAGGGAACCATGTCAGCTGATGGTGATTTTGACAATGTCCATGTAGGGAAGAGGTGGATCAGTCAACAAAACATAGGACTTTTACACAGCTGAAGCAGAGCTCTGTTAGTGTTAATATAAAATAGCTTCAATGTGTTCCTGACTTCCTCCATCAGATCCCATCAGCATCCTCTGGCTGTTTCTTGGTACCGCCACCAGGTGGTGAGCTTTATTTTTTGCAGAAGGCCATCTTTGTATTTTGACATTTTAATGGTCTTTTGCAAGAGTGAGATCAAAAAGCAATAATTTCACTTAAATGGAAACTCTCAAATGAACAATGGACCCAGCTTATGTGACCTGGCTCAGTTTTTGGGGGAATCACTCAAAACTCTGGTGACCAGTGAGTCTCTAGTTTGTAAAAAAAACACCTTAAATCCCATTTTTGAAGTAAGGGGACCATATTTTAATAACTAGTAGACTCTGCTTGGCATAAGGACTGAACACTAGAGGATGTTAACCTGGATGTGCCTGAAGCAAAACAGAATCCACCACCAGCAGCTCATTTACATGTTTATGCAACTTGTTTGTTAAGGAAACGAGTTGAGGTTTCACGGCTGGTGACGTGACTGCTTCTTGGATGGTAGAATGTACTGATGCTGTGCACCTTGTATTTGTTTAGAAGATTAATAACTTTAATGTTTGCTCACTTTTATTAAAGTAAACACAAAACAGTCTTTATACTATTGTAGGAAGACATAATAATCTAACATCACCCTGAGGTGGTGACAGGTGAAGCTCCATCTTTTCATTCAGCTCGTGATTAATGGCGTGTCCTTCTGCAAACATGACATGAAGAGATTGTGTTTGTTCATGCCTCAGGACACAGAAAGAAAGAAAAGACATTTGGAGGTACTTAAATTTCATCTTGAATTGCAGTGTGATGTAAATGATATTGACTGTTTTCCAATAGTTGGAGTCAGCAGGTGGATGCTGAGGGTTTAAGCCCGTCGTTGGCTGTGGATCTGACCTTCTTCAGATGCAAATGACGCACGTAAATATTTATTTTTTAAAGTTGGATGGAGCTGCTACACAACAACCTATTAGCCAAGTACCACAGAATTCATTATTGTTACTAAGACATTATATATATTTCCACCTAATTTTTGATGTAATTTAGGAGAAAGAGTACAATCAATTGCACCAGCTGGTTCACCATGGCAACTGTAAATGCACACAGAACATAGAATAACACACTAAACTTATTAGACATACATTGTGTTATGGTGTGATAACAAAAAAAACAGCAAAATGTTTGTTGTTGAAGTATTAGTTGCAATAAGTGCAAAGTTTTCATTACAGCACATTTAGTCTCCACCAACCTCTTATTTCTCCCCTTAAAAACCACTCAAACACGATGTACTGACCACAGTGGGAGTGACCACCATCTGACTGTCGGACTAATGACATTATAAAAAGGTACTATAATTGATTCAGTTCCCGTCCCGATCCCGTTCTTCCAGTGCCTGGCAGTGGTTGTATTACCGGGTTAAAGGTAAGGGTTGGGTGACATTTCCAGACAACACTGTAAAGACCGTGGAGACGTTTCACTGAGTTTGGAGTTGCAGTCATGATTCTTACTGGTTTCTTGTCTGTGCTCTTCCTCACAGGTAAGCTTGGTAGCAGTATGGGCTGCTTGAGAGGGTTTTAGTTTGGATTTCTTGTTTAAAGTGTCTCACTGGCTGAACAAATTCTCACACTTTTTGTTTACTGGTTGAAAAGGACTAAAAATTCATCCCTTATGTTTGGAAAGTCATGGTGAGTTCTGTCTGGGTAGATTAACTTACGCTGGGCCGCTTTTTTCTCTAAATGGTATATTT